ATCTGCTATGAAACAGTTTATACAACGATTTAATAGGTAACTCACAATTTAGTGTTTATTGAAAAAGTTCATAAAATTTAAATTAAATTATGAATTATAAATAAGATTACACAGCGCATGTGCCAACAATTTTTCACTCTCCATTTTTAAGGTTATAATTAATAAATATTGTGTTTTGTATTTGTGCCTTAAAAAATACTACAGAGTTCCTACAAAACATGAGATTTACTGAGGGATTTGTGTTATTTGTCATTTTTAATTATCAATATTGTTATTTGAAAAAATAAAATATATAATATTAAATTAATGAATTGTATAAACCAGATTTTAAAATTATGTATTATGTATTAAATTATGCATTAAATTAACAATCAAGTTGAAATAAATTGTCCACTAAATTATCAATTGTTGTATAAACCCAGGGGCGTGCTGGGCCGCCGGGACGCCGGGCGAATGCCCGGTGGCCTGCGCTACCATGGTGGTCTGCTGGACTTGTTATGGTATGCAAATAGGGTATACCAAACAAAAAGTTTTTTCAAGTTATATCACTAAACACTAAAATAAATTAAAAAAAGAAAGTTTTAATTGACTCCCGTAAAAAAATCTAAAACACGTATTTTTTATGCTAACCCTTAACCAAGAAGTCGCAGGTGGAAACCCTAAACCAGCGGTTCTTAACCTTTTTGGCTGGCGACCCACAATTCAAAAATATTAGAAGCTCGCGACCCGATAAAAAATAAAATCATCAATTTTCTGTATTTAAAGTAAGTTAAAATTTTTTTAACCCATCTCGATACGGCCTGCGACCCAAATTTGGGTCGCGACCCGAGGTTAAGAAACGATGCCCTAAACCGTGGGGATATTTTGGATGTTTTCGTAATTATTGTTCCGTTTCTTTGAAAATCCAAACTGATCCGGGGCCACTTTGATAAAATGCAATTTTACTAAATTTATAAATTATCGGAAGGGGGGATCAGCTCGGATTTATAGAGAAACAGAAACACAATTACAAAAGCATCCAAAAAAGCCCCCTCTCGCAGTTTTTGTCTTGATTTATTTGTGATAATACTTTCCTTTAATATCAGTGTGAAGTGATGTAAATTTGGAAGCTTTTATGCTGATTGCTGTGGAGAGAAAGGTGAAAAATTGTTTAGATTGTAACTTAATAATTGAACTAGCTGAAAACAGTTCTTTTTTGCGAAGAGAGTTATTGGGACATTTTATCAGTCGAGGTATTTAATTGTAATGTATTTTTACAATTTATATAAAATTGGCTTGGGCCTGGACTGCTCTACCATCTAGTCCAGGCCTGCATTGATTCTGCCAGCACGCCCCTGTATAAACCCTACCTTTTTAATAGACAATTTTTATGATAAACAAAAATGTCTGAGGCCATACATTATAGGGATACATATTTTTTACAAAATAGTATATTACACTACAAGGGCCGAAAGTTGAATTTCCGAAGACGCGCAGGACCGAGATTTCAAAGTTTGGCCCGTGTGGTGTATACTATTTTCTTCATACATCGGTCGAAAATACTTACTTTCGCCCTAATAGCAGGGACGAACGTTTAACATTTACTTTCGACCAAGATAAACTTCGTCCCTGCTATTAATAATAATAATTATTGTGACGAAGAGGGTCTCCACCATCGATGATTGGGACTGTTGGGTGACGTATGGTTAAAAGGCCAAACTTACATTATAAAGGCTTTATTTCTGAATGAATTTACATTACAAGCAATATGGGTTTATATACAAAACTAGAACACTACGTCATATACACAAGAAATACATGTTTGCTGATTATTGCAAGATTGCATTTCTCACAATAAATTTCCACGTAAATCTATTTGAGAATCAAATAGTCTGCAATAATCTGAAACTTTCCTGTTGCTTTTATGTGGGAAAATAATTATTATATTAAAATAAAGTAAAATTAATAAATCAATAAATAATATTTTCTTATTTCGTGACATTATGTTGTTTACAAAATAAATGCAATATTTTTACTTAGTAAGATCGTTTTTATAAACGTTTTTTTCGACCCTTTAAAACACATTTTAAACGGAAAACTGGTAAATTTACAGAAAAATTTACTTTTGCATTTTTTCCATATATGGCACTATAGTGCGGATAATACAAGAATAAATGCAAACGTCAAATTCTACAAAAATTCTAAAAATTGAAAAAAATTCAAGTCAATGTTTTTGAAAATTACCCAATTTTTCTGTTTTTCTAGCCGGCTTAATTTTTTCAAAAATTTTAAAATACTACTGCTTACGTCAATGTCAAAGATAAGTTTTTCTTGCCCTACCGTGCATAAAGAAGTTTCACTTCAAAAAAGGTATTAAATAATATGCAGGGTGTCCCAAAATCGCCGGACCAAACAAAAATCCGAGACGAAATTTACAAAATTACAGAAGTACCGTAAACACGGGTGACTTTGCACCCCGCGAGTGACTTTAACCCTTTTATGAAAAACCTTTTCGCGCTCGATAAAATTAACATTTATAATTTGTTGGTCTAAACCTGTCAATTGAGCGATTCTATTGAGTTTATATTACAGGAAAATCAGTGTTTTAAAGAAAGAAATGGAATTTATTACACTTAAAATTGTATATATCGCATCAGTGCAAAACTCTTAGAAATACACGCATTACAATTTCTATATTATGCGCAATCCTTTGGAATGATGATCCTTGGTTAACTACAGGTCGATTTTTTATTTTTTTTTATCGGTAATCCCTTGCAATAGATATATGTCGCTGCTAACACGTGTCTAATAAAAATAAAATAAAATATTGAGTTAATTTTATACAGAAAATACCTACACTGTGAGACAAAGTTACCCGCAACCAGGGGGTAACTTTGCCAGTTTTTAATTTTTATTTTTGAAACTCAGCCCTATGTAATATTATAACATAGTTATTATGAAAGAGCAACTCAAGACTCAAATTTTGGTATACAAAATTTAATGTTTATGATTGTTAACACCACAAAAATTTTAAGCTTAAGTTTGAAAGTGAGTTAAAGCCACCCGTGTTTACGGTATGTTATTTCATTTTTAAAGCTAGCAATGAGAGCGCATGCAGTGTTTCTGATATATAGGACAAGTTTTGGGTTATATTTTTTGTGTTTGCAAAAGACCCTGATATTCTATTACGAAAAAACAAATTCAGTGCGTGCTTTCGGGAGGGCTACGTCAAAAGGCAGGGCTCGCTCTATAGAGCAGGAGCCCTGCGCTCTCATTGACGGCCTTAAAAATTAAATAACTCCTGCAATTCGAAAAAATAGTAAAGAAAAACTCGTCTTGAAATTTTAAGAGGAATTAACCTTTACCCTTTGGGATGCCAATTTCGTCATGCTACCAATTTTGGAAAAACCTTATTTGCGCCATTAAATATTAATTGCAATTTTGCCAATTCGAAGAAATGGTAAAGAAAATTTTGTCTCAGATTTTCGAAAGGAATCGAACCCTTTGGTTTGGTCCGGTAATTTTGGGACACACTGTATAATAATGTAATGTATAGTTGGGAGCAATAGCTTAGTAGCAAATAGAATAAAAAATTGCTTGCGGTCAGAGCCATAGCTCCGCCTACTCTAGGATCTTAACCAAGGTAAAACGGTGGTACACCACGCAACAGCTGCAAACGAATATGAACCTAACAGTGGTACTGATCCAATGCACGTGACTACACCCAAAACAAAAGACTAGTTAGTTAAGCCAACAGAGCCTAGATGTAAGAACATTACGTGATCCACACGTCTAAAAATATAAGCTCAGGTACTACCTCACAGGTAGTCTTTTGTTTTGTGTTCTACTACACCAAGTTTCCCGACACTGATGAGACCCAATATAGGTCGAAATAGTTGTCTGTCGGTATTTGTAGTTGGTGGAACGCACTCAAAACAAAAAGTCTAGCGAGTTGAAGGTTCAATTCCTTATATTTATTTAATTTTTTCATCATCATTACGCTTACGTAAAAAATTTAATTAAGTTTTGTCAAATAGTTTGGGACAAAATAAATTTTAAAAAACATAATTAAAAAAGTAATTTATAAAAAATTTAAAAAAACATTTAGGATGACTTTCTCAACTGTAAAACTTACTATTTATGCATTTTCGTGAAAAATTTCCGACTTGATCGAAATTTAGGTTAAATCCCATTATGATCAGGTTTTATAAAAAACTGTAATTTAATATTATTTTTTGACGACAGTTGCAATTTAAACCAAATGGAACTTTCCAGAAACTTTCCAAGACCAACTCTTTTACCAAGGATTATGTTGCAAGATAAAATATATTATACATATATTATATAGTGCTTTGTCTATTTGTACCTACTAGAAAATAGACAACGCACTTTTTTTACCTGAAATATCTCCAAATAATAAAACACAGTCAAAAGATCTAGATTCGAAATCATCAATGTGATAAAGAATTTCATCAGGCAGTAGAGAAGCTAATATTTTGTTTTCAGTATCTTTGTTTTCATATAAAACGTAATTATGTTTTTCCTCTTCAGTCGTATCAATTAAAACAGTTAAAGATTCTTCGTCATCTTCATCGTCATAAACACCTAACAAGAAAAAACAGGACACATTTTTTATCTAAAATTTAATTTCTATAATTATTTATTTACCTGAAATATTATCCATTTTTGACACTTACTTGTCATTAAGTGGCATTTACAGAACTATTACTATAATAGTCATTAGCATGAAACAGACTTTAATTAAGACTGAAGGCTGGATCATAACCTTGTTGTGATCAAATTTTAAATTCTATTTTTTGAACCGTTTTTATAAATAAATGGCCTTAAAACATTAAAGGGTTTTTTCAATATAGGTACTTAACTTTATTTCATGTTTCCTCCTTTTACAATTTTTCTTCAAAAATAACTACGCCTATAGGTGTAGCTAAATAGCTATTAAAAATAAAATAAAATAGCGAAACTTACATTAGTATAATTTATTAATATATATTTCAGATTACACATATGTAAATCAGATCAATAAATAGTCATCAAAGTAGTCACAAAATATAACGTCTTTGCTCACTGTTATAGTAACATTTAAAGTAACAAAATGTAAACTATTAGAATCACAATAAGTTTCTACAACCTAATATCACTTATTAATTGCAATTATTTTAACTTAATTTTGTGAAGTTTTAATTTAAAGCCCAGCATTTCAGAAAGGACACCTGACAAAGCCGATAGGATGATAAGCTTTGTTACGTTGTACAATATTGGATTAGCTGATAAACCAGATATTTTAAATGGACTATCCAGCTCCTGCAAAGAACAACGTGCATTAAAAATAATCCCACGATTGGATAATAGGCTTTAATACTCTGCTATTTTCTTCTTACCTTAAGTAAATCTATAGCTAATTTTAGAACGTTGTTAGCTACATTTAATTCTTCCTTCTTGTGAGGTTTTTGTTCTATTTTCAAGTGCAAGTTTATTTGTTCTGTGATTAAAACAGACAGATTTCTGTATTTCTTATTAATTTTTGTACCTAGAGTCATAAATCTTAACAAGAATATTCCCAAGCCTAAGCACCATATTAATGCTTCCATATAATATTGGGAAAGATTTATAGTTTCCTGCAAAAATAAACGGTATTATAATTTGTTCATTGGATTTGCATTTGTTAACGTTTGCGCCATTACTTTTTTGTAACATCTGGGAACATTCAATATTTTAGATTAAACTATTCAACTATTAAATAAAATACAACATATTGAGAGTAGTTTTTTACAATACATACTGTCCCCGGATAGGATGGTTTAAAAATTAAATTTACATACAAAATTTAAATCTGATGTACAGCGTGCTTGGAAATTAAAAAAATATTAAAATTAATATTTATTATTTTTAGAATTTTTTTTTAAAGCAAATTGTAGACAATTTAAATATACCAAGGTTTAATAAGAAATTATGTTATTTCTTTTGAATTTCGAAAAAAGTAAAAACATACACATTTATCTACATTTTCATTTTGTAAATTTAATATTTTTAGTTACCACCATCATCTTTTGGTCTTATATACACAGTGTGTCTGAACGAAGTTTAAGTCACATAAAAATGCAGCCAAAAACTGATTGCAGTTTCTTGTTCGGGACCCTTTGGTGACTTAAAAATGATATTTACCAAAATTCTAGCTGCTCCTCTTTTCCAAATTTTTTAAAAGTCATGATTTTTCTTTTTCTTAAAAGTCTACCTTTGACAGAGTACACAGTTGTACACCGATTTTTATAATATTGGAGTATATTGTTAAGGAGATTTGGAGAATACTTTTTTATACTGTGCACATCATTTAATAAATACAGGGTTAGCCAAAAATCGCTTCTTTTAATAAAGCAAAAGCGTAAATTCATGATTTTGGCATAACACGAAAAAAATATATATACCCACCCATGTTTTTTTAGGTATTTTTATGTTTATTAGGCTACAAAATGGGATTCTTATTAAGACTTTATAAGAAAAATTGATTTTGAATAAAATTAAATAAAATAACATTTTTTGTGCATTATGCTTTTTACTATATAAAAAAGTGATTTTTGGCTAACCCTGTATAAATCTAATGATGTGCTCAGTATGAAAACAGTATTCTCCAAGTCTTGTTAACAATATACTCCAATATTATAAAAATCGGTGTACAAATGTGTACTCTGTCAAAGGTAAGATAAACAAAAATTTCAAAAAAAATAAAGTTTTTTAAAAAATTTCGAAAAGAGTAGCAGCTAGGATTTTGGTAAATATGATTTTAAAGTTACCAAAGGGTCCCGAACAAGAAACTACAATCAATAAAAATCGGTGTACAAATGTGTACTCTGGCAAAGGTAGACTTTGCGATAAACAAATAATTAAAAAAAAGTGATTTTTTGACAAATTTAAAAAAAGCACGTTTTTAAATCTCCAAAGAGTGCCGATCAAAAAACTTTAACCAGTTTTTCGTTCAAAATTGAAAACTACCTACTAAAAAGCTTTAATTGAACAACATTTTAAATATTCTCTAAGCGTTATTTTATTTAATTTTATTAAAAATCCATTTTTTATAAAAGGTTTATAAGAATGCCATTTTGTAACCTGATAAACGTAAAAATATCAACAAAAAAAATGGGGATAAATCTTTTTTGCGTGTTATGCCAAAATCATGAATTTACGCTTTTGCTTTATTAAAAATAAGCGATTGGCTAACCCTGTATATATCAAATGATGTGAACAGTATTAAAAAGTATTCTTTAAGTCTCCTCAATAATATACTCTAATTTTATAAAAATCGGTGTACAAATGTGAACTCAAAGGTAGACTTTGAAATAAACAAAAATTAAAAAAAAATCATGAATTTTCAAAAAGTGTTGAAAAGAGGAGCAGCTAGGATTTTGGTAAATATCATTTTTAAGTCACCAAAGGGTCCTGAACAAAAAACTGCAATTAGTTTTTGGCGGCATTTTTATGTGACTAAAGCCTCATTCAGAACCTCGTAATTAGTGGAATAAATTAGTGGTTTCAATTAACGTAAAAGTTTGATTGAATATACACATTGTAATATAATTAATATTGTTTACCTGTCAGGTTAAGAAGAATGGACAATCTTTTAGCAAATTCCCTTAATTTTAGATGTTAATTTTGCGATTGTAAATGATCGTTTTGTGTTAATTATAAGTATAATTGAAACCACTAATTTTTTCCACAAATTACGAGGTTCTGAATGAAACTTCGTTCAGGCACACCGTGTATGTAAGACCGTGGTATGATCTGGGGGTGCCAATTTTTTTCAAACAGATCGATTCTCATAATCTATTAAAATCAAAGCTCCAACCAAGTATTGATTCAGAAATAAATCGGTGTCCAAATAATCGATGTTTTAATATAATTGCTGTTGCAACCGGTTGTTTTTTCATATAATATTTAGTATTTGTACAGTTTTTAGATAGTAAATACATACGTAATATATCATATTGATCATTTTTAAACGAATTTCTTTGAATTCAAATTGTAAAGAAACTTTAACAACTGTCAAAAGTGCATATTCCTGTATACAAGTTTCTGTAATTTATATTTTTAGTTATAACTAAAAATATAAATTATAGATTCTTTGTTATTTTTTTCAATTGTCCAATTTTCATTTAGGTCGATTTTTTTTTGTTTTTTTTATACTAAACTCGAAAATAATTGGCTTCTGCGCCAGCTATCGATTCGAAAAAAAAAACACATATACTCCAATCATTTCTCGAAATTATGCTGCTGAGAAAAAAAATGGCCCGCAAGTTGACAAAAAGTTATTCGTCCTTTTGTGGCCGCGCGCGGTGTCAGCTCACGCTCCGAACCTGCTGACACCGCGCGCGGCCACAAAAGGACGAATAACTTTTTGTCAACCTGCGGGCCATTTTTTTTCTCAGCAGCATAATTTCGAGAAATGATTGGAGTATATGTGTTTTTTTTTTCGAGTCGATAGCTGGCGCAGAAGCCAATTATTTCCGAATTTGTTATAAAAAAAACAAAAAAAAATCGACCTAAATGAAAATTGTACAATTGAAAAAAATAACAAAGAATCTATGTCAAAACAAGATTCCAACCCCTGTTAAAAATCACCCATAGAGACCAATAGAAACCAATAAAAAATCAGAATGGAATGAATTGGTCTCTATTGGGCCTATTGGTTTCTCAACAGAATGAGCATTGGTTTCTATTGGTAATTTCCGTACTGGAAAATGCCAATAGATTACCTAATGGTCTGAATTGGTTTTTATAAGAAGTTACAAGTACAGGAAATTCCCAATTGAAATTCAATTGGTAAATACCACTTAAATGTTCAGCGCCTGCGCAATTTAATACAAATGACCACTTGTTTCTATTGGCAATTTTCTTACTGGAAAATACCAATAGATAAACTAATGGTCTGAATTGGTATTTTATCGGTGTGTAGGTACAAGGAACCCTATTGGTATATACCACTTTAATATTTATTTTCAAAATTCGCCAATAGGCCTATTGGCGAATTTTGAAAATAAATATTAAAGTGGTATATACCAATAGGGTTCCTTGTACCGCGAGAGGTATGCATGGGTTGCCTACCGGTAGGCAACCCATGCATACCTCTCGCCTCTGTAGCACAATACATAGGCCTATAAAGGTGGAATGCCTTAAGCTGCTAAGTAAGGATTCCTTATGTTCTGTGAAGGATTCCTTACTAAGGCAAAATTACTGGCCATGGAAACGCCTGGCGTTTTGGAATTTTTAAAGGGGCACAGGTCGTCCTGTGGCCCACTCTGCGAAAAGTAAGCAGTGGGCCCCACTACTTACTTTTAGCAGAAGCTATTTATAAAATTTATAATTAAATGTTAAACAGCACTATTTTTGAGAAATTATTTATCCATCAAAACAAGTAATTTTTTACCTTAAAGACGTCTAAAATGGATAGTGGGGACCAATTCAAACCAATAGCGGTACCTCTGGAAAATCCAAATAGCTCTATTGGGAATTACCAATAAAATATATCTATAATATATCTATTGGGAATTACCAATAAAATACGATTAGTCTCTATCGGTCTGTATTGGGATTTTCCAGCGGTGTCGCTATTGGTTTGAATTGGTAATTCATGGTACAGATACCACTATTGAGACCAATTCAAACCAATAGAGCTGCCGCTGGAAAATCCCAATAGCTTTTCTATTGGTCTTTATGGGTGATTTTTAACAGGGACGCTAGTTATATCGTTGGAATCGGATAATTAGTTTAGCCATAATGATTTTTTTTATTTTTTAATTACTAAAAACTTTTACTTTTAATATCATGAATATGTCAATTGAAATTTTTTTTTTACTAAATCCTTTAGGATTTGTGTAAGTGATGTAAAATACTATCGAAAAAATGTATCTACAATCAAAAACTAATTTTGACCTAATTCAGGTGGCCCGTTTGAGAAATTCTGACCCAGCGTTGAACGGTGAAACTAAAAAAAACTACTTCAAACGTCTATTATTTAAAAAGATCTTATATGGTCTATCTCTAACTATATTTTTTGGTAGATTTTATGTAGCGTTGGACGGTAAAACTAAAAAAAAAATAAACTTCGAACGTTGATTATTAAAAAAAATAGCTATTTAATTTTATTGAATCTTCTTTAGAATCTTTTATTTCCACCTTCTTAATAATTAATATTGATGATTAAATCAAATGTCATTTGATGATCAAATCAAATGTCATTTGAATGTAGGAAGTGTCTACGTATACTGTTTGTTTCGACGGTTATTATATATTTGCCCGCCGCGGCGATTTTTTAATCTAATTAAGTAATAAAATTTACTTATTATTTTTATTAAACAACATTTTATGAGTCCAATCGACCTCCGCGACGGTGCTTTTTTAAAATATTATTTAGTTGCTGCTGAGAAGCAGTAGGCACATCTTAAAATGTATAATGGGTTGCATACAATTAGTGTTGCAAACAAGGAAAAGTTCGGTCAAAAAGTTGGAAAAGTTCGGCACCCCCTATGAAAAGTTGGAAAAGTTATTAGGTGGGAGCCAATGAACAATGATCAGTGTTTCCACTACCATACATTTTTTTCGGTAGATAATTTGGTCAAAATCCGATATAAATCGCTAGATTTGAAGTGTTTTTAGTAAAACGTGCTAAAATCATTGTTTTTTGGAATAACATTCTGTCAAACTTTATCAAAAATGGTGTCTGCTAACAGTATTTTCTATTATATAAAGATTGTTTTATTATAATTATATTTATATTTATTTATATACCTTAAGGTATTTTAGTTGCTAAAATTTATCCAATAAGAATATTTGGGTCACGTATTTTGAATTGTATATCGTCATAATAAGATAAATATTTAAAATTGAAAAAAAAACAAGGAATAAAACTCAAAATAAACTAAAATGTACCGAAGTGAAAATCGGTAGGAAATAAGGTAAATTAAATATTAAATAATTAACCACTCATTATGATATTTGTGACCTCAGATTATATTTAGTTATTAATAACTAAATATAAAAAAGACATACCTATTTAAATAAACAACACTTTCACAAAAACTGAATTTATATCAAATCAATGTATTATTGGTTAAATTCACTCCCTTACAAAATTAAATCTAATCCCTTCAAATAGTAAATTAATAATTTCTATTATTTTTGACTTAAAAATATGATTTTTTTAACTCAAACCTAGTTTATTTTTGTTGTGATTATGTTGTCTGTTCATTTTATTTTGTTTGTTATTTTGTTATAAAACAACTTGTTACATCCCTGATAGCACAGTTTATTCTAAGAATGTTTTTTAAACCTTCCAGTGAGAATATTCTTAGGATCATGCTATATTACTTCTAGTCAAGTTCTAAGAATGTTTTTTAAACTTTCCAGTGAGAATATTCTTAGGATCATGCTATATATCTTCTAGGCATGTTCTAAGAATGTTTTTTAAACCTTCCAGTGAGAATATTCTTAGGATCATCCTATATTTCTTCTAAAGAACATGCTTAAAAGAAATATAGCATAATCCTAAGAATATTCTCACTGGCCTCTAGGCAGGTTCTTAGAAGGTGCAAAGTTTAGTGGTAAAAATTAATCCACTGTAAACATATGCTTAGAATGTTGAGAAAGTAATTAGTATTAAATACTAAGTAAAAAACAACCCAAAATATTTTTTATAGTTATTTGTCAAATTAAAACAATATTCGATAACAAAAATACTTTTACTATAGGTATTTATTTATATATGTTAAAAATAAATATTTATTAATTTGTATACCGATTTTTTATTTCTGAATTAACATTTTTATGTATAATAATCCTAACTATCTTCAACTTCAATCTAATCTGACTTATCCCACAAAATTTTCCAATTTTACTTTTTATGAAATAATGTCATACAACTTATGGTTGAGAGGTCAAATTGTTTATTTAATATTTTTAAATAAATATATATTAATATGTCGGAAACTTTTTTAAGGGGACGACAAATACATTTCACTGTCATATTATGACAGTGAGGCGTATTTGTCGCGAAGAATTTTACGAATGTAGAATCCAACATATTAGAAATATTCTCAAAAGCTTCCTAGAAGCTCCATAAGAAACCTTCTAAGAACATTCCAAAAACGTATTCTTAAAATGTTCTTAGATTGCTTTTTAGGAAGGTTTTAAGAAGCTTCTAAGAATCTACTTGCATCATTAAAAGGGTATCTATTGAATGTTTTAAAAGTCCCTAAGAACATTCTTAGCAATAAGGGAAGGTTCTAAGAATATTCCATTATTCCGAGTCGTATCTTCTTAGAAGATTCTTAGAATCAAATTTTGCTATCAGGGATATGTATAAATACATAAGAAATAAATTATTTTAATACATTGACAAGCATTATTTATGTTTTATACGTTTACATTACAAAAAACTCAACTTTTCCATCTTTTCCAACTTTTCCGAACTCTTCCGAAAAATAAAACCCAACTTTTCAAAAATTTCAACTTTTCATGAAAAGTTGCAACCCTACATACAATACTCGTATTAAATCGGCAGTAAAGTTCTACTTTACTACCGATTTCGGATAATATTATTTTTTTTAGGTTGCTATCACTCAAGTTACAATTAAAGTTGCAAAGTGTATTACAGTCTGCAATAAAACTTTTATAAGTACAAGAAAAATTGCAACTCTAGATTTTTAAGAAGGCCTCTTAAAATTAAATAAAATTATTAATTTAAGTTAATATTTAAACAATCTATAATCACAAAATTTAAAAAATCGCTCTTAATGATAAATTACCTTTAGCAGCTCAAAACACAGGAACGTCAAAAGAAGCAAACAAACCACAAAAGAAGTGGATACAATCACGTCGACGGATCTTTGCGGCCCCCTCTTCTTCAAATAGGAACGCACCGACAGCCATGTTTTTATGTTTCGCACTTTGTTCAGGCGAAAATGAGGTAAATCTGATTTTTTTGCCATACGCGATGACGTTAGCTGAGAGAACATTTTCGCGTAGTGTAACCTTTGATTGAAGGTTCTTTCGGCCACAGAAAGTAAGAAGAATATCATTGAGGCCAAAATCCAACGTTGAAAAAGAACGATAAAAAATATAATTCGTTCACTGAAACAATTTTAAACTGCTATAGATATAAAAACTAAAATAACATGTATCTTACATATATATTTCAAATAATTTTTCTGGGTTTTAATAGTCATTTCGAGTTATTTATGTCATTATGCTGAGAAGTGAGTCTTTTTGTGCTGAGCAAAGCACAAAAAGACCCTTCTCAGCCGAATGGCGGTATTTGTCAAACGTACAATTATAATAATTATTATTAAAAGTAGAAAGTGAGGTTGGATCGATCTGACATTTATCGTATTTTTTATTGGTACAAACGGGGTTTTACATACTGGAAGTTAAAAAACTTCACCCGATTGGTATAACGAAAAATTACTTTAAGAAAGTAAAGTTGGATCGATCTGACAGTTATCGAATTTTTTTATTGGTCCAAACGGGTTTTTAAAGACTAGTATGTAAAAATCTTTACCCGATTGGTATATAGATCAATTACTTTAGTAGTTAGTGTTGACATTAATAAAGTTTCAATTATAAAACGCTAGAAGATAAAAGCAATTTTTACTATTTTACGTAAAAATAGTCAAAAACAAAATTAACGTTAAAAAACTAGTGTAGAAAAAAGTACCTAATTTACTAGGAAAATTAGTAAATAAGTAAGACTCAAAAGGACCACCCAAAAACCATTGCAATATTATTCATGTTATATTATTTCGTTTTGTACTAAAAATTGATTTGCAAAAAATTGTTTGTTATTTTTTATTAACAATTATATTTTTTGTAACAATATTTATTTGGAAAATTAACAACTGCTCCTTTAGTGTATCTAACAATTTGAATTATCTAAATTCTGTTTAATTATTTTTATAAATGTTTATTTATAACAATTCTTTAAAAAAAAATGTGTCCATCGAATTTTTAAATAAAAAAAGAACTAAACAGGTCTTTCATATTTCCTTTGACTAAAGTTGGACGCGTAGCAACTGCTAAGCAACCGGTTTGATACACACCAAATTAAATTAACTTTATATTGATTACTTCAAACGCGATATCCTGAAAAATTGAATGTTTGGTCTGGTATTTATAATAATAATATAATAGGTCCATTTTTTCAAACAACGAAGTTTTGTAAAATTTGCATTTTTGCATCCGATTTTCGTAAACTTTTTTTGTTGGATGAATCTCTGAAAAAGGCTTTAACGCATATGTTGTTTGACGACTAAACTCATGGGGGTCGAAATTTCGAAAAGAAGGGTGTCCCAGCTGGGCATTTTTTGATAAAAAAAATTACGCGAAAAAACACATTTAGTGGTAACTTTAATAATAATGAATTCCTTCCAAGCAACAACTAAATGTACCGTAGGGTAGGTAGGTAGTCCAACAAACAAATAATATATGTTTGTTAGACTACCGTAAACACGGGTGGCTTTGCACCCCGCGGGTGACTTTAACCTTTTTATGAAAAATCTTTTCGCGCTCGATAAAATTAACATTTATAATTTGTTGGTCTAAACCTGTCAATTAAGTTTATAATAAAGGAAAATCAGCGTATTAAAGAAATATATGGGATTTATTACACTTTAAAATTCTTTATATTGCATCCGTGCAGAACTCTTAGAAATACACGCGTTAAAATTTCAATATTAGGCGCAATCCTTTGGAATGATGAACCTTGGTTAACTACAGATCGTTTTTTTTATTTTTTTATAGGTAATCCCGTGCAATAGATGTATGTCGCTGCTAACATGGGTCTAATAAAAATAAAATAAAATATTGAGTTAATTTTATCCCGAAAATACACTGTGAGACAAAGTTACCCGCAACCAGGGGGTAACTTTGCACACCCACATTTTATTTTTATTTTTGAAAGTCAGCCCTACGTAATATTATAACATAGTTATTATGAAAGAGCAACTCAAGACCCAAATTTTGGTATACAATATTTAATGTTTATGATTGAAATGAAGTGAAAATTTTTAAGCTTAAGTTTGAAAGTGAGCAAAGCCACCCGTGTTTACGGTACATAATGTATACACATTAAGATTATAAAAATTAAAATCCGACTGGATAAATTCTCATTTATAAATTATATTAATTAAGCAAAGTATGTACACCATGGAAAACAAAAATTTGAAAAATAATCAAAACTACTGTCACTTGTTTTGATTTACTTGCTTTTTAGTGCTTATTGAAATTAATATAGTAATAAAGTAATTTAAAAAAATTCCTCGCTGGAACACTCTGTACTTAATAGCTATAAAAATTGGTGGTGTGGTTTAAATGGTCCCGAATAAGAATTCGTTGTAACTTTTTCTCTGAAAAAATCCCTAATGGGTGTTTCCACGTCAGATCAGGCAGGTTTTGACCCTCACCCACAAAAGGTAAAGAATTGAAGCTGTCAATTATATACAAGAAAAATTTATTTTTAATACAAAATAACAATAAATGGGTTGCAACTTGCAATAGTTTTTGGTGATTCGTTTGAGAAATTTTTACTTAAATGTGTTGTTTGTGAATGCATGGGTAAATATTACAGACTAATCCACCCATTACTTTATGGACCAATCAGATTTCAGAAAACGAGTGTTTTTTTCAGTTTTGCAGCAATAAAACTACTATTTAGGTAAAAAAACACTCGTTTATACGAAAAATATGCGTTTTGTTCAAAAAAATCATACAGAAGTTGAATCGGCAGTTAATTCTAGTTTAAAAAATATATAGGTATTCGTGAAATAGTCTTGCCGAATACCACTCAAGATTTTTCCTTGGAAATTTCGCTCGTGGCTTTAATTTAAAACCACTCGCCTGGCGGCTCGTGGTCTTAAAAATTAATGCCACTTGCGATGTTTCCAAGAAAAAAACATTCGTATAAAAATCAAAAATTTTATCCGTAAAATTTTACCACTAGTGGTTTTATATACGAAAAAAAATTAACTGTAATATATACTTATAGTAGTATTTTAAGGTAATGAGTTTATTGCTTACTGGGCAGAAATTCCAAACAGAACCATCAACATATTATCCAAAGTTTCTATACCGCCCTGAATATAATTCTCAAAAGCATTATTGCTAATCATATGGCTGGATATATTTTTTATTATATCCGACACTGGATGATGCATGTTGGTTAAGTCATTATTATTGCAATTACAAAGCAGACAAATAATCGGTAAAAGTGCCAAAGTAGCTGCTATCACCATACCGACATAAAAATAATCCATTCCTTCAGGCATCGCGTCCACTCTTCCTATAATTGTAGAGCTTATGTCTAGCATTGAAAGGTCTGCCTTTTTTATCTCTCCTCTTTCCCATACTATACAACTTACTAAAACAAAAAATCGTTTTTATATGAGGCATTTCATGTGAAGATGGCAACGAAAAAACGAAAAAGTTATGAGCTTCTAAAGATTGACGTAATTTGAAGTACGAAATTTTCGGAAGCAGTTTTTTAAATTAAACAAATTTACAATAAAATATGAAATAAATATAGTGGTTTTTATCGAAAATTAGCTGTTCTTTATAATTATGAAATCAGATTCGATTTTTTTTCTTGTAGAAGTAAACATTTCAAATCAAAATTCGACCTTTTCTTAATCATTTTAATTTCGAAATATACTTTAAAGTATACAGGGTGCACCAAGTAATAATAATAATATTATTGCCTTTATTAATAAAAAAATGGGCGAAGTTTAGCAAAAGCTACTCTTCCACTTAACCCATATTACAAAAGAAGGGAAACAAGAACAGCAATTGTATGATAACACAATCAAATAATCTGTAAGTATCCTTTTAAGTGTGTACTTCTATGGGTATTTTTAAATTAGACAAAAGTTGCGTAATTAAAATGGCATTTGAAAATTTGGATAAAAATTCAGCGGTTCTGAATTAATTTAAAAAAAACTGTCACCTGTCAAAATTAAAAATTGTTAGAATTTCGTTATTTTTGGGAAATAGTAGAGAAATAGTATACAGACTGTATAGAATCAAGTAAGTAAGGCTGGAGACAAGGATGACAAAGTATATTCTGATCAGAGAAAAAGAAACAAACTTTAATTGGGCGTGGTTTAAACCAAGCCATTCGTAATTACGAACCATAGTTGCCAGGTTGTTTTAAATCAGAAGAGAACGATTATAATTATTTAATAAATAGTTCAATTTTATTTGTTTGAAACTTTAAAAATAACAAAAAAATTAATAATATGTCAAAAATAATTTGATTTAGTTATGTTTCTTACTTTTAATATTAAAAAATAAGAAAAACAATAATAGCATATGGCAACAGCGCGGCATGCAGCCAGATACAAGGGCATGCAGTTTGATCTACTACACAGCTGTGTTTGTTCAGTAGCTCCGACGCTGTAGTAGGGAAATGTGTATAGTTTTTAAGAAATGCATTTTCGCCATTAACTGGAATTTAATGGATTTTAAACAATACTTAGTTTTTATTTGCAGAAATGCATTAAAACAAAACAAACGAATTCGATAAAAATAAAACCTATAAATTCTCAAACAAAAATAATTCTAAAATAACGAAAATAACTTTTTTCTAAATTAAATACGACAATGATACGGCAAGCAAACAAATTCAATCCCTACCACAGTGGGCGGGGTTTGGCACTTGTTTTATTTAAGTGTATCTATTCGTTTTAATACACACTGTATTATTATACGAGAGATATAGTAGGCTATTATTCAAGATTAAGTATCGAGTCGCCAGACGAGAGACTTAAATCATCCGAGTAAATAATGCGCATAATCTCAAGTGTAATAATATACTTTATCTACTCCAATAAGTAGATAATTAAAGGATTTTCAAAATTAATCAACTTTAATCTGACATCTGTCAAATGGTTAACCTCACTTTTTACCAACTTTAAATGTTATTATAGTCGCCTTCTTCCAATTTAAAACCCGATTGGTTTAAATCACAGTGAATATTGAAATCGGCCAATCACTAGTTCCTAACAACGTGAATAATGAGTTCATTATTCACGTTGTTAGGCAGGAAATTTATAATGTTTATCAATATTCACGAAAAAACCTCAACATTATGCAATAGGAGTAGATAAAGGAAGTTTTACATGTAAACATACACATTCATCCACATTTTCAGATACGCGTATACAGTGTGTTCCATCTAAAACGAACCACCTCAAATAACTCAGCTGCTGTTTATATTATTGGCAAAAGCCAAGACACGTCGATTTTAGTTCGAAGGGGGAAACTTTTTGAAATTAGTTAGCGCTTGCGCACATCAACCAATATGCCGCAAAAAAGGATAGATAGGTAATTTAATTTAAGTTGAAAAAAATTAATACTTTTTCATTTCACAAACATAATTCTAACCAAACGTATAATTTTTGAATCATGATTCATACGCTTTTTGAAATAATGACGAATTTTCAAGCATATAGCATCGATAAATATCGGTTGCTTCCGGCTGCATGCGCCGTCTTCATGTCATTGCCGTCATTGGAATGCACTGCCATCTGTGCTTCTACTTGTAGGCTACAAGTTGTAGCCCATTAACTTAATAAAACTTTTCCGGAAAAACTCTGAATACTTTAACATTTTCAATTTTATAACGAAAAATGAAAGTTACGTTGTTACTGGCAAAAAATGTATTAAAAAAAATGAGGGGCGCCATTTTTGCCACTGCTCAAGGGCGGCGCTATGTGTATATCCGGCTCTAAGAAGTAAAAATTTCCTAGATTTCCGCGTTTCTCGATTTCTGGAGAAATGCAAATATACATACATGTCGCACTGAGCGTGGTACCTGGTGCTACATAATATGTACTTTAATTCATTTAATTCATTTATCACCTAAACTAATGTAGATCCCATATACCCTCAGTGTATTATCTATTAGTTTAAGCTATATGTTTAAACTGAAATGATTAAAAAAGGATCGAAATTATTGTCTCTGTGTTTATATTGTCTAAATTTTTAAACCAGTAATTTAAATTACATATATAATTTTTAAGTTGTACCTATGTATTTTATTTTAGTTTAGCCCTTAAGTAAGTATTTTATTGTGCTATTTACCGACCATTCCTTTAGGATATATAGTATATATACAAATACTGTTTGTCAAATTGGGAAAATAAAGATTATTATTATTAAAAAATTTTGATTTAAAAAGTTTACTTCCGGGTTTTTACGAGAAAAAAAGTCAATTTTCGATAAAACCAGTGTTTCATATTTTATTGAAAATTTGTTTAATTTAAAAAACTGCTTCCGAAAATTCTGTACTTTATATTAAGCCAATCTTTAGAAGCCCATAACTTGACAACCAAGCCTCAGAAAAAAATAATAATTGTGGGTTTACATTTGAGAATCTCAAATTTGTTTTGTTGTCCGCTTCACATGAGATGTCCGATATGCAAAATACAATAACATTTTTTTAATTTAAAAGGTCACTAATATTAACAATATTTATTTTATTATTTATTATTTATTATGTAGATTTAATTTAAAACAAAAATTATATATTTGTAATAAACAATTGTCAAAAACGAGTCAACCTCTTCAAACACAGTAAAGTTTACGAAATTTTTATTAGTATTATTTGGTACCTTTTACAGATGGCGTGTTTAAAATGCCGCTTGGTTCCAGTTCTTCCATTGCGCTATGCATATCATCGGTATCCTCCGAATCGGTTACCCCGGAACTGTCGCTGTTTGTTGTGACGCTATTCCATTCGTTGGCAGGGAATTGCATGAATTTCGGACGAATCTCGGGTGACGAAACGGCATCATCTTCAGTGTCCAAAATGTTGCTTACATTTATAAGAGGAATCGGTTTACTACCACTTTGACCCTAAAAATGAACATGATAAAAGAGAGTAATTTGGTATGAATATCTAACATTTTATGCCAAACTTACAGTAAATAAAATAAAGTTGAAATTTTTGCCAGGGGCGTTCCAAACAGACTGGGACTTTTGGCATTTTGGACCAACAATATTAAATAATATAGTTTTTGAATGTAAAAAAAAGGTCGCCTTGTCTTAACCCGATTAGACGCACAGTTTTCTAGTAAAATTGAATTAAAGTTCGTCAATGACCTTGCACAGACATTTTTTTAAAATTTTTAGTAACACCCTACATCTGCTAAATTAAGCGGTCGCGGAAGTTTATATGAACTTTATTTTTCTTAAAATAATTCAAGGATTGAGCCCATTCAGGGGCTTTACAGTGGCTCTAGCTAACTGGTAAATTTTTCGACAACCTATTGTTAAACCTGTATAAGGTTAAATTTATATTTTTTAGGTTTTTCTTTATTATCTTCTAAAATATAAATTATTTAAATTTAGTATGCATTTATATCCAAAGAAAATACATTATTTAAAATATGTTAGTTTTTTAATATTATACCAGGTAACTATTATCTTACTATAATAATAGTACAAGTACAAAATAATTATAATAAGTTTAAGTAGTGAAACCCTTTTTGACACTTGATTTTATGGATTTATCATTAGTGTTTGTTTTAATTTTTGTTACTGTATAACTGCGCCATCTTTTACAATTAGCTGTAGTATCAACCAATGGGGAAGTTTTACTGCATGCCATTTTAAAACCATTTGTATACAAATGCTTATCCTACAGGACAAAGAACTTATTGTAAAAAGTAAAATCCATACCTTGCCAAATTATTATTTTAGCTAATATATTAAGAAACACCTTATATTTTTTATAATGAGCAAATAAAAATTACTGGTATTTTTTTAATTTTAGGATTTTAATATTAAATTTATTGGATATAAGTAGACTAATTTATTATAATTTTTCAGCTGTGACTTTATGGCTTTTTAGTCACGGGCTGAAGTTAGCAATAGTGACTTTTGAGCATTTTAGTCACGGGCTTTATTATAAAGTGCGAAAAAGTGAGGTTAAATTTGTCCTGTCAAATATTTACCATTTAAAATTGCCATTAAATCTTCTTTGTGTTCGTCGTTTTATGAAATTCTCTAGACACTCGTTATTATTAAACACTCGCTCGCAAGCTTTGCTTGTGCCTAAATATACTCGTAATTAAAATCGCGTATATAAAACTTGATAATAAATTTTTATTGATTTTTTGGAAAGTAACTATAATTGTAAAAATTTGTAGACAATAATTAAAGAAAAAATACTTTTAATTATTTTTTTAAAAGAAAAATTAATAACTTACGTTGGGGGACATAAATTAATTACGTGAGACAAAAATGAGAAGGAGGAGTCCAGCAAAATCTCACCAAATCTCATTTTAAGGGAGGGGGGTCATTTAAAATCTCACGTCAGCTTTTAAGTTTAAAAAATATGTATTATAATTCAAATTTGTTAAAAAAAATAATCATTTTTTTACATGTTGTCTGCAAAGAAAGTTTAATGGCTAAAATCTCACGTAAGGGATAGGGGGGTCTACCACATCTCACCAAATCTCACCAAGGGGGAGGGGGGGATCCAAATTATCAGAAAAATGCCTCACGTATATAATGGATGTCCCCTTAGTTGTTAAAAGTTTACGATGAATAATTTAGAAAAATAATATTTAAAATAAAAACTTGGTTTTTAATAAAAAATTTCAATTATACGAGCCCTAACCACATAATGTTCGGACACTTCATAATTTATACAGAAATTTTTTTCGTGAATACTATCTCAAAATTATTAGAAGTTATGAAAAATTCAGCTTATTTTGGCATATACCCCTCGAAGCGATTTTTATTTTTAAAAAGTTTACCTTTTATTTTTAGCTTTTAAAAAAAGGCTAACTTTTTAACTTTTTTTTGTATGAGTAAAAAAAGTTATAAATGGACCCATTAAAAAGAGCATAAAATATTATACAAACCCTGAAAATTTGGTAAAAAATAAATAAGTTATAAAAAAGTATAAGTAATTTAAAAATGCTATTTTTAAAGAGTTTTTGCAATTTTCTTAGGAAACGGGAGATTTTGCAGATATATATATCGCTATAACTTTCTTATTATTTATACAATTTTTACCAAATTTTCAGGGTTTGTATAATATTTTATGTTCTTTTTAATGGGCCCATTTATAACTTTTTTTACTCATGCAAAAAAAAGTTAAAAAGTTAGCCTTTTTTAAAAGCTAAAAATAAAAGGTAAACTTTTTAAAAATAAAAATAGCTTCGAGGGGTATATGCCAAAATAAGCTGAATTTTTCATAACTTCTAATAATTTTGAGATAGTATTCACGAAAAAAATTTCTGTATAAATTATGAAGTGTCCGAACATTATGTGGTTAGGGCTCGTATATACCTTCTAGGCCTACCATTGCAGTAAAAAATTTATAAAATTTAATCTGCCGTCTTTTTATGAAAAAATATTAATTGATACATTTGACGTGGTTTGACAAAAAAGTGGCCAGAATTCATTAAAAAAACTAAAAAAGATTTTATACATTATTAATCTTGATTCCCTACAAACTTTAATTTAATCAGTAGTGTAGATTTTATACTGGTTTAATATGAAAATCTGGTAAAAACTAATCAATGCATCTTTATAAAATTTCCCTCTATAACGTTACAGATGTCTAAAAATGGTTGCTAGAAACAAAAATTCAAATAGGGTAGCTGATACATGATAGACACATGTATTTTCTTACTGTTTGTGTAAAAAAATCACAACTCCAAACTTCGTTATTTTTAAAAAATTTAACTTTTTAGTTTTTAAACGTCACTAGAAAATTGTTTTATATAAATAAATAATCTTAAAACATAATAATAAAAATAAAATATACTCGTCCAACAAAATTAAATGAAAAAATTAGTGAAATTTGTACTCACAAGTTTAACAAAATGTTAAAAATGTTAATCCTTTTAATTTTGATGTTTGTTACCTGAATGGGTTCTTTACTATCCGATTCATCATCATCAGTTCCAAAGTCTTTCCCTCCCACATCCTTCATATTTTCCACAATGCAATGAGTATTGCATTCGTCTATAGTAACTTTTTTAACACGTGCTTGACTGTCTAAACTAGTTTTGCTGCCATTTTTAACCATTTCCTCCACTTTTAGTAATTTCGAGGGCATCTTATGCACCTTTTGTGTTATTGTATCATGCACCTTTAGTACCTTCTTCAATTTCGGCGTCGTTTCTTCTTCGCTTGTTCTTGAACCGTTTCCGGTGAGGCTTTCAAAGCCGTCATCATCATGAGGTAATTTTACATTTAATTTCAATTGAGGTCTAAAAAGCATACATTGTTAATATTAATATCCCTAGAAAAACTTAAAAAATTTAGCTATTTTTTTTCTATAGAGAACATTTTTTCATTAAATTTTTTAATAACACAGTCCCACAAAGAATATAAGTTTGCTCTATGAATAAGACCATGATATTTTGCCCGCTAAAACTGTTTGTCCCCGGATCGTATTGCCAATATTGCAATAGAAAATTCTATTATGCGTTTTACAAAAAAAAACATTTTTTATAAAAATGATTGTTTAGAAAATGAGGTTTCTATAAACCAAAGTGAATCAGTACAGGGTACTCAGAAATTAAGAAAACAGAAAAATCCTTCAAGAGAGAAGTACCCTGCTTTTTAGATAAAAATACAGACGTGAAGGGGCTAAACCGAGTTCAGATTCAGTTTCAGCGGGGGAAAATACATAGGAATATCATGGTATTATTTATGGCGCAGACCACTAAATATAATATTTGTTCAGTAAATTAATAGTTGTTAAGTTAAAATATTAATTATTTAGTAAATTTAATAGATATTCAGTAACATATTGATAATTGCCTAGTTGTTATAATATTATATATGTACAGAAAGCCACAATCCACACAAGGTCTGTTCGATCTCGTAGTAAAAATACTAAAAATCAGTGCAACACTGCACATCATACAATGGCGGCCATTTTTGTTGTTTACAATTCTTGTGCTTTGGGTTTGTACAGATTAATAATCGTTTTAAACGTTGTGTTTCTTACAGAGAGACTTGCAAGCCTTAAAAGAGACCTCAAACTTTGAGGCTCAAAGTGGTAAAAACACTAATTTTACTCTTCTTCAGGGCTGTCAAATGTCAATTTGAAGGTTAATTTAAGGTTATTTTATAACCCACAAATTTCAAAATTTTGGGGGCGCAAAATCAAACGGTCAATCAGTTCTTTGTAACGATAAACTTTCTTGCAAATACAAAAATACTTAAACATACATAGTATAGGTTACCGCCTTTCTTTGCGTCGGCTGCATTAAAGCCTTATGCCGATCTTTTTTTCGGCCGCTATAAAGCGCTTTTTACCGCTTTGATATTGGCGGCTAATTTTTTTTTTAATACGAGTATCAAAATAAAAGAAAAGAAATGGTCATAATATTTTAGTATTTGAAAGTTGCAGTTGAAAGTAGAAAGGTTTAACAGTAGTCTACACAGTGCATGACTTTGTAACGAGCTTACCTCACTAAAAACCAGTAGTTATTAAATTGTTTATATAGTTTTAATGTTTTTTTAGGGTATTTTTATTATTAAATATTTTTTGTGATTTTGTTTGTTTTTTATACTTAATTTCAGCAGTTTTTTTACATTTTCAATTACATTTTGCCAGTTTGTCGCAAAATATATATATTTTTAATATAAATATTTAATGTATTATATTTAAATATAAGTCAGGAACGGGCCTGACCAATTATACTCTTGGGTGTGCTGATGGTTTAAGTTAGTTGGGTTGGTTGGGTTAATTGGTTGGGCTGATTGGTTGATTGTGTTGCGTAAGTTGTTCTATTATAAGTATAGGGCTACTGTAGGAATGTTTTGTATTATTTGTTACCTATTTCTTTGTTTGTGTCTTCTAAATAAAGTTCTTTTTTGTAGATATTGCCAAGGCTTATTAACATTGGGATCAATATTGTAGTTTGTTGCGACGATTTGCGAGTGGATCAAAATTAAAATCCACATCATCATAAAAGGTACAAATAGTTCCATGCAAGAAATATTCTAAAAAAAAATACAATAATTGTATGTCCGTTAATGATTTTTGCGCTATTTTTACCTGTGCGTCAGTGTAATAGTTATACAAACTAAACACAATAAAACTAATCCATTGTGTTAAATATAAAACTAAAAGTAGTAAAAAAAAGTTTATCGACGTCTCCTGGATCCACCATCGGCCGTAAATTGGCAACAGCATAAATCTTAGCGTTGCCAGTTTAGCAATAGTCAGGAAACCATGTTGCGGCTTAGCCTTGGTAAAGGAAGAACCTAAATTAAACAAAAAAAATTTCTCAATAATTATTTCACCATAACAAATAAGTCAACTAGGAAAGCTTGAACCATAAAACTACATAAAATATGTAGTATCATAGCTCGAACTTAAATGAACATAAACATAGACCACAGATTAATATACTTTTCTTTTACTTCTATCAGATTTAGTATTATCCCTGATAGACAGTGGCGGCCCGTCAGGGGAGGCAGGTGAGGCAGTGCCTCATCATAGAGAATTAAAAAATTAAGTATAATTTAAATATTTTACTTTCTATAATATACTATAAATTTTTAATATTTGGATTACATGAATTGTAAAATAGTCAATAAAATTGATTGATTTTATACGTGAAATACCCAGCAACATTTAAATTATTTGAATTTGAAACGACCGTAATTTAAACTAATATTTATAGCTAGATGATTGGCTCAGAAGCATGCCTGAACTAATTTAGACTTACGATTGGCGTTAGCCTTGTTGTCTCGTTCTATTACAATGCGATTTCATAGTTGTCTCCTTCTCTCGTATTAGCATACGCGAGGCAGGCACGCCTACATCCAAGGAAATAAGCAGGTGTTGTGGCAACACTGTTGCGGAATTTTAAAATTATACTTCACACGTTTTTCAAAATTCAATAATAAATGGTATTATTTTTCTTATAATAAATCGATTTAATCGAAATTATATTTCTATTCTAAAATAAACATATTTTAACACTATCGCCATCTTGTAGCCATCACAGTAACCAATAAAATACAGATTCCTTCTTTAGGTTTGTTTTGGTTATAAAATTCTGAACTGTTTAAAGAACAAATCTGTGGTTATTTACGCAATATTTTGTTTATTCTTTTTCTATGAGTTTGTCTATTTTATGATTCTTTTGTAAGTGGTTTATTCTGTGGGTTTAGTTAATTGAACTTGGTGATGTATGTGAATTTAGTCATTATGGATATTACGGTGAGAAATTGTACCGATATTGTTGATGGTGTACTATTATTAATTTAATGATTAGGACTTAAAACTAATGGTTATTAATAATGCTGCACTTTACCTCTACACCTTCACGTGGTTCTTGCTGAACAATGAAATATTAATTAGACAAAAATGAGGTTTATTTAAAATAAACGTCATTTTTACAATAAAATATATTTTATTGACAAAGTAGAGGATTCCTTCCCCACCACAGCCTAAGTTTTTTACTTAGTTTTAAGTATAGGTTGTGAACTGCGACGTCAGTTTTTTAACCCTTATGCAGGCGCACCTCTTTATGCAACGTAGTAGGTCGCGCGGGGTGTCAGAGACACCCCTGATGGCAAAGCGTCCCTGAGTGTTATTTACATTTTTTTTTGTTTTTTTTAAGGTTATCAAGTTAAGATGAGATAAGCTGATAAAAGATGACAAAAAAAAAGAAAATGTCAAAAGACGACAATTTTAATCAAATAAAGCATTTATTAAAAAAAAAACAAATTTTAAAAGTCATAATAATAATAAAAACAAAAAAAAACACTAAGCACTTAAGATAAGGTTTACTTTTACAAGTAATTATGATTTGGTAAAAAAAAGTCAATAGGGAGGCGAAACCCAGCCTGCTCACGGGGTGACCACAGCACCCAGAGCCTGTTTAAAACAAAATTCCAGACAACCTATTACATTAACTTCAAAATCGGCAATGTAATATGACTGAGAATACTTTGACAGGAAGGTACTGAAAGTAAGCGCCATTTATTCGAATCGAAGTGAGACCGGTAGCTATATTTAGGAAGCTGGGGTGTTTTGTACACCCCGCGTGCCTGCTTAAGGGTTAAATTGGGTTTAAAAAAATTTCTTCGCCTTTAAATGAGGGCGAAACCCTGCCTCTGCCTCACCAAAATGAAATGTCACGGGCCGCCACTGCTGATAGAATTAATGAAAATAAATTTATTTTGGAACAAACACTATCTAATAATTTCATCTTAACTAAGCACCTGAATCCTATAAAGACAACCCTCACTACGAAAGTAATTGATCATCTCATAGGCTATAAAAATAACTTAGTTTTTTTACCTCCTAGTCAGTATTATTATTTACTTTTTAAAAGACTTTTTTACTTCACAATAACTATCCAAGTGACCAAAAGAATAACGTAATAAAAACAAATATTTACGTAAAAATAACGTTAAAATTATTTAACATTTATAAATAGTATCTTTGTATCTTTAATTTACATTTCAAAAATTAAAATTTTATATTTTGTTACTTGCAAATAAAAAAATATGTAATTTTAAATTCCAAAAAGTTCTAAAACATTTTTATCCATAATAAATCCCTTTGTCCAACAAACTATTAATAATACAATTGGGTTTGTTTTTTTACCTCCTAGTCAGTAAAAACCCGTTTGGACAAAATAAAAAAAATCTACTACTGTCATTTATATCCAACCTCACCTTCTAATTTTAATAATTATTATTATAACGTTTTATATATCGTTCAACAAATAAAATTGTGCCTTCAAAATAAAACATTGTATGCCATTTGGCTAAGAAGTGTCTTTTTGTGCTTCGTTCAAACTTTGAGCTCAGCACAAAAAGACTTACTTCTCAGCCTTATGACATAAATAACTATTTATTTTATTTACAAAAAAAAAACAAGCCTTTGTGAATTAGGGGGCTCCGTCGAGCCGCTGGGCCCTAAGCAATTGCTTGTTTTGCTTATATATAAGCAATATTTCAATAGGATTTACCTATAGGTAAATCCTATTGAAATTCTGCAGTTGTGCAGTTGAGTTGCAAGACCTGTTGTGAGACCGTGGTCTAATTACTGTAGGACATAAATTTCATAGTACATAATATGTACTTAATAGTACATAATTTTTACACATATTGTGGATTCAGTTTCAGTTGAAAATAGTTTGAAATTTTCAATCTTTTTTCTTCTTTTCAGCGGCGTCCGTTAGGGGCCAGTATCTCCGTAGAGAGGGCCGTAGTAAAAAAAAATTATAGAACTTGTCATATTATTTTTATGTGTTCTATCTAAAACCGGGAGCTCTGTATAGTCATAAATAAATAAACAAATTTTTAAAATAGATTTCCTTACTTGATAAAAATTTACAAATAACTAACATGCCCAACATTCCACAAAACAAATAAACTAAAGCACCAATAAAATATTTAAGCTAGATAAAATAAAGGTGACACCATCTGTATGATAAATTTTGCGGTTAAATTAATAAAAATAAAATATGAATTTTATAAAACTTAATTAATATGCAAATAAAGAAATTGTTAAAGATTTTAATTTCAAATAACAAAGTTTATAATAATCTTGTGGTTCTACCTGGCGATTCTTTATTAAACTAAAACTTTCATAAAATTTAAACCTTTTAAAACCCTGAATCAAATACAGTACAGGGTAAGTTTTAAGTGGATTTTTTTAACAGCGTGTAGAAATTAAAAAGACAAACAAATCTATTAAGTAACTTTTGTATAAAAACTCTAAAATATGATAGAAAAAGCCTTTTAAACTTTAACTTTAACTTTCTGGCGTTTATTGACAGCGCGGTTTAATATTTTTATAAAAATTAAAATTGACCACAGTTGTCAAACTAAAAACGTGGGCAGTGACAAGAAAACACATACAAACTAAAGTTATACACAAAAGTGCTCTTTTAGTTCCACCCTTACTTTGTAAAAAGTCTCAAAAGCCAACTGAATGGCTTGTGCGGGTTAGGGGTAGGAACGGAAAAAATTATACCCAAGAGGACAAACACAAATAAACAACCATACCAATGTGAGACTCGAAGTTCGAGTCTCGAACCCACGACCTCTCGGCTTGTAGTCAGCAGTACTGACCACTAGTCCACCGTCGGGGGTAACATATTAAAAGAGTGGACCCTGAACCGGACATAACCTCGAAGCGACAAGTTTATTTTGTGAGGTTTTGTTAAAATAAAATGGTGGTTAATTCTGCGTTGGCTTATATATGTTATAATGACTAAAATAAAGAGCTTGGAAAAGCAGGTAAAAATCCATATGTATTATTGATTTAAGGTTAAAAATATATTTATTTTATTTTTAATTTTTCAACATTCTGATTACGCGTCCAGTTAATTTATTTGGGAGCTAACTTCCACGTATACCCACGATGTGTGTATCGTGGGTATACCATTGTTTTGATAATAACCTTTATAGAAATTAACTGCCAGAACTATCTGGAACTTAAAGCACAACCTAACTTGAAATTAGTAATTTCTGGAACATAATCTGAAAATTGTTGCAACTGTTACAAAACCATCACGTATTTTGGTTACATTAGTTCTCTAAACTTGCAAGTGACATGCACTAAATCTCATAACGCCAGGACCGGCCTTAAAATTTTCTTTTGCAAAATAAAGGATGTTTCTTTTATTTTTGAGTTTTGATAAAAAAAATCTTGAAATATTTGATGACCCATCTCCGCAGTAGTCAAGGAGGTTCCTCATAACATATTTCTGTTGAAATTAGCTGTCGGCATTGATCCTTGCACAACGCTGTCGGCCATCCTTCGGAAAAAAGTGGTTGAAATTAAGAAAAAATATTTCTTTTTTTAAATACTTTTAGTTGTGGTGTAGGTGATTCTCTGTCATATTTTATAATATTGTTTATTATAATAAAATCTATTATTTTATAGAATTACAAACTATTTCTAAATAGTTTAAAAAAGTTATGAGGGCCACATGCCAAAATTTTTCTTAAGACATTGTTTTACTTTCACAGTATAGAATATTGTTTATTTTAATAAAAACTATTTACATAGATACAGCATAGAAAAAGAATAAATACTGTAGAAATCAAACAAAGTTGCCCTTACCTCATAAATTAGGTATTGATGGAAACGACTTTATCGCTTCCTTTATTGTATGGAGCCTACAGTGTAGGCCCTACACAAGGAGTACAAACTCCATGTATAGTATACATACATTGTATACAAATGGTTTCCCAAAATAAGAGGGCGCTCGTGTTTTGTTTGTTGTTTGGTTTGTACTGACACAGTACTGAAACAGTACAAAATGGAAATCAGCACCCCTGTACACGTAATTTATGGGATTTAGTAGGCAGGTTCTGTCAATATTGAGCTCGAACTCCTTATGTAGGCTCCATGCACTATTGGTAAAAATTAATGACGTGGTGGCCTATGTTCATGATACAATTTGTATCATGGCCAGTTTTTTAAAAAACAATTTGACCAAGAAGAGTATGTTAACAGCACAAATTTGTGCTCTTGACTTTATACTAATTCGTTGTTTTTCGTTTATTAATTACAACCAGGTCAGTGCGCACGGGGATTTAGAATTAAAATATGAAATTTCACTTTAAAAATATTGAAAAATAACAAAAATATATATTTATTTTATAAAATTTAATACCCTCCCAGTTTGATTAGTTATTGCAATTAAAAATAAGTTTTAAAGTGAGTTTTGTGGAGTCCCACAGTAAAATTGAATTACTGCTAAAATGTTTGGTTTTTAATTTTTGTTAAAAGTATGTACACATTATTATCATTGATTACACAGGTCTGCAAGGAAAAAACTGCGTAGGATTTTTTTGCTTTTTCATATAGAACTTAACTTACTCAAACTACTCAAAATACTAAAAAAATCCATCACGTCAAGTTGTCAGGGTCAAGGATTCAAAATGAGCTTAAAAGTTCATTTTCTACACGGCCATATTGACTATTTTCCGGAAAATTTGGGAGCCTACAGTGAAGAACAGGGTGAAAGATTTCAGCAGGATGTCTGGATGCTCAAGCTAGAAGCCAAGGTCGGAAAGCGAAAACGAGCTAGAAGAAGCATAAAATAGTAAATATAACATTGTTTAATTAAATAAGAAATAATGTTTTGTCAGTAGTAATTAATATTTAGGTAAAAAATAATAAAATACTGAATTTTTTTAGTTTTCAAAAAAACTATATGATTTAGCGCCTCTTAAAGCATACATGTATGCAGCTCAGTAAAAATATAATTTGCAGCTAAAAATTTTTTTTTTGCAGACCCGTGTTATTAATCAATAAAGGTTACCCAAAAGTGAATAACATACGCTTTATTTTGGTTTCGCAGAATCGCCGTTTTCATTTAGAGTTTGGCAAACCCCACCTCACCAGTTACGTAACAAAAAAGTTACCTCACCAGTTACGGGTTAAAAGTTTTTCCATTAAATTAACATAGGAAATTAAGCATATTTTTTTATTTTCTTATATCTTGGCGGTATTTTACTAAAATTTTTATAAGGTGCGATTTCTACATAATTAGATTGTCCTTAAAAGTGCTTACAACAATCTTTATACTTACAACCTATATTTTTGACAACCCATAAATTACCAGTCATATTTTTATCAAAAAATAGTATTTTTTGCATATTACAGTAAAACCGTTAAAGAAAGAGGTAAAAAGTAAACAAGATTTTTATATAAAATTTAAATTTCTATAAAAAAGATAAAGATTAAAATTTATAAGTGACCAGTCATCTTTAATATAATAAAGTATTTGTGAAATGGTATTAAAAAATTATTGCCAGATATAAACTAATAAAATGGGTAGGTATTAATTATATTTAGGTATATAAGGTACCTATATACAAATATATTTGTGAATAATATATAAATCCAATAAAAATGTACCTACTTAGTTAGTACAATGCACACATGGATAGGTACTCATATCACTCTTAATAAAATTATGTTTGTAAACAAACTATGCTACTACTAAAATAAAAAAAAATGCACGTTTTAATTCTAAACATGAAATGTTTGCATTGCCAAATAACAATAAAATTTTATTATTTGCTCAAGCAATACTACAAATAGAAAGTTATTGTTCTAATGTATAAGCATTGAGTACTCAATGGTATAAGTCTACTTAAAAAATATATTTAAGCTTTTTATGTTGATTGTGATTTTTGTGAATGACTTATTATAATTAAAATAACTTATTATTAATAAGAGGGAAACAACTTACCCCTAACCAAATCTAGGTCAATAAGATCATTATTTGGCTTTGTACTTCTCGTGTGAATATGATTTAAACCGAATATTAGTTGTTCTTTTTGTTCTATTTGGGTCTCCCATGCCTGTTTATCGTATGCTGCTATTGTCTTCTGATACCTATAAACAATCTCTTATTTAATTCATTATGCTAAATTTAAACAAAAAATTACCTATTAAATATATGATCAATCCCCATTTAACAATAAGAGAAAACTTGTGTAGATTGCCAAATTGAAGTTTCTCGTGAATTGTTTTGTAGACATTTATTTAACTTGTGTTTTAAATAATAACTTGGAATTTTCCGTTAATGTTTCATGACCTCGAATAGTTTTTAATTCAAGTAGCACAGCTGATTCCTACACAATCAATCCAAATGACAGATATGTCAACATTTTTGAATAAATGGGAATTATTTATCCAATAAAAAAACTATTATTTTTAACGTTTTTTAGGATAAATAACCTTACAAAATTTCTTTATTTTAGTATGTTTAGTATTCTTTTTACTAAATAATAAATAATTAGCGTATAAATAGTAATTTCTTAATTCTTAATTTTATCCAACGAAATCTTCCACATAACCTATGGTTACGTCAAAAATGTCAAACGTCACAAAATAATCTGCGGTTTTTACAGGCTGGCTGAAAAATAAATACTAAGTAATTAATCCCACCGATATGTTATAAAAATTATCCATAATAAAGGAAGTGTTGTGCAGCGCAATAGGATTTTAAATTACCAATATAAAAATGATTACTCCGAAATATTTTATTTTGTTGTTTGTAATTTTAGTACTTAGATTAGTAAAGGCCACAGAATTGACTTTTGAATTGCCTGATAGTGCCAAAGAATGTTTTTACCAAGAAATACAAAAAAACGTGACAGCTACATTAGAATTTCAGGTAAATAAATAAACTATGAAATTTGCGGCAAATTTTAAAAGATTATGAAAAATTTTAGGTTGTAACTGGAGGCCAGTATGATGTAGATGTTCATTTACAAGGACCCCAAAAACAAACCCTATATCAGCAAATAAAAATGCAATTTGATTCTCACACATTTACAGCACCAGTAGCTGGAATCTACACAGTATGTTTCAGTAATGAATTCTCAACTTTTTCACATAAATTAGTGTACATGGACTTCCAAGTTGGTGAGGAAAGTCCTTTGCCAGGTCTAGTTGGTGCTACTGTTCTAACCCAACTGGAAACTTCTGCTCAAAGTATACACAAATCATTAAACTCCATTGTGGATCTACAGACACACCATCGTCTAAAAGAAGCACAAAGCAGAAAGCGGGCAGAAGATTTGAATGAGAGAGTTTTGTGGTGGTCCGTCACAGAAACACTGTGTGTTTTAGTAATCTCAGTGGGTCAAGTTTTTATTTTGAAGAACTTTTTTGCTGAAAAGAAGCCATTTAACTTGAAATAATCAATTCATGAGTGTGAAAGATGTAAATTAAAACAATTTGTTTATAATTAGTTGTATATTTTCATTCCATCATTTCTGTGTAGTTTGCAAGATTATTTTTTTGACTGTTTTAAATTTAATTTAGTTTCTATATGTATTACAGATCATATTTTTGTTTTAATAAAATTTAAAAGATGTAACATTTTTTTATCAAACCTATTAAAAGCGCAACTTATCAAATTCTGATTATTTGCGATTTCAAAAATAATTTAACTCCATTATAATTTTATTGGCAATAAAACAACAGAATAGAAATAAATAATTTATTTATATAGTTGCATGAACTATAATTTAAGCTATACCAAAAACAAATAATAATAATAATAATACAAAAAAGTGGATTATTTTCAGTACAACTTTTCTTAATATTTTCCTAAAAAGTGCTTATAATCACAGAGACAATATTAACACATTTATAACTTATGCATAACACTTAATGGTAACAAAACAAAAAGGAACAAATAAATTAACAAATATAAAGAAAATTAAATTTAAGTGTTGGGCATAATTTATTATGTGGTTTAGACTAGATATCAAATACTTATTAACAGTTAAAATACAACAAAATAATACTTAAATTTAAGACCCCAATAAATGGAGTTTATAAATTTAATAGTTCCTTGGTAAATATCATCAATTTGCTGCCAGCCTAATTTTTATTAAATCTCAAAAAGCTCGCATAAAAAGCTGTGATGTAAATAATTGATTTACCATAATAAGCTTCAAATATGTATAATAAATAATTATAAAAATTGATAATCTAAAAAATGAACAAACAATAATATATCTTGTATAAATAGGTAACGCAATACTTTTTTCGTATATTTAAAAAGCATTTGCTGACTTAGAAGCTTGACGGTTCCTGAAAAATAAATCATATTGTACCATTATTTTAATTTAACATGCATTTTGACTTCAAGTTCAAATATATGACTTCAAGTTTAAATATATACACTGCGCGTCAAAATTAACGCATAACAAGTAAAAAAAATTCAACTCTAAAACGCCTTTACCAATCTTTATAAAATTTTGGATAAAAATACTTATATCTCAGTTTACATGTTCAAGGGTTTTTCTAGAATATATCCTTAAAGCCCTTTTATTTAATAATAAAAACGCTCGAAAAAAAAACTTATAGGGAATTTTTTTTAAGTAAATAAAAAATTTGCTGTGAAAAACCGTATTTTTGAAAATGTTGTACAAATCAAACGAACAGTAACGAAAATACAGCGCTTAAAAGTCGTCAAAAATGACCACTTTTCACCAAAATAATCAAAAAGGTCACCGACTTTGAAACGCTGTATCTTCGTTACTGCACAACATATCCTATTTAGGTTATTCTCGCCCTGCTTAAAATACCCCATAGAGACCCTGTTCAAACCGATAGATATTTGTATCGGAATGTATGGTGTTTCTATAGGGTGTATCGGTATGTATAGGACCCATAGTTGGGATTTATGGTTGTTCTATAAGGATATCCACCCTTGATTTATTTGCTATTGGTTTCAATGGGGAAAATACACATAAATGTAGAAATTAGTTTTTCCCCCATAGGACCCCATAGGTTTTAATAAAATTTTGTCAAATGTTTTATGGTTGTTCTATAGGGATATCCCTATATATCCTTCATTGAGTTATTTTCTATCAGTCTCTATAGGGAAAATGTAAAAGTTATGGTGTGCCTATAGGTAATTTCCTATAAATTTTCTATCGGGCCGTATCCGGAAAAAAAACATGGACAAATGCACATATAGAATCCGGTAGCGCCCGATAGATTATTTTGTATAGGTCTCTATGGGGTATTTTAAGCAGGGCGGCTTAGCCAGGCCGAACGGGTCTGGGACATCCATGGGATGTCAAGTCTAGACCCAGTCCGGCTTAGCCTGGATAAGCGTATTTTGGACGTCCAAAATATGCCTAATGTTTGGGCCATGGAACACGGCTGCCATGTTTAGGAAAAATTGGTGACATTTTATGCAATGTAACAGGGAGTTTGATCAATTCTTAAATTTTTTTTCTATCTTGAACGGTTTGGTAGATATTAAATAAAAACCATCAGTGGCCCTCTTGCGGGAACTGTAGCTCCCTTGGGAAGCATTTCTCGACCTATGTATATAGGAACTTTTTTTTCTATTTTGGTACATAGAATCTGCTGTTAAAGTATTGTACGCTAATTATGGGACACCCTGTATAGGTATTTGAATAAACAAGTATTAAATATTTAATAGCAATATTTAAAATATGATTTTCCTATGTTAAAAAATAGTTCGGTCTTGACACTCGAAGTGGATAGACGCGTCAAGTAGTTAAAGATTCCTCTCCTAGCAGCGTATACTAGAGAAACGTAATAAAGTTCCAAAAACGAACCTAAGTATTCGTAAATATCGGTAATCGGTAATAAATAATTAAATAAATTAATATATAAATAAACAATCAAGTGCGGAAAGTGTGATAAGGGCAAAAAAAAGTGCAATAAGTGTGAAAAGTGCGGGAGATCCCCTGTTAAAGCCGTAAAAGAGTGCAACTAAATAAGTAATTAAGGCCAACCAGTCCAACTGGTCAGCAGGAATAGTCACAACCAAAGCCTGTCAATAACCTGCAGGGAGGTCCAGAAACAACGGACAGACCGTGAAAGACCTAGCATCAGGATTATAGCCTAATAATCAAGCTAAGTAATTTTTCTAACTGCATGTCTTATTAACAAAACCATTTTATTCCAAAAAATCTAAAGTAAGACGTATTATACCGAAAAGTAAATTTCAAGCCCCCCTGCTGGCACCAGAAAATAAACATTCCTATTGAGGCAGACAACACACAAATCATTACATAAACAAAACAGAAAAGGCAGATAAGACATTAGCTCCATCCCCCAAATAAACACTCGACTAATACCATAAATAAACGCCAAACCATAAATAATAAATAAACACAAACCATAACAAACATGGAAATAGTAAACACGATTGATCACTCGGGGGGAATAATTAAAATTCCATCCGACGGAAATTGCTTAGTGGCCAGCTCGGCTCATCAACTAGATAATAGCCTGACTGGGTCAACAAGTACATTAAGACTAAATAACCACTTACGATCACACATTGAGATATACAGCCCATACTTACAGGATGCGATCCTTGACCAACCCCACCGCTACGCGCATATTAACGACTGGGAACGTAAAACAGAGGCGTACCTAAAGGACCACGCACAAAACGGCTTCTGGCTGGGTTTGGAAACAATAATAGCGGCATCGGACATATTTAACGTCGCAATCGAAATACATCACGAACAGGGGCGTACTGACAAGATATCGTCCAGAGTCCTCCTAGAAGGAAAAACAATCACCAAACGTGTCAGGGTGGCACAAGTAAAATACTGGGCACATGCCGACCCGGAGACGGACACAGAAACTGACGAACCGGAAGTAAACCAACAAAGATAGGAGTAAGCAAATAACTAACATACCCACCCCCCATTCACGAATACCAATTAAATGGGGTTACTACTAAGGCCTAGGTTCAGGAGGATTCCGGATTGTACTTAGTTTTGGGTCAGTTCAATGTCCTCCAAAAACCCTTCCTAAACTGGACGTATGGCCCGACCCGGCTGACAAAAATCCCGGGAGTGGCCTTAACCTTTGACACTGTCATCCACGAACTCCTAGGGTGGATCTACCAGCCGGCGTAAAAACTTCGGATCCAACAAACCCAGGTAATGCTGTGATTTGGCGGGATACGCAGGAGAACGGAAAGGGGGTAAAATAACCCCGGGAGACCAGTGGATGATAATATATCTGGGGCCTGCCATACCTTCCCATACTCATACTCATACTCATGATTTTCCTATGTTAAAACTACAAAATTATAAGAAATGACGAAAAATAAAATATTTTAGTGCTAGTCAAAATTTTCAATTATGGAAATAAAATATATTTTAAATTTCACTTTGTTGTGAATTATTGTAGCGGTTTAAAAAATCTAAAGAAATGTTTTCTTCTGTTTTTTTTTCAAATCTCTAGATACTACCTTTTATGGTCAATAAATATCTCAGGAACGGTAAATGTAATTGAAATTTTGATTTTACATTGAAGCCATAAAGAGTATTTGTTTAAAAACTATTTTTTATAAATTATCTTACCGATAATTGTGCATTTCGACAACAGTTTTGGTGGCCTGCTTGTATTTACCCTCCTGCTCCACTTTGGACGAATTTCTGCTGACGGAATGTACCGGTATTTTTACTAAAATGTGACTTTTTTGCATCTCATCTTTTATTGTGTCCGCCACTACAGCTTTAATTTGCGGACAAATCGCCGGAGCGGCAAAATCTTGGGTAGTCCTCAACGGCATGTCCAGTTTTAGATCCAGAACATTTTCACCCTAAAAGGAATTGTTAATGTGTTTATAACATATTAATAGGTTTCAATTTTACGATTTTCTGAGGCATATTTTCACTATCTTTACTTTAGGCCCTAAAGATTGGGTATAGCTTATGTAAGTAGTACTTAAAAATAATTTAGGAGTATTTTTAAGTAATGCATTTGGATTTAAACTTACACTTAAGTAGCAGAATAAATAATTTTGAATGATCAAACCAAGAATAAAATAAGTCATTATTTAAACCATTCCTTTTAAACATTTTGAAAATTCAACTGTTTTTAGAAAACCATTAGAAAAAACTTTCTCTTAGCACGGTGACAAGGTAATAGGCGCGTTCCCGCAAATATTTTTTGTTAGTAGGTGGGTAAAGCTCGTGATTAAAGAAAGGATTTAAAAAAAGTATATTTTTCGGTTGTGATAAAAAAAATCCTTCGTTCAGTTACTAGTACATTGTATCTAGAAGTTTGCAAAATTTCAATAAGATTGGTGCATTCGTTTTTGAGAAGTTTTGTCTACCAGCTTTAAAAATAGTTTTGAGTTTTAAGTAGTAATAAAAGAGCCTAATGGGAGAATTTTTCTTCGATTGACTTAAAACTTTGGGAAAATATTCTTGAATTGTTGTACTATTAGATAAAAAAAATACATTTTTTAGAACCTATGTACACAGCAAACGGAAAAATATAGAAGTGTATAGGATAACTCCCCGTTTGAATACTAAATTTTAAAGTTTTATTAGAACTGTATTGTTTTGTTTTTATATTTTTTGCCCCTATACCAATGCACTACTATTATAGTTAGTCAAACTCAATCGTGTCTTACAAGATATATTATTTGGATTTTCTATATTCAACAGAGAGGTAGAAACTCGACCCTGTCAAATGGTGCAGTCATTTATGTCTCTAGAAATTATTGAAAAAGGGGGCTGTCCAAATGTGCAGCAACTTCGGATGCGTATACGCATCCGAAGAATATATTCTCTTCAGAGACATAGAAACTCAAGCTATCGAATTTTACTGGCAATGATTTTCTTTAATGTCCCCGCAAATTATAAAAAAACAGCGCAAGTCTATAACGCATCGACTTCTCTTTACTCTATCAATTTATAGAAACTGGAGTCTTACTAATACTGTTTTGATCTTTTGATGGATGCAAGTATTTTGAATATTCTCATTTCTGCATATGATTTTGTTTCTTTAGTTGTATGTACAGCACAGAGGATATGATGTAAAGTATATTAATGTATTATATAAAGTACCCATATTTGTATTAAAAATTTCAGAGGTTGTGTTGAAAAAAACGATATGCTATTAAACTTTTATAATTAGCACACCAGTGCAGGTTATTGTAGCATCTACAAACAAATGAATAAATGGCCCATTGGCAATTATTTTGATAGGAAAAATATTCAACACAGCTAAATAAATTAATAAAATGAAAAAAATCACAATCATGTCTTATATGATTTTTTTTTTCAAGCATAAAATAATTTTCATATTAATACTAGTTCAAAAGTCAAATTACGACCTGTGTGGAGAGTATTGAAACGCTCGACTGACGAATACAAATCAATAACGTGGCGAGATTTAGAAAACTATATTCAAACGTGGCGTCATCCTATACACTTCTATAATTTTCCGTTTGCTGTGTAGGTAAAAGTACTTACTCTATATTTTGATGAGTTCTGACTTAACGTCACAGCATAGTCAGATATTGGTCTCCTATAATTGTGAGCAAGCGGTCTTAAACTCGGATCCACCGTAACCTTGTCTTTTTTCAGTACCCAGTTGTCTTTGTTATCGTCGAACTGAGACAAGCCTATCAAACGAGATCTTTCCTCTGAAGGAACAAAGTTGTCTATGACTAGAAACCACTGTCGCAAGTGCCTGAACATGAAAAAGTTAAGTTTAACAAAACACATGTTTAAAAGAGTTTGTTTTGTTTATTTAACATTGTAATCCAGAATTTCACGCATTTTTTATTATTAAAGTAAAACTTCTTAAGAAAATTTATAGCGAAAAATATGAAAGGCTTTTGGCACATGCCTAGATAATATCTAGGGTCACATGACAGTGACAGTGAAATCAATATAGTGTGAGAGCTATCTGTCATATGTTAATATTGACACACGTCATTTTTGCCATCTTTCATGGCTCATTTTTGACATCTGTCATTTGTAGTTTTGAAAACTAAAATGTAAACAGTAACTAATTAGTAACTATAGTCACTACTATTCATTGACCAGTCAGTAATTTTTTAAGTTTGTAACAGAAAATAACACAGGGGAGCCAACAACTTTTCCCGGGTAATTTGGGTGCGCTTATATAAAAAATATATATAAGAATTTAAATTTTTGGAAATCGAAAAAACTCCCAAGCAACAATTTAAGTATTTGTTACGTATATGGGACTATTGAAGAAACTTCAAAGTGTTTTGCGACAGTCGCCGGTCTCTTTATATTACTCTTTCATTACTACGTTACGACTAAAGTGGGGAACAATTATTGAGTTCCAAAAAGGTAGCAAATATGTCACTAGCTACCAACCCTGCTACTATTTGGGACGTAGCTGCTACGTTACTAGAACGTTCCAATATCGTTGCTAGAGCGTTATAATTACTTTTATTATTTGTTTTTACTTCTATATTAACTGTCTTTGTCAAACATATATTAGATTATACTATCCCTCCCTTTTTAAATGGAACCACTACGGACTTGGCTTTTCAATGTCGTCGTTTATTAAATATGTACTGGTAGTTTATAACTTCCAGAATAACAATATAATATTTAATTAGACAGGTAGATTTATAAACCCTTTAAATTTTACTGTTGAACTTATGAATTTAGTTTTTGTAAAATAAATGCGCTTCATCAATATTTAAGTATAAACAAATTATTTATTTAGTAATGTTTATAAATAAAAAAATCTTAATATTTATTATTATTTTTTTTATTTAATTATTAATACCGTCTATTACCAACAATATTTCTATTTATTAAAAAGTAAACAACCATTTACAAACAATTAAAATAATTTATTATTTACATTACCACGTGGTACTGTACAGTAAAAAATGGCCGATAAGAAGCATTTTCCTTTGAAGTAGTTTTCGCTACTTTAAAGTTTTTTTCCACTTTACGGTTGTTTTGGTTAGTACCATAAACGTTCCAAATACTAAAATAATAACTTTTAAGTTATTAACTTTGTAGTTTTTAACTCATGTTCCAGTTTCGAGATTTTAACTTGCAAAGGGACTACAAAGTAAAAATAATTATAATGTAATCTTTAGGTAGCAACCGAAAGTAACTGCTACAAATTAAATTTACTTGAAAGTTTTTTTTACTTATAACATCTTTTTTAAAGTTGCAAAGTCTTCTTGGGGGCAACCAAGTTTTACTTAAATGTTTATTACTTTATAGTAACAATTTAAGGAAAAATTAAGTTTCTGTTACAAAATATTGCTATTTAAAAGTTAGAATTACTTTTAAGTAAAAATTAAAGTAGCTGTTTAGTATACTTAACTAATTTAAAGTTATCACCACTTTGGCAATGGTTTTTGGAACCAAAAATGCTGCTTGGGCTGCATGTTTTTAAAATGTCTCGAAAACAAAGGCTAATTCAGCAAAATTATGGTTATTAATAATTCTTAAAACCAGCGCACCCTAATCACTTTATAAAAGTTGTTGGCCATCCTGTGGAAAAATGGCTGTTGAGTCAACACAAAATATATTCTGTACATATAAACAATACATAAGTTAGCTTGGCCTAAAGTATTTTTTTATTTCATTTATATTCAATACATCATACTTTTTTACGTTATATTTACCGGCTCTTTTATACAAAATAGACGATTTTCCAAAATTGGAGGTCAAAGGATAAATGACATTTTACCGGAGTTACAACAATGGCTAGGTCAAGCTAAATTTAAAAAAAGGAAGTAGAAAAGAAAGTTAAAAAGAAAATCCAAGATTGTACAAAAGAAGAATATTCTTTTATTTCTGTGATTTTCTCCAAAAAATTTTTGTTTTACATAATAAATATGATTTTACTTTTATTTATATCAATTAATTCTAAAATAAACTTTTGTTAAATATTTTGTACGTGTACTAAATTTTCTTGTATTTTTAGCGTGAAAAAAAGATCTCCAGCTATGGTATTCCACTGTTTTAGTATATCTGATATGAGAATACTATGGTATGCCACATCTTCTTTTTGCACTCCAAAACAAGAAAATTCAGTATACAAAAAGTATCGGGTGTCACACGGCTTTTATAAATATAAAAACATTTTATCAATATTTACAACATTGTTAAAATAAATATGCAACGAACTGTAAATATTTTAAAAATATTTCAAGATATTTTTTGATTACTTAATAAAATATAAGGTAATGTATCTAAAACATTTACAAAAATGTTTTAAAAATATTGTATAAATTAAAAATGTCGGACATCTAAATCAGAGTTGCAAAAAACGCATTTTTTTATTGCAATGATATTTCATTGCTCATTTTTATCATAATGAGTAATGAAATTAATTTACATTACTCATTTTTTTTTTTCGTTTAAGGGAGAATTACTTGTATATTTCTCATAAGAATTTACATTAGGTACATTTTTTATTTTAATGAGTAATGTGGAATTATTTCATTACTTATTTTTTTATTAATGGGGAAAAAATGAGTATTTCATTGCTCATTTTTAAGAGGTACGGAAATTATTTTTTGTTGTAGATAACATTTGTTTTTTATTTTTCGTACGATTTGCATTGGATATTGATTTTTTTTTTCGATATACGCCCTCTTGGTTTTAAGAATTTTCTTGGTTGAATTCAAAAGAATGTATGTAAAAAAAAATTACTTTCCATATTTTATGTAAGTTTTTACATTCCTGCGCTGTTTTGGTTCTGCAGAGCCAAAAGGGCCTATAATTAGCGATACGCCCTTTTGGTATTGGGAAAGCGGCTCAGATTTTTTTTCGATTCTTATAGGCTTGTAGATCCTTATGATTTTTGAGATAGGGGCTGTAATTTTTTTTTCAATTTGACTTATTTTATTTGTTTGAAAATTTAAATTTTGTTTATTCGATTTTTTTGAAAATTTTAAAATTAGAATTTTTTTTTGAAAAGTTTTAATTATTTTGGAAAATTTGAATTTTTTTTTTAATTTTGAATAATCGTCAAAATTTGAATTTTTTTCATATCGACAAAAAAAGTTTTTCCAAAATTTGATTTTTTTATGCTGACGAAAAAAAAATTTAATGGGTCATTACCTATTACACATTTTTTTTATGAGTAATGTAAGATGTTCCATTACTTATTGCAAACTCATTGAATTGTTTAATGAGAATTGAAAATGTTTTACATTAATTTTTTTTTAATGGGAAATGGATTAGAATTACATTTCCATTAAAAAAAAATGACGAATGCATTATTTTTTACATTAGGATTTTTGCAACACTGACCTAAATGTTGTAAAAACATTTTAGAGGCATTTAAATATGGACTAATATTTCTAACACATTAGCAAAAATATTCATTCAATATTTTAAAAATATTTTTGTGTTATGTGGGAGTGACCTGTCATTTTTAGTTAACCACACAAATTCCCAGCTAAATGTGATAAATGTAACCACATAGTACATTTTTTTATAATTTTATTGTACATTTAATTTACAATGTTGGCTCAGTTTAACGTTCATTTGCAATTTAATACAAAAATTTAAAAAAAGGCTTTATCTACTTCCCCATTAATAAGCTGTGACTTTATGGCGTTTTAGTCACGGGCTGAAGTTAGCTTTATTATAAATTGGGAAAAAGCGAGGTTAAATCCGTTGACAGCTGACAGATGTTAAATTTTTAACGAATAAAATTTGCTTTTAATTCTTCTTTGTGAATCACAAATTGTGATCGTCGTAGAAGTATAGTAACAACTCGTTTTATAAACTTCTCCATGTCTGCAGACACTCGTTTTTATTTAAACACTCGCTTGCAAGCTTCGCTCTTGCCTAATAAAACTAAAATTGCGTTTATAAAACTAGAAACATAATATCCCAGTAAGCACAAGGCATTCGGCAAACTGTCGGCCTCCGCTCGGCACAAGCGGCAGGCCGGCTGTTCGGCTTGCCCCAGGCGGCCCGCTTACGGTCCTCATTATTGTAGCCCGGTTACCGTGTGGCCATCGTCTAACCCTGTTCGGTTAGATAGCGGCAATGCCACAGTTTACTGTGGCAATGCCGTTGCATATGCGGTTCGGCTTGCCCCCAACCGATCCGCGTACGGACCGTGTATGTAAGCCCGGTTAGCGAATGGCCATATTCTAGCCGAAGCCGTCCAGAACCTGGCCAGCATCACGATTTAATATTGTAAATTGGATTTGGGCGAGATTTAAATTAGCCGCTCTTGCTGGGTTATCGCGTTGGCCAATAGCTATCAACCATGCTCAGTCCGTTCTGTTGTCCGACAAGTGCATTGCCGCCATTGCGTGTGTTTGTTATAATTGCGTTGAAAGTGTTTTTCTTTTATAATCTGTGGTGTTTTTGTTTATGGTTGTCAGGTCGCACAGAACATAAGTTATTGTTATACATTGTTATATGGTTAAACATTGTTTTATGGTTGGCAGGTCGCCTACATTCACTCTGTGCCTACATTGTTGTTAAAGTGTTTTAAAGTACGTTACAAATTTTAATATATATTTTTCTCCGTGTATACTATGTATAAACTCTATTGTTTCTATGTTCTGGTTCTTATACTGATGTAGGGCGATTCCATGATTACTGACGGGACAAGCAAAAACAAAACAAAATGTTTTATGAAAATTTTTAAAGATGTGTTGTTCCTATAATAATAATTTTATGACATTCCTCAGCAATAAAAATTAGTAATAATAACCATAATAAAGTTATTATTATAGGAACAGCACAAATTTTCATAAAACATTTTGTTTTGTGTTTGCTTGTCCCGTCAGTAATTATAATTTACTATATAGGTAGTAAATTTAAACTTTTTGAACTGATTTATTTATTTATGATATTTATTTTATGTTTTAGAATATTGTTATATTTATTTGTAGAAATTTTATTTAAGAATAAACATTTTATTTATAATTTTGATTTTTTTTATTATTTTATCTATTGCAGCTTCGTGTGGCCGTCTATTAACCGACATTCGGCCGGGCGTACATGCCCGGCATTCGGCCAGACAGTTATGGCCGTCACCCGGCCACACGGTGATGGCCGTCACCCGGCCACACGGTGGTGGCCGACACTCGGCCGAGCCCTCGCAGCCGACCAGGCGGCCGAGCTCTCAAAGACGTCCAGGCGGCCGGGCGGACATGCCCGGTGTACATGCCGGCTTTGTACCGTGTAGCGGCCCGAACGCGGCCAATTCGGCCAAACGTATTCGGTCCTTAAGCGGCCCGTCTATCTTGTGCTTACTGGGATACTATTAAGGACTAGGTTTTAAATATCTACAATTCTTAGTGTCCATTTTTAAATTTTTAGTAAAGTTTAATGTTAATTTTTCTTATAAAAAATGACATTTTTAGTTGTCTTATTATAACAACTAAAAATGACATTTTTTATAAGAAAAATTAACATAAAACTTTTTTTTCTCCATAGTTGGGCAGTATATATTATATATACTTTGGGCAGTATATATTATATATACTGCCCAACTATGGAGAAAAAAATATATAATATTTAAAATTAAGCACAGTTACAATAATAATTTGCTTCTTTGAAGGTTTCTTCTTTAAAAGTTATTTTTTATAAAAAAAATGTTTAGTATTTTTAAATATTTTAATGATATGTTTTTAACCTTCTGGCTTAATTTAACGTATTTTTTTTCTGAAAAAGTTCCGTTTTGAAAAAAACTTATAATTAAAATGTTTAATCTTTTCGCATCTGCCATCTAAAAAAATTGCTACAATACTAAAATAACTTGCATTTTCAATATTTTTTCTTTTACACGTATTATAATACCTTTATTATAATATAATTATTATTTTTAACATGCAAAAAAATTTATTTAATTAATTTAACAAAAACGATTGCTTCCTCGACCACATTGCCAAAAGAATTACAAATAAACTTACATGGCTGCCTCGTCGTTGGCCTCTTCAATTTCTTGCCGATCGTTCATGTACACTTCATGGTTGTCTTTGATCTCCTGCCGAACGGACTGCAACTTGTTGTTTAATCTTTTCAATTTGTCGCGCTTAAAATCGACTTGCTGCTGAAGACTGGCGAAAACTTGTTTTAATTCGGTGCACGTTTCTTCTTCCAATTCGATTTTTTGTTGCATTTCGATCTCTCTTTTCTAGAAAACGATTAATTCATATTTTCAGTTTTTAAGATTCAGAAGAAATTAAAAACATCCTAGTACAGTCATCTTGGTCAAAAAAAGGGATCAACCTCGGAATCTAACGGAATAAGCTGAATTTTTGTGAAAACCTTTATTTTAGCATTATAAATGTTGTCTCAAAAGTCACATATGCCAACGTGTGAGCGGCCTTAGATATTCAAGGTCAAAGGTCGCAAAAATCAGTTTTTTGAGAATATCTCGTTTTCTTTGCCTCCTATCGTATTTGCATTTATTATAAAAGATGTAGAGAATAAAATTCTCTACAAATTTTGTTTACAATTTTTTTTTATACGTCGAACCGTTTTTGAGATAGAGGGCGCATAGTGTGGAGCGCTCAGCCATACGTACCTTTAGCGCAAGGTAAATCGTGAATTCCAATCTATTATACCGTTTTTTTAATTAATTATATAATAAATATTACTAAAATAAAAATTTAATACCTTATACTTATATTTATATTTCTTTTAAATCAAATATATTTTATCTTCATATATATCTTATATTTTAATTTAATTTTAATGAAGGATAATTATCAATTAATTGGATCGGAGTAGGAAAAAATGTTTTTAATTATATCAATATTATTATTATTATTATTAATCTTTATCTTCTTCATCCTCGTCTTCTTCTGGTTGGCCAGCAATTTCAGACTCATTCTCATCATCACTCCTCGTTATCATTGACATTAATTGTCATATCTTCAAAAACTTACTTATACGCGTTTGTACTTTTTTTGCATTTGTTGCCTTATCTGCGACTTCACCACAAAATAAGCACAATATTTTAAAATCAAACACATCATTCCCTTTTTTACGAGGTACAGTTGATGACGTTGAAGGTCCAGTCTCTTCAAGGCGACGTTTTGCTGCTGCAATTTTACTATAGTACGCTATAGCGTACAATTTTCGACACTCAATATGAAAGTTCACAGAAGTCAAAGTATTTAGGTAGTTTATGTTTATTTCTCTCAATAATTGCTTCTTTTAAAGTCTTATACCGCGCACAAAAGTCACAGAATCACCTTCAGAAAGTAACTTATTACAAATAAAACACAAATCAGCCATGTCAGCCTTTAAAATATTACGAATATTACCTGTCACAACCCTAGACGTATACCTAGGGTGTTTTAAATATAGGTATACCTAACTTTTTTATTTATAGCAAGCCCACTATAGTATTTCCAGGTCTTTTATTTTAAAAACAATATCTGGATCCAAGAGATGACCAGAGACATATTTAAGGCAAATTCATTTAATGTCTTTTCTTCTTAAAATGCATTTATCATTAATTAGAATAACATTAGAATATATTTAGAATGATTCACTTAATTATTTAATTATTTGTATGTCAAAAGTAAGTAATATTTAATGACTATTTGTTTTAAAAAAATATATAAAAATAAATATAAGGTATTAAATTGTTATTTAAGTAATATTTAATAAATAATTAATTAAAAAAAACGGTAAAATAGATTGGGATTCATGATTTACCTTGTGCTAAAGGTACGTATGGATGAGCGCTCCACACTCTGCGCCCTCTATCTCAAAAACGATTAGACGTATAAAAAAATGTTTTTAACAAAATTTGTAGAGAATTTTATTCTCTACAACTTGTATAATAAATGCAAATACGATAGGAGGCAGAGAAAAGGAGATATTCTCAAAAAATTGATTTTTGCGACCTTTGACCTTGAATATCTAAGGCCGCTCACACGTTGGCATATGTGACTTTTGAGACAACATTTGCAATGCTAAAATAAAGGTTTCTACAAAAATTCAGCTTATTCCGTTAGATTACGAGGTGAAATGCCTAGATGACTGGACTATCCCATGTTTTATCAATCTAAAGTTCATGCTAAACAAAAAAATAAAAAAATTAGAAAATTACTTACTTTTCTAGCTGCTATTTCCACCCTCTGCTGTTCCAGTCTCATCTCATTCTCGTTCACGCTATCGACGATATTTTTCCCGCCGTGCACCATTTGCTTCTCCAAAGTCTTCAATTTCCTACCAAGCTCGTCCACCTCCATCTTCCCAACCTCCAACTGTTTCTCCTTCTCCTCCTTTTTGCTATCGTCCTCGCTCTCGCTATCCTCATCCGCGTCATCGTCATCGTCGATGTTGACCATCTTTCCGTTGCTCTTTTCCATTATCATCTGTTTCAGTCTTTCGATTTCCGTCTGTAACTCGAGCAGTTTTCCGTCTTTGATGTCTTCGTTCTTGATGGGTTTGTTCTTGATGGACTTGGCGCGGTACGCGTACCTAAGATAATTCCATGCAAGTTTATAAAAGTACTTTTATCCTCAACTGAGTACTGACCCTGATAGCACAGTTTATTCTAAGAATGTTTTTTAAACCATACAGTGGGAATATTCTTAGGATCATGCTATATTTCTTCTAGTCATGTTCTAAGAATGTTTTTTAAACCTTCCAGTGAGAATATTCTTAGGATCATGCTATATTTCTTATAGTCATGTTCTAAGAATGTTTTTTAAACCTTCCAGTGAGAATATTCTTAGGATCATGCTATATTTCTTCTAAAGAACATGCTTAAAAGAAATATAGCATAATCCTAAGAATATTCTCATTGCCCTATAGACAGGTTCTTAGAAGGTGCAAAGTTTAGTGGTAAAAATTAATCCACTCTAAACATATGCTTAGAATGTTGAGAAAGTAATTGCTATAGAAAGTTTATTTAGGAATATTCCTGGAACATTCTGTTAAGCATATTCAGTTCAGTTAGGTACCTATATAATAGTAAAATATACCATAATCTACGTATAAAGGTACCTATACTTAGTATTAAATACTAAGTAAAAAACACAACCCAAAATATTTTTTTATAGTTATTTGTCAAATTAAAACAATATTCGATAACAAAAATACTTTTACTATAGGTATCTAAATTATCAGGCTTTTACATAAAATCTTCTATCCAACTTAAATACAATGAAACATGTTTTTTTATGAAGAACTATTTGGTTTTTTTATATTTTATTTTATGTTAAAAATAAATATTTATTAATTTGTATACCGATTTTTTATTTCTGAATTAACATTTTTATGTATAATAATCCTAACTATCTTCAACTTCAATCTAATCTGACTTATCCCACAAAATTTTACAATTTTACTTTTTATGAAATAAATACAACTTATGGTTTAGAGGTCAAATTGTTTATTTAATATTTTTAAATAAAAATATATTAATTTGTCGCAAAATTTTTTAAGGGGACGACAAATACATTTCACTGTCATATTATGACAGTGAGGCGTATTTGACGCCTCCTGAAGAATTTTACGAATGTAGAATCCAACATATTAGAACGTGAGTATCTGACATATTTGGAAATATTCTCAAAAGCTTCCTAGAAGCTCCATAAGAAACCTTCTAAGAACATTCCAAAAACGTATTCTTAAAATGTTTTTAGATTGCTTTTTAGGAAGGTTTTAAGAAGCTTCTAAGAATCTAAGTGCATCATTAAAAGGGTATCTATTGAATGTTTTAAAAGTCCCTAAGAACATTCTTAGCAATAAGGGAAGGTTCTAAGAATATTCCGTTATTCCGGGTCATATCTTCTTAGAAGATTCTTAGAATCAAATTTTACTATCAGGGGAGCAAGGTTGATGAAAAATACAAAGAGTTTCATATACATTTACCATGGCGATTCATCTTTGGAAGGAACTAACAAGAAAATTCAAGTCTTACCTCAGGGTAATAATGGTTTCATCGTAGTTCATGCTGGCCGGTCCAATGTTGGCTATCATTATTGTCTTGCTGTTGCCGCCGAGGGAGTCTTGCAGCAGTCTTGTAAGTTTGGAGTCGCGGTAAGGTATGTGAGCGGAGTTTTCCGCCAGAGCGTATATCACATTTCCTGGTAGAAAATGAGTTACAAACATACATAAGTTAAATAAATACTTACTTACTTATAGTCGTCGCGGCGAATGTTTCAAATTGCGTCATCAATGTCGAATGTCAAAAACCGATTTCTCGACACACGGGTTACCTAGCGGTTCGTTGGATTATATACGTAAAAAAAACAATAATTGTAATGTCCGTGCTTGGTTCAGAATTTGATAACGCAATTTGAAACATTCGCCGCGACAACTATAAGTAATGATACCTTTAATAAGCTCATTATTGTTTTCATTATATTAATTATATGTTTAATCTTGAGATTGGTAAGAAATAATATAATATTATATATATATATATATATATATATATATATATACAGCGTGACCCATTTGATTGCGACTCACCCCTGTAAAATCTTTATTTATTGTGCGATTTTAACCGGATTGTGTGAGTGTAGATCTTGATAAACTGTATTTTTGAAGCAAAAAACTTCATATTTTTACAAAATACAAGGCCTACTTTGTCAGTTTTTAAGAGTAAATTTTTAAGAATTTATATTAGCGATTTAAAAAAAAATCTAAGCATGGCACTGGATTCACCACCCCTCAAAACGACCCTATGAGACATTCTTTTACATATCGTACGGATTACAGAAAACATATTTTTTCAAATTTTTAAAATGACTTAATTTTTTTTTACAGCATCTTTTCATAAATTTAGCCGACCCCTATATCGGAATTTTTCCAGAAAATTAATTTTTCCAAAGATATATTGATTTAAACTTTTGATAAAATTTGAAAAAATGCTGAATTCTTTTGTACTTAAAATTCATTATCTCCGGTTCTACTGATCGGATCGATTTCATTTTTTTTTATTTTAAACCATATTACATAGTCTTTTTAGATAAATATTTAAAAAGTTTGTGTTTTGTTTATTATATGAAAAAAATATTTTTTTTTGTATAAACAGATTTTTTGTGTTTGCCCCCACTATGAAAAAAAAATTAAAAAAATACTGTTCTATGCACTATTTATTACTCTACAAAATGAATTTTTCAGAAAAATGGAGACTTTTTTGGATCGGAAGATATTAAATATTTTCGAGCGCGTGACCGGTACAAGCCGTAAGGGGGCATCCATTAATTACGTGAGGCGTTTAGGGGAGGGAGGGGGTCAAGCCAAATCTCATCAATTTTCACGTAAGGGAGAGGGGGGGTCTCGGCAAATATCACGTAATTTTTAACAAAGTATGTTTTTTTAAATAAATCCAACAGAATCAAGCAGTTTAACGTATAAACATTAAAAATAAGCATTTTTTAAAATCTCACGTGATATTAGGGGGAGGGGGTTGAGCCAAATCTCACGACATCTCAGCAAGGGGGGAGGGGGTCAAAAAATCGCTAAAATTGACTCACATAATTAATGGACACCCCCTAATCAGACATCTTCGAAACGCTAACACATTTAGGATAGTGTAAACTCATACATCGTTTTAAAAAAATACCAGCGCTTTTTGTAAATTAATTCTGATTTTAAAGGTTTTCAATAATTTTAAATAAATTAAATTTTAAATAATACAAACTCCAATTAATGAGTAAATTTATTAACTGGCAGAATTGACATTTGAACAAATAAGTCACCAATTAAAATATGTCGAATCAATCAGTCCTGTCACGCGCTCGAAAATGTTTAATATCTTCCGATCCAAAAGAGTCTCCACTGTTCTGAAAAATGTATTTTGTAGATAAAGAAAAAGCGCATAAAATAGTATTTTTTTCCTTTTATTTTATAGAGGGGGCAAACATGAAAAACTAGTTTAAAAACTTAATCTATTATTAACTATACTTAAAAAAAAAATTAATTTATTTATTTGAAAAGCGGCTTTTCAAAAGCCTATTCAATAAGGTTTAAAACAAAAAAAACAAAATCGATCCGATCAGTAGAACCGGAGATAATGGGTTTTATGTAGAAGAGAATTCATCGTTTTATCTCAATTCGTAAAAACTTTATATCAACATATCTCTGAAAAAACAATTTTTTTACAGAAAACCTGATACACGTATCTGCTTATTTACTGAATAGAAGCGGTAAAAAAATTTTCATGCAAATCCAAACCCTGAAGTCAAAATAGGTGTACGATTTGTAAAAGAATGTCTCCTATACTAAATTTTATTTAAAAATTTTAAGAAAAAAAATGCACAATAATAACTATAAAAATTTATTTTGTCAAGTTATCCATGAAAAAAACATTAAATAAAATTAAACTAATAGTTACATTGTACTATTATTCAATTTTATTTCAATGTTGTTTTCATGGATAACTTGACAAAATAAATTTTTGGTGTTTTTATTTTGCATTTTTTTCTTAAAATTTTTTAATAAAATTTAGCATAGGGTCGTGCTTAGATTTTGTTTAAAAAAATCGCTAAAATGAATTCATAAAAATTTACTCTTAAAAACTGACATAGTAGGCCTTGTATTTTGTACTAATATATATGGCGTCTTTTGCTCCAAAAATACAGTTTATCAAGATCAAGATAAAACAAATCCGGTTAAAATCGCAAAATAAAAAAAGATTTACAGGGGGTATTTCCATTGTAACGGGTGCGACACTAAAACTGCGTTTTTTTATAATAATAAAGTGTTTGTTCATATATATCAAGATACGTTAATATAAAAAAAATAGTATGAAAAATTAGGAATTTAACTCAAACAAAATGTCAATAAAAACTTGTAAAGAAAACCTTTTATAATGTCATGAATAGCGTAACGGGCGCGACCTTAGAAAATCGGAAATTGCGACCAAGTTGGCTTCTAAAGTTGATACTGTAAAATTTTGGATGAAAGCATATAGTAATAATTTTTTGTGTAAAACTTGAATAGTAACCTTAAACAAGCACGTATTTTAAATGCACAAAAATTGCATACTTTATTTTCTAAAATTTTCTTAAAATATTTTATGTAACGGGTGCGACATTTGAACATTTTATCGAGTACTGAAACTCTTCCGTGTGTATTCTTAATGTTAGCTTTAGCATCACAATGTAGGAATATTTTAAGGTTATAAATTACGTCGAAATTAAATTATTCGACTTCAAATATAGTTGTTATTTTGTTAAATAAAACATCTGATTTTTTGTCAAGGTGGGCGCGGTCTGCATGGATTAATGGTATTTTTGTAGAAGAAAACCAACAATGTATTTTAAATGTTTAGTTCAACTTAAAAGTTATAGCCGTCCAAAGTTTAAACAACTATAACCTTTGAAGTTGATCTTAATTTTCCCGACCGCATCTAGGTAATTTTTGATACCTCTAAAATTTTTGCAGTGCTATAATCTAGACGTTTTTATTAAACTTTTTGTAGGAAATTTAGTCTTAAAGTTTTAAAATTTTAGCAAAAAGTATTTTAATTTAGGTAATCTAAATATTTTACTAATTTTAATTGTTTAACAAATAAAATGGGTGGAAAACAATGTATTCATATAAATAAATAAATTTCTCTTAAAATAATAATTTTAGAGATATGACTTTTTTGTTCAAAAATAAATTCCAACAAAAATGTATTTGCTTTTTTTTTAACTTTACAAATTTTAAATTATAATTTACTGCCAAATTTAAATTGTTTTCTTTGCAAAGAAGAGGTCAATGAAGCATATTGAATTCATAAAAGAAAAAAAACGGTAAAAAATACATGAAATAAACAAAAGAAATGGATGTTTATATACCCTCATGTATTTTGGACATTAAAAAAATTCCAAAATTATTTTTAATTTTTTTTTATTTTATTATGTTAGGACAATCTATTTATCTATACCTACATATAAATAAAATTAAAGTGTTGAAATGTTTTCCCGCAGGTTAATCTCCGAAACATCTAAACGGGACTCTTATTGGCAGGTAGATGACTTTTCAGCGAGCAACATAGGCTACTTTTCATCACCTACTGACGTCCCCTAATGGGGTTAAACTCAACACTGACTGACACCACAAAAAAAGTTAAAAATGTTGTTTACATGTAAGATTCTTTATTGTGTGTATTGTTTGTAATAAAAATTCCACCGGGGTTTCAAACTAACATCCCGCTTTATGACCGTCACCGTGAGCGGTGGGAGCGGTTATTGTAACTTTTTTGTTCGACTTTTTTTACCAATGGAAACGGGAATGGCAATGGGAATGAAACGAAATCGCATCAGAACGTGTCGTAAAAGGAACAAATCACAGACTCAATTTTATTTCTATGTATAGATGACCCCTTATTTTCCTAAGAACAACGGGAGCGAAGCCCCGGGTATTCAGCTATAGCTGAATACCCGGGGCTATTATTAATAAACTATAGTTTATTAATATAAGAAAATTTGAATTTTTTTAAATTTAATTCAATTCTTTGACACAATTTTTTAAATAAGTGGGTCGGGCGTGATGTCGAAAATCAGTGTAAAACTACTTCTATTATAGAGATTAGTCACAAACCATACCGTTGAAAAAAACGATTTTTGCTATCGATTTTTTCTTAAAAATTAATTTGAACGATATGTCATAAATTATATAATTTATATAAATAAAAAATAATATAAATAATAATAAATAATAAAATACTTTATTTTCATCCCAAGAAACATACAGTTTATAGAGGGACACCTCTAATCATACAATTTAATAAATATTTTTTAATTCTTAATACATTTTTTAAATCTAAATTAATTTTACTTTATTAATACATTTTAATTCTAAATAGGAACATATCATTTAAATAAATATAATATCACAGAAAAAAGAAAAAATATTACGATATATCATTGTTTATTCAATAAAATTCGCCAAACAAGACGACATATGCTTTTTAAATTTAAATCCTTTAAGTTCTTTTATATTGTTTGGTAATTTGTTATAAACAGATGCTGCCTTAAACAGTATAGAGTTTTTACCGAATTCTGAAAATACTCGATGTAAATCCACATTTTCACTGATTCTGGTTGCATAATTATGCACATCTCTTCTATGAGAGAATTCAATACATGAGTGGCGTGATCCGTTTAAAACTTGATTTATAAAAATATTTACTTGATATGCATATATACTTTATACTTTATAATGGTATATTGGTAGGTATAATAGGCGTGTCAAGTTTTACGAATGAAGCATACAGGGTGTCCGAGAATATGTGGGCAATCTCCCGGATTTAGATAGAACCCATAAAAATAATATGACCTAACATTTTTTTCTCACAGCCCCACCTAAGGAGATAATGGCCCATAACGGACGCCCCTGGAATGAAGAAAAAAGATCGAAAATTTTAAAACACTATTTTTTTAACTGAAACTGACATCATTATTTAAACCGGTAAATGGCATGAAAAAACATTGATTATTGAAAAGATAAAAATAAATTCAAAAACATTTTTTTTTCGTAAACAGTACATTTTATCGATGTCGATTAAGATCAACGTTATTCTAGTTTAAGGTTTAATCTGACTAAAAATATTATTGTTGTGCCTTTATAGTACAGGGTGTTAAAAAATAGCATTACTCTGTTTTTAAACTCCACCTAGTAGTTCAAAAGTTATTTAAAAACAATTGATTTCCAGGGGTGTCCGTTGTTCACTGCCGGCAAAATTAAATGGTCAGTCCAATGTTTACATAAACTTTTGAAATATTGGCGTAGAGAAACTATTTAATGCTTTTGTATTTTTGTATTGAGATAATAAAATAATTTTCACATTTAGTATTATTTTACAAGAAAGGCACTTTATTTTAACGATTTTATGACATTCGACAACTGTCAACTAACTTAAAGCTAACTTCAGTCCGTGACTAAAACGCCATAAAGCCACAACTTTTCAATGTGTATTTAAAAGGTCACTTAGGGCCGGTTTTTCAATCATAGTTTAAATTTGGTTCAGCATTTGAACTTGGTTCAAACAAAATATGCCGTTTTTCAATCAAAGTTCAAGCTTGAATTTGGTTTAAACTAAATCAAAAGATGAACCGTCACTGTTGACCGTTTAAACGAAGTTCAACTTGACATAACTTAATTTTTCTCTGCTTTATTGTGTATTACGTTGTTTATTTCTTGTTTTGTGATCTGCTGTTATAATAAACCAATGGATATGTTAGTGAGGATGGTGAGGAAATTGGCGAATTCCTAAATAATATTCAACTTCGTGTGCACAGGCCACGGGTAAGACCGAATCATTTTGAAAGTTTTCCAAACCTTTTGTACATAGGATAGTGGATTTAATTAGACCAGTTATTGCAAATCCGACCAATAGGTTAGTTATAAAAATAATTACTGAATAGGTAATAGAATTTAGTGAAATTGATCACATGTAACAAAAAACGACAAATTCATTTTATACTATAAAACGAAATACATACAAATAATTCCTCATTAAAAGAGGTAAAGTTGGCAGCACGATTTTTATCCATAATAAATAATAATTATTGTTCTTTAACAATAGTAAATTGTTTTAAAAGACATTGAAAAACTCATTTGACTGTGAACTGAGTTCATTAACTGATCTAAGTTCCCCTGAACTAAGGTTTAGACCCTAATTGAAAAACCGGCCCTTAAGTAATTAGTGTCATGGAAACATGTACGATAATGGGAGTTTTAAAGATGGGAGTGGAAAAAATCATTTAAAAAATTATAAAACTTAGTCATAATCATAAATCTTACCTAAGGAAGAGAGAGCCTTATTAATCTTGGTGGCCTCGCGCAATCTGTCTCCGGTAGCGCCCGTCTTGGATTGCCTCTCGCTACCGGCCAGATCGACGAGATTCAACTTTCCGCACTTCACCGACTTCGAGTCGCCCTCCGCCATCTCGATGACTATTTGAAAGATGGCGTGCGATCGCGAGCTGTGCTCGTTCATGTTCGTCGCGCCCGTCGTGCGATTCGTGTTGCCTAACACCATCGCCTTCAGCATGTCCTCCGCGCTTTGGCATGTTTGTGAATGGAGGTTGGTTACAGTGACGCCCTGGCCGTTTAACTCGCGCAGTTCGTGCGTTTTTGTACTTTTTATTTTTAGTAAATCCCTAAAGAAAGATGTAATTTTTAAAAATTGTTTTAATGTGGGAAATTTCTAATGGGTGCAGACATATACCTCGTCTAATGGTTCGGATAAGATTAAAAATAAATAAAAACATTTAAGCATTACACCAATGCGTAAAAATTGTTTATATCTACATTAGGGTGTCCCTTATTTTTATTTTTTTTACGCATACCCTCTAATTATATTTATTACTTGTTTATATACTCCCAGTAAAAATTTTAGCTCATTCTATAAACGGGAACCCGTGCCGACTTGCATCTAAACCCTCCGTTAGCCAACGTTAGGCGCGCGCGGTATTTTGTAACACGAAACACTGAATGATGAGACCCAATAAAGGTCGAAACAGCTGTCTGTCGGTATTTGAAGTTGGTGGAACGCATTCAAAACAAAAATCTTTGGCGAGGTGTAGGTTCAATTTTTTCTTATTTCTTATGAATAGTACCAGTGATGGGTCAAGAAAGTTTCTTAAAGAAACTAAGAAAATTGAATGTTTACCTTAATGTTTAGCCCGTTTGGGTTAATTCTAGATTCCTTTAGGCCATATTAGTATCTGTGATACAATTGCTGTGTGCAGTCCCGGTTGCATAGTATGTACCGATTGCAGCAAAGGCCACGTCGTTTGACGGTGAGGATCACCTGATGTTCTTACATCTCGCCTCTGTTGACTTAACAACCGAGCATATAAGCTGAGGGAGTAATTTGTTTTGATTGTGTTCCACTACACCAAGTTGCCCGACACTGATGAGACCCAATAAAGGTCGAAACAGCTGTCTGTCGGTATTTGAAGTTGGTGGAACGCATTCAAAACAAAAATCTTTGGCGAGGTGTAGGTTCAATTTTTTCTTATTTCTTATGAATAGTACCAGTGATGGGTCAAGAAAGTTTCTTAAAGAAACTAAGAAAATTGAATGTTTACTAATTCTAGTGGCTAACGTTAACGACTCGTGTTAGTGAATTGACCCGTATATTTAGCTCAGTTTAACGTTAATTTACCCAATCCGGAAAAAAATCCTTAAAATTCCTAATATTTCTATAGACTTTCTGCTTTTTCATTATTTTTAAATTATACAGTTATTACAAGTAAAAAATGGATATTTTACATTTTAGCTCACTATCGTTAATTTTTTAAAATAATGTTTTAAACAAATAAATATGTACAACTTTTTTTTTTATTATTATTATTTTTATTTTACATTAAAATTCAATTACTTTTGTCTGAAAAAGCGCTACAAAAATACTAAAAATAATTTAATTTATTTATTAAATTTAATCTTTTTATAAATTATACATTAAAATTAAATTTGTATTACATTTTTAGCGCAGTTTTTTGTTGATTTTCTGAAAAAGTGACTTGGTTTTACAATAAGAATGGGTTTTTGGAATTTTAATTTAATATTTCTTATAGAGCTAGCCACTTTTTCAGAAAATTAACAAAAAACTGCGCTAAAAATGTAATACAAATTTAATTATAATGTAGAATTTTTTCAGCTGAAAAAATTTGAAAAAGTTATGTTTTCTAAAAATGGGTTTACTTATAAAATTTTAGCTTAGTTTAACGTTAATTTCCCTTTTCTAAAAAAGTGCTAAAAAATTGCTTAAAACTATAAAATAAATAAAATTATACGGTAAAAAAACATTTTTAACATTTTTCAGTGCATATTTCAAAACTAATAAATAAAACAAACTAAATGCTTTTGTCTTTTAACTTGTTCTATATATATTTTCTGGTATATTTGTCAAAAATTTTCGGTAACCTACATTTATTTTAATTTAATTTGTTTGAACTTGACACAATAGACTCTATGAACAAAATTATTACAAATTTTAAATTTGTAATTTTATTTATAAAATTTATTAAAAAAGGTTACCTATAGGTATATATATATATATATTAAATTTTATTGTAATATAATAAAAAAAATTAAATATTTTTAAATTTAAACATTTTCATTCATTCATACATTGTCTCAGACAATAAAAAATATAAAAATTAATTATTTTATAATTAATGATCAATGTCCCAGAGGTATATATAATATTATATACCTAGTATATTGTATTTTAAACATTTTCATACCTTATTTCTTCTAGATATATTTCTAAATATCGCACGCTGACCAAGAATTCCACGCCGGTTTTTCTGTCAATATGTGACCAGATTTGCTCGAACGCCCTGGGTATGATACCCATGTCAGCGCCATCTCCACCTTCCATAGTAAAGGTCTTACCGGTTCCGGTTTGACCGTACGCAAATACGCAACCATTGTACCCTTCTAATACTGATGCTACTAAAGGCCTCACTGTTTCATCGTAAATGCTTTGCTGGTTAGATCTAAACCAAAAAATGTTTGTTAAGTACATGATACAAATAGAACGACAAAAAGTCAAAATATTCTTTAATTACACAGCCCCACAAAAAACGATGTTCTGGCCTGGGGATCAGACCATGTTTGCCATATGTTTTTGGGATCGCTGAAGCCGAATCCAGAGCCCGTTTAACCCCATCCAAAGATATCTTTGACCCCATCACGTCAGTTTTTAAGATAACCTCAAATAACCTAATACCCTATTAAAAATGCCCTATAGAACCCATATTGATCCAGATAAGGAAACTAATGTGGATTTATATGGTTCCATATGTCCTATATATATACCCTATTAAAAATGCCCTATATATATGGGTTCTATAGAACCCATATTGATCCAGATAAGGAAACTAATATGGATTTATATGGTTCTATATGTCCTATATGGAACGACCTGGTTTACACTTTGAAATCTATATGGTTTAATATGGAATTTCATTTTAAAATGTACAACTTGGGGATTTTTATATGGATTTATCTGGCTTCTGTTTTATGTGTCTTTCCATATAGGTTTCCCTATATGGTTGAATATGGAATTCCATTTTAAAATGTATATATATTAGGGTGTGCCAAAAAAACTCGATATTTCTTTTTTCTTGCTCTCCACCCAAAATATCGTAGAATATGCCCGAACAAATATTCTGTTAAAAGCGGAGCTCATAATTTCAATTTTAAGAGGTCCCTCATCGAATCTGAAGTTTTGCCGCTTAAATAACACAGAAAACTGACTGTTTTACCTTATTTATTCTTGCAACCTAGGAAGAAATTTTTTTTTCATAAAATCCATTACCAAATCTTACAAAGCATTAAATTTGGACGAAAAAATCTTATTAAGCCGAATTTCTATTTTCATTATTTGATTTTTTACAGAGCTTTAAATTTAAAATTTTACGTTTTTTGCCTTTTTCAGCTAAACTATTGAAGTTAGACGAAAAAGTCAAAAGGCAATTTTTTAGCTTGTCTGATGGACCACAAAAAAGTTTTAGACGAATTTTTTGTATCGTCAATATTCTAAAAGTTACAGGCGTATAAATTCATCATTTTTGTATTATTAACTTTAAATTTAAAGCTCTGTAAAAAATCAAATAATTAAAATAGAAATTCGGCTTAATAAGATTTTTTTGTCCAAATTTAATGCTTTGTAAGAATTAGTCATGGATTTTATGGAAAAAAAAATTCTTCCTAGGTTGCAAGAATAAATAAGGTAAAAAAGTCAGTTTTATGTGTTATTTAAGCGGCAAAACTTCAGATTCGATGAGGAACCTCTTAACATTGAAATTATGAGCTCCGCTTTTAACAGAATATTTGTTCGGACATATTCTACGATATTTTGGGCGGAGAGCAAGAAAAAAAAAATATCGAGTTTTTTTGGCACACCCTAATATATATATTTAAACGATATATCTATATGGTTTAATATGCAATTATAATTGCATATTAAACCATATAGATTTCCCTATATGGTTAAATATGGATCTATATGGTAATAATTTTTTCACACCCAAACCATATTGGGCCAGATAGAGCAATATGAACCTATATGGCAATCCATATAGAAATCACTTTTCTATATGGTTTTCCAGGTATGGAATTCTATCTGGTTCAATAGTGCAATGCCTGTTTCAAATTCCTATATTGAACCAGATAGATATTTATTTTGTGTTTCTATATGGCATTTTTAATAGGGAGGTTGAGTTAAATTGTTTAAACAATTGAGTTATGTGATTATTGGGATTCGGATTATGGGGTTTACATGGCAAAAAACTTAATAGTACAAAAATATACCATTAAAACCAGGATTTAAAAATATTAGTGGATATACATCGGTAAACAGGGTGTATCTTAATTGGATGCTAATATATTAGCATCCACCGAACAAAAAATTGTTAACAAATAGAAGAGTCACTTGAACACAGCGTTGCCAGACCACGAATAAATTCTGTACTGATTTTACTGAAAAGGTACTGTTTTCAAAAAAATACAAGACTCTGGTAATATTTTGATTATATTGCTGGTCTGTGGCTTTAATGTTAGTAGGTACTTGTACTCAACCAAGGTGCATGCATACAAGATACATGTATCTTAGTACTCAACAAACTTAACTCTCTGGCGGTCACGCAATTTAAAATATACCAATATATTTCTTAGGATTTTAAACACATACTTCCAATGAAGTATGTGATTTTAAACCCACGTCCCTGTTTGTCTATGTATGCTTAAATGTTATTTGACAAATGATTAAATTTAGCAATTTGCACCGCCAAAAAATAAGAAGCAATAACGCGTGATCGCTTTTTATTTTACTGCCTTAGTTATATTTTATAAAATCTTATAAAATCTATACGTTAAAGTTATAAATGCACATACCTACCAAAGTGCGCTTTAATGGCTAGATTTTGACATAACAATGAATAATTAATTGAGATTGTATTTTGTATCATGAATTTGCTATATTTTTGGATAATTATTTAACTTTAGGTTCATTTTTACATTTTTAAGTTTAGTTTAGTTTACTTTTATCAATAGGTTTTCTTCATATACTTTTATATAAATATTGGAGATGGTCAAAAAAATTCCATTGAATTCAGGTTAACCCTCAGGTTAATTAACCTGAACTTTTAAATAAACTTTTGAAATTTAAATTTTAAACATAATATTAAAATTAAAATAAAATAACCATCAATTGATGGTTTAAACAATTGTTTACAAAAGTAACTATATATAAATATTAATCTGATAAGTACTAGATAATATGGATTTGCATATATTTGTCCATATCTGGATAATATATCATATTTATATTCTTTAAGAAGAAATTATTAATTACCAACATCCTTTTAATATTCAATTTGAATAATTGTAATAAATCACATTAATAAAAATAATATAAACCCACACTGTATAATATAATATTCATATAAGTTATATATATATGATATAACACATGTTATTATTAGCAATTACTCATTTATTGGACCATCTCCAAAAAAAAATTGAAAAAACACCAAACATTTTTTAATCAATTTTTTTTGCATGTTATGATGAAATTGAATAGGTATTTACTCAATAAATCATTGAATTTACACATGAGTAATCACTGCCATGACCCAAATCTTACTTACAATTCATCATAGACAGCATCATAAGTAAATATTTTATTCTTTTCATTTTCACTTCTTGCTTTGGGGTTTTCCACCTCTATTACACCCCTTGTGGAGTAAATTTTCACTACATCCGTGCATTGTGATTCAAATTCCTTTACGCTTAAGGGCCTACATCTAACTATTACTTGTACTGCTTCGTTATTTGGGTTTTTCTACAATAGGAAGTTGGTTATTTTATGTAACATTGACATTAATTTACCCTAATTACCTCAATAGATGTATCTTTTTGGGTTGAGCCCATTTTTAAATTAAAGGTATATTTACGTGATTTTCAGGTGGTTTATATCATTAAATTATCCTTTTATCCGTTCTAAACACAAACATTAACTATCGCAGTACATTTTCATTTTATTGATTTGTTTAGCAGCTTGCGATATTTCAAAATAGTGCCATCAGTTTTTTTTATTCTATGACAAGAACCATACATCTAGCGGACAATTACTGAAACCGTACTGTCAGAGGTGATTGTTATTATAGATTTCTGTAAAAACGTAAGAATTTTATCATTGATACGCAACGATTTTATTTAAAAAATGCGTGTTAAAAATTTTATTTAGGTTAATTTCAAATATACAAGTTTGTTTTATAATAATTACATATAAAAATTTTAATTTAGTAATATTAGAACAATTTAATATAGCAGTATGAAGTTGGCTCATATCGAAAGTACACGTTCGCCAACAAAATTTGGGGACTTTTTTGACAGTAATTTTAAATGTCCCAATAGTGCTCTAGTCTATATAGAATTTATTAATTTGGCAGGGAATATATACAATTTAAGGTAATTATAACGCAAAATCCTTTTATTTCATGATTAAATACGATTAACAATTTATAATCGTTAATTTTCCACGGTAGAATTTCGCAAACACTTGTGCTAACTGTCTTTCTCATACTTCCACATTTTTGACGTCGATGTCATTTGTATCCACATATTTGTATAAAATAACTGGTTAATTTATATAATATACTAAATATTTAAGTTATTTACATTATTAAATAGTGTTAATTATATAGTCCAACACTTGGTTCTTAAATAATTTAAAAAAAATCCTATTAACCACTTAGGAAGTATTGGTTAGGTATATTGTTAAAACTATTTTAGATGTCTGGGTCTGGTCATAAACACCGCTACAAGAACACAGCACTCGATAGTGTTGAATTGAGGCGGAGGAGGGAAGAAGAAGGTGTTCAGCTGCGTAAAGCTAAAAGGGAGCAACAGTTAAATAAAAGAAGAAATGTCAATATTAATCAGTTGCAAGAAGAAGATGTTCCAGTAAGTCACACTTTTACCACTTGTATATCATATTTTACTTACAAAACCAATTATAGTTGGAAGATGTATCATCTCCATTGACCCCAGGAATTACAGCTGATATGGTGCACGATCTTTATAGCAATGACATTGAGAAGCAACTATCAGCCACACAGAAATTCAGAAAATTACTGAGCAGGGAGCCAAACCCGCCAATTGATGAAGTGATTCAAACAGGAATCGTGCCCAGATTTGTTGAGTTTTTACAAAACACCACCAATTGTTCATTACAGGTTAACTTTGTGTAAAAACATCATTGGACATTTCTTTAAATTTGTGTTTTACAGTTTGAGGCAGCATGGGCATTGACAAATGTGGCTTCTGGAACTTCTCAACAAACTCGAATGGTCATTGAAGCTGGAGCTGTGCCTATTTTCATTGCTTTGCTTGGAAGTCAATATGAAGATGTTCAGGTAAGTTGTTGAAGTTAAATCCAGTAAGATTTTACTTAACTACATTATGTAGTCTATAGTGATGTAAAATTCTCGAGCACGTACGAGCACAAACGAGCATGAAAGAAAATAAACGTGCATAAACGAAAAAAACCCGAGAATTTATATAAAGGAGAATTTTGAGCATTTTTAGCATTTTGAGAATTTTGAGCATTTTCGGAAAAAACAGGAAAAGTAAGTTTTTGTATACTTTATCACACCCAAAACATATGTTTGGGGTGTGATAAAGTATTCAAAAACTTACTTTTCCTGTTTTTTCCGAAAATGCTCAAAATTCTCAAAATGCTAAAAATGCTCAAAATTCTCCTTTATATAAATTCTCGGGTTTTTTTCGTTTATGCTCGTTTATTCTCGTTCATGCTCGTTTGTGCTCGTACGTGCTCGAGAATTTTACATCACTAGTAGTCTACATATTTGAATTAAGATTTTGTATTATAAATTTTGGATATAAAATATGTTAAATTTATGTAACAATATTGTTATATAAATTTATATTAATTTAAATTATATAATCTTAGATTTTCAAGTCCATTAAATATTGTTTCTTTTTTTTTATATAATATATAAAAAAAAATTATATATTATATATAATTATGTCAAATAATTTTTTTCCAAATGTATTGTTAATATATTAATGTATTTATATAGGCAGAAAGACCTCGGTCATTAGCCTTTTGGTTTATTCCAATAAAGATATTTACTACTACTTAAATTATATGAAAATTACCTGTTTAATTATTTACTATGAAAATATTTTAAATTGAATTAAATTTACTGATTGCAATGGGTGTTTTTAAAACTCTTTACATTGAAATATAAAATATAAAACAAGCAACAAAGGTTTTAAAAAAAATTTTATTAAATATTATTCTTTATAACTTTTAATTAAAATTGTTTACTTTCTAAAATTAAATTAAATTTATTTTCTAAAATTAAAATTATTTCAGTTATAAAGAATGACGTTATAAAGAATACTTGAATATTTGATTAGTTTATAATCTTTATAACTTGAAGTGCTATTTCAAAAATTAAAAGTAAAACTATTGAGGTATTCTTTAGAACTATTTATGTATTTTTATAACTAATTATTTAAGTATTCTTTATAACTTAATAAAATATTTATTGAAGTATTTTTTATTACTTAATAACATATTTATTGAAGTATTCTTTATTACTTAGTTATAAAGAATACTTCAATAAATATGTTATTAAGTTATAAAGAATACTTAAATAATTAGTTATAAAAAATACTTAAATAGTTCTCCTTTATTACTTTAATAAATAATTAAAGTGTTATTATTATTAATGTAGGTAATGTAGGTAATATAAAATAGTTGTTGAATTCTAAATTTATAAAATTATTCATTGGTGATTGTCTTCATATTTAGTTGCTTAATTTATATTGCTGTCTTGTTCTTTCTAAGTTAAAAAAAATCTTATAAAATGATAGTCAATAATATTTGGTTATTACATTGTTACATTTTCAATATTTATTTAGGAACAAGCAGTTTGGGCTCTAGGCAACATAGCAGGTGACTCCCCAGAATATCGCGACTACGTTCTTGATCAAGGAATTTTAGTCCCACTTTTGCAGTAAGTACCTACTAGGGCATACAATCCCAAACAAAATTAAAATCTCACAATTTCTCATATCACGGGATTTGCGGGACTTGAAATAATCATTTCTAAAAATTGGGTAAAACAGATTTTTATTAAACGAATTTGGTATACCATGATAAAAGTCTTTACTTGATATACAAATTCAAACTATGGTGAAACACGGACTTGGTCAAAGGTAAATATAAAAAAATATTTTTTGAATTTAAAAAACTGTGTTATAAAACACATCTAAACCGGTTTTTACGGAAACAAATTAAACAACGTATCTTCTGTGATCTAAAATTAGATTGACATTTTTTAATAGAAAAGTCTAACCTTTTATTAGTAAAACTTTGTTATTATTCTTTTTTTAACTTATTTCTAAAAAACTCTTTTCCAACTATTTAAAAAAAATCTGATTTATGCTGACTAATTTCTGCAATTTTTCTATGCAAGTTTACTCTTATACTTTTTGCAATTCCAACTTGCATAATACAAACCACAGAAAAATTTAAATTAAAATTTCATAAAATATAATGTACAAAATCAAACTTAGTTCCTGTCACATCACATAATATAGATTATGTAATAGAATTTAGAATACAAAGAAACAACACACAAATGACTTCAAACAACAAACCAGCGTCTCTAGGGAATTAAAAGTGTGAATTGGTTTGAAAAAAATTACTAACTTTTCCTCAGACTTGCTTGCAACTGGCAGTCAAATAATTAATTTTGTCTTATTTTCCGCGAAAACCGGATCTTCGATTTGCTATAATGGAACCCAAAAAATGAAATAATCTAAATTTGCAGCACTTTTTATGCATTTTTTTGTATTTTACATGTATACAGTTAACAATGAAAAGTATTGGGTTTCTTTATTTTAGAATATTTCCAAAATTAAACAATGTAAAATTTTATAAAAAAAAAGAATTATGGGGACGTGAAGAAACACGAATTAAATTATTTTACACAAATAAATAATTATTGCCACACGCAAGTATACAATTAAGAAAAACATGCTACTTTACCTTAGATACATTATATCTTTTTTCCTATATACACAAAAAATACATATTTGAGGAGCTCCAAGAAAAAGGACCTAAGCTTCCCAGCGTTAATTTTTGAAGAGAATTTTTAACGCGTTGTTACTTGCAAAATGTTTAAGTAAAAATATTTCTGACTTCATATAACTAATTAGTCTTTAGTCTTAGTCTTTAATTCCTCTGTAGCTAGGGATGCGACTTGAAAAAAAAACGGTCCGTTTTTTTGTTTTTTTTTTCATTGTTCTTTTTAAATGGTTTTTTTCATATTTTAGTTTTTTTCAAGATTAGTCCCATTTGCCTAATTTTTTATGTTTACAGTCCAGTTCATGGACTAAAATTAGCCAATAAATGACAATTAGTAAATGTAAATACAGTCTCGCGCTTTGCACGCGCCACCACCACCAAATTGACCAATAAGGGCCGCGCTTGTTTTGATTTTTTCCATAAAAATGTAACTACCTATAATATTTTTGATTCAGCGCTTGATTTTTCAAAAAGCTACCAAAAGCACTTTTTTTCATGATTTTTCAAATTCATGTTGAGTATGGAATTTTTTTTGTTTCAAAAAAATAGCGAATTTTTGTAGAACATTTATTCATTCAAGTCAGAACATCCGTAGACCAAAAAAGAAAGCCAAAAAAATTTCGAATTTTTTATTACTGTATTTGTTAGGATTGAGCGTTGCACGTTTTTCATCTAAAATTGCTTTTTTACGGCTCCAATAGGACCATTTTTAACGAAGATACAGATATCCGAAAAATCGCAAAAAATTTGGAATTTTTTTTATCCTTTAATTTTTTCTATTGTAGAAGTTTTACATTGCTATTGGTTTCTTATGTGGAAACTACCAAATAATAAGAAATCCGATTTTTTAGTCTCGGTCAAAATTTTCAAAAATGAAAAATGTAATATATTCTACATTTCACTTTATTATTAATATACATTTTACTCAAAATTTCATTTTGAAAAATTACTCCATTTTTTAAGATTGATGTTATTTATTGACAGAATATGCTTTATTGTAGCGGATTTAAAAAAAAACAAAAAAACCGTTTTTTTCCATGATTTTTTCACATCTGAAAAAAAACCGTTTTTTTACAACTCTCTCTGTAGCAATCATAATCAGAAATCGATTTTTGGACGCTTAGGTCCGTAAATAAACCACGGGCCAACTATTGGGATTGGCTATCGTTTTTTTTCCTATTTCGCATATCCTTTGCGTTAGACAATTTTAATTTTCAAACATGTGTCGAGTTTTTCTATGTGGCGCGAGTTCTGGGACCCCCTGTGTTAAGTCCCGAAAATTCAGAGATTTAGTAATAAAATCCCGGGTATTTTCGAGATTTTTTCTAGATCCTGGGATTCGGGATACCGGGATCGTATGCCCTAATCGCCACCAAATAAACACAACATTTTTTTCTGCAGAGTGCTTGGCAAATCCAACAAGCTAACGATGACTAGAAACGCGGTCTGGGCCGTGTCTAACTTATGCAGGGGCAAAAATCCGCCACCGGATTTTACCAAGGTCTCTCCAGCGTTGCCAGTCTTGTCGCGCATACTGTTTCACAACGATTCGGATGTGTTGTCGGATGCTTGCTGGGCACTCAGTTATCTGTCAGATGGACCCAACGAGAAAATACAAGGAGTTATTGATGCAGGTAAGTTACTTACTTAGTGTTTTGTTAAAAATTAAATATATAATATAATTTTCGACGTTTTTATAGAATAAATGCCTATTATAACGTGGGCTGGGAGTTAAAATATTCACTTTGGGTTGCGTTCATGACGCTTACTCATTATTCACTCCGAGTTAATTCAAAACGTTCATTACAACACCGGTGTCTACACTTTTTTCTTCTTCTTTCTTGGTTGCTCAACGCCTTAATGTTCTTGGAGACAATGTACTATTTTGACCAGCAGCAAGTGGATTTTAAACTTTTTTAACCAATACAAACATATAGTTATCTCGAATATTTTTACTTTGTTGAATCTTATCCGCAACCGTGATTAATTATTTATATGTATAAAATTCAGACAGGTATTACAGAGGACCTAACAAACTCCTTGGAAAACTATAGGAAATCACAACTTTAATTTTGATGTTTTTATGAACATTAATAAATGAGCGAATGATTTAATATTACTTATAATAAAATGTGGTCTATGTCCCAGCAATATTGTAAAGATTTTCAACATTCACTTTATTGTTTGTACAATTAAACAGTAAATGATCGATGTCTCCATATTGCCCACATACAGATTCCGGGTTCTTCACCCCAATTCTAACTAAATGAGCAGGTGAGTAACAATTTCCAAATCTTAATCTAATTAATGTTGTGAAAAATTATCTGCCCAAGTTTCCGCAATTATTGTTAAATCAGGGCACCCCCCAACTTCTATTTACCATCAATGCGTAGTTCTTTTCTTTTAATGGGTATGAGTTGTTCCAAAATTTCTTGCACGCTTTTGTCAAGAATGCTTGAGTTTGATATCCGAGATCCGAATGTTGAATTTTTATATTAGAGACCGGTTTTCCAGACGCTTCTTTTGCTTTACTATCTACCTTTTTGTTGCCAATAATACCTGAGTGGCCCCCAAACCTCCGGCCTCTTTTATGCTAAGAGATATGTTCAAAATTCCAATAATTATACTGTTGGATTTGGCATTGTACTATATTTTTCATGCTTTGGGCACTAGTACGGGAGTCAGAGAATATTATATAATTATAAAATTGGTGATAACTTTCTTAGCGAATTAAGAAATCGTTGCTAAATTATTTAGTAATAATGGATAATTATACATTATCTTCGAATAACTCACCTAAAATATAAAGTGAAAGCAAGTTTTTTAACTCTATCCATATTAAATGGAAAAATTATGTAAAAGTTCACATAAAACAACTTAACATTAAAATGTCAGAAAATAAGGTTGTTATTATACATTATCTTCGAATAAATCACCTAAAATATAAAGTGAAAGCAAGTTTTTTAACTCTATCCATATTAAATGGAAAAATTATGTAAAAGTTCACATAAAACAACTTAACATTAAAATGTCAGAAAATAAGGTTGTTATTATACGCTAAAGAAGTATCGCTAGTAGCGCCACCACTCGGCTGTTATCATCGTAACAAAAGTACTTTTGATAATCAGCTGTCAAACGCGTGTGTTGCAAACGAGGGTTTTTAAGAATAAAGCCGGAAAATGTTAAAAAATATCGAAAAAAAAACCGTGGCACGATTTGCTGTGTTGTTGGGTGTATTTCGAGAGGAAATCCTGGGTTGAGTTTTTATCGGTTTTCCAATAAACAGTGTTAATCCGAATGAAGAAATAAATTCCATACAGTCCCTGTAAATATAAATTGTATCTATTAGATACAATAAATACACATTTTAGTAGTGATTAACGTGAAAAGTGTAAACATTTCAATTCAGTAAAATCGTCAAACAAATAAGTCGTCTAAATTTAAACAGCATTTAGCATTATTAAAAGCGTTGATTAAGAATTCTTTAAAGTCTTCACTCAACGGTAAAATACCATTATAGTATGTATTATATATAATATTATGTTGCCATGAATTCGTATGTATATTTTGTTGTTTAAAATGCAGTTGTCAGCGTTTTTTAGAGAACTCAAATAAAAAATGATTTTAAGGTTATGTTTGTGCAAAAATTATTTTTTACTAATTTCTTAAAAATGTCCAAACTTAAATATAAATTATATTGGGTAAAGTTAATTCTACACCAACAAATGTACTTACCGAATTGGATCCTTTGGCAAAACATGAAAATGCAACGATTTAGTTCTTGAATTTTATTTACAATTATTATACAATAATTCACCATGATCCCTTAGATAAAATACACACACTAACGTAACTATATAAGCATTTAAGCGTTGAGTTTCTTAATCAATGATATAAGGAATAATGAAAATCGAGTACTAAACCAGTTTTTTAGTTTTTTTCTTGCAACGTAAAACACAAATAACGTGCGCGATTTAGCTGTGCAATTGAACAAAATTTGTCGAGTAAGACTTAAAAATGATGTACAGTTCGTATGCTTTAAATGTATTATTGACGTCCACCAGATGGCGCGCGCGTTGCGAAAACCCGATACTTCTTTAGCGTATAAAGGGTGTATCAATAAGAGCCCAAGATTTCAAAAAGTTTAATAAAACATGGTTTTAAGTATTAAAGCATTGAAATATTTATTGATTTATAAAGTACACATTTAGAAATTATGTATAAAATAACAGATCTGGTAAATGGCCACCACGGCTTAACTGGCACATGCGTATTCTTTTGGCAAAATTTGCAATAACATTATTGAATACCTGTGGCGGTATTTCGTTGATAGAGCGTCTAATTTTTGCTTTTAAGGCTTCAATGGTGGCGGGCTTGTTGGCATAAACTTGTGACTTCAAATAACCCCACAGCCAAAAGTCCAAGGGTGTTAAATAGTGGTGAAAATGGGCCTCATCACTGAAAATGATTTTGTTCGCAAAATCGGCATTCACTTCTTGCTGCTTAAGGATCCAATTGGTGAACTCTTCGCTGTTCATGGTCTTTTGGCTGGAGTTGTTGAGTCAATTGGACTTTGTAGGCATGAAGATGCAAATCTTTAGTAAGAATTCGCTAAAGAGTGGCTTTTGTAATGTCCAATTCTTGTGCACGATGGCGAATCGACGTCTCTGGACTCTCGGCCACACTTTCGCGAACTGCTGCGATATTTTGTTCTGAACGACCTCTACGAGCTCGTGTCGTGTGTTTCACATCACTAACCGAAGCAGTGCTTTCGAATTTTTTGATTATTCTTTTCACAGTAGATAAATTAGAAACATTATTTCGAAAAAATATTGGACGCCCTTTACGAATCGTGGCAATAAAACTTTCATCATTTTGGTAATAGTGTTTAACAATCAGGACGGGTTGTTTTATCTTTCATCATTTTGATAATAGTGTTTAACAATCAGGACGGGTTGTTCTATCGTGTAATGCTCCATATTTACTAACTCCCATCATGTCATTAATCATGTGACATCATGGTTGCCAAACTGAGGCAAAATTCAAATCTTGCGCTCTTATTGTTACACCCTTTATAAGTTGTTATTACTCAAAGTCTTTCATGACGCCATAAAATAAATCATGCACTATGAATTTACACGACGCCTGAAAATTGAATAAAACTCTAGAGAGAACAATGCAATTGTTAGGGAAGAATTTCTGTTTTTTTTTCTGAATTTAACATAATATTTCTGCTTGTGTAATCATATGCTTCGTCCTTTCCTCTACAGGCGTATGCCGCCGTTTGGTCGAATTGCTGATGGCATCGCAGCCAAATGTAGTCTCGGCTGCTCTAAGGGCAGTCGGAAACATTGTAACAGGCGACGACGTACAAACTCAGGTCATCCTGAACTGCCAAGCGTTGCCATGTTTGCAGCATTTGCTGTCTTCGCCCAAGGAAGCCGTAAGGAAGGAGGCCAGCTGGACTATCAGCAACATTACTGCAGGCAACCGACAGCAAATCCAGGTAAAAAGTTTTTAGTGTTAACAGTTATGTTGTTTTTGTGCTGAAAGTCGATTTATTAGAATTGTTTTTAATTTTTGAATTTTGTAAAATACGAGTCCTAGTCGATATCTTATCACAAAAATGGTATTTTGTTTAAACTATAAAAGTGATTTTTTGAATAGAATTTTTAGGACGGTAAAATAAATTTTTATATATTTTTTACAAAACCGACTTTTTGAGATTAAAAATCAATTTTTGCAATGAAACTTTAATTACAACATTAGATACATATCTAACCATGTTGTAATAAAAATGATTAATACATGTCTACAATTGTTTGCTAAAATTTAAAAACTTATATCTTAAATTTTCAATATCAAATATCTTAGTATCAAAAATTTATATGAGAAAACTTCATTCGACTTTTTGATTTCTCCTTAACAGCTCTTTATATTAGCGCTTCAAAAAAATATTTAAAAATTTTTAATTTCGAAAATCTGTATTTTTGCTCACCCTGTATGTTTCTCAACGCGAATCGTATTTATATAACAACAAGAGACATTATGAAAAATGACTTTTCTTTGAAAATTGAAAATAAATATTTTTACAAGTATTTGTCCATTCGTGGACACACTGTATGTGCAACATTACATTACAACATTATTTAAAAGTTTTTTTGCCTCTAAAATTAGGTTCATTTTAAAGCACCCTGTATAAAATAAAATTATTATTTTCACATACGAATTTTTGAGCTTTAATAGTAGTAGTAGTATTAACTAGTAACTATACTTGTAAAAATATTTATTTTCAATTTTCAAAGAAAAGTCATTTTTTATAATGTCTCTTGCTTGTTATATAAATACAATTCGCGTTGAGAAAAAAATACAGATTTTCAAAATTAAAAATATTTAAATATTTTTTTGAAGCGCTAATATAAAGAGCTGTTAAGGAGAAATCAAAAAGTCAAATGAAGTTTTCTCATATAAATTTTTGATACTAAGATATTTGATATTGAAAATTTAAGATATTAGTTTTTAAATTTTAACAAACAATTGTAGACATGTCAGTTGAAAGCAACAACCTTGATTCATAATCACAAAATGAGATAGCAGTCAATTTCTACAAAATAATAGGACCACTCAATTTAGGACCTGAATTGATTTTATTTTTAATAACAAATATCTTCGTAAGAACTCGCATGAAAAAACTTTATTTGGCTTTTTGGTTTCTTCTGGTTACAATTGTATTTTTTTTGCGCACCCTTTATAACAAAATAGAAATTTCTCATCGTGAATGGTATTTATATAACACGCAGAAGAAATTATAAGGGGTGACTTTTCTTCGAAAAATTGAAAATAAATAATAATTTTAATAATTATTTTCTTCTCCTGCATGCTATGTAGAACTTTTATAAACAATCACTGGTCCTTTTTTAGCATTCAATTATCTACAAAATATCTAACAGAGTCCAGTCTGTAATATTAATTTTAAAAGGTCCATCACCGAATTTAAAATTTTCCCATTGATTTAACATGAAAAAATAGGTTTTTAATATTTATTTCGCCTGCATACTATGTAGAACTCTTTTTTTTATAAGCAATCACTGGTCCTTTTTTAGCATTAAATTATCTACAAAAAGTTCAGTTTGTAGATTCTACGCTTTCTTTTTTATTAATGTTGAAACATATAAAATATGATATTTTTACATTTAGCGGGTAAAGTAATAATAGTAGAAGAAAAGTTCATTAGCAATTTTAAAGATCTTTTAATGCTCTTCAAATTTGTTTTAAATCATTTTTTTTATCACCTAAAGTTAAAAAGTTAGTGTCTAAAATCCTATACTATTCTGCATAATATATTATTATAATATTCACTGTAGGAAAAAAAGTTTAGGGGCAATTTTGCAGGAAACTCGAAACTCTATAAATAACGTACCAAGATACACGCAATTAATCGCTGAATTTTTATGATATTCTTAAAAGTATTTTCAGTAGGTATATCAAAAATTTTTTTGAAGAGAAGTATAACATTTTATTTGCAGTCAAAAGCTGGATCATGAAATTAAGAATATCATAAAAGTTAAGCTATTTTAGCTTAAATTCAGCGATTAATTGAGTGTTTTGAAGAATCTTGGTACGTTATTTATAGTGCTTCGAGTTTCCTGCAAAATTGTCCCTAAACTTTTTTTTCTACAGTGAATATTATAATAATATATTATGCATAATCATGAAAATAGGATTTTAGACACTTATAACTTTTGAACTGTAGGTTATAAAAAAATTGTTTAAAACGAATTTGTATAGAATTAAAAGATCTTCAAAATTGCTAATTGACTTTTTTTTCTACGATTAGTAGTTTAGCCGCTAAATGTAAAAATATCAAATTTTTTAGAATTTATACGTTTCAACGTTAATAAAATATAAACAGTTGAATCTACAGACTGGACTCTGTAAGATTTTTTGTAGATAATTTAATGCTAAAAAAGGACCAGTGTTTATTTATCAAAAAAAAGTTCTACATAGCATGCAGGCGAACTAAATCTTAAAAAACTATTTTTACATGTTAAATCAAGGGGAAAACTTTAAATTCGATGATGGACCTTTTACAATTAATATTAAGAGCTTAAATTTTGACAGAATTTTTTTTAGCATAAGTGACGAGAATTTCACATTAATTTGAAAAAAGAAAAATATTGTCTTATTTTGAAACACCCTATTATATATAAATATATATATTTTTTAATTATTACTTTAATTTTTATATGGATCTTATTTATTTGAACATTTTAGTTTGTTCTTGACACACCTTCTTAACACACTAAAATCTTAAACATGAACAAAATTGGAACATGCGCAGCGGAAGTCACTTTGAATATTCTAAACACAAACAAAATCACGATGTAAGCAGCGAAAGTACAAAGGAAAAAAAACAAAAAAACCGACCATGCTCTACATGGCTGTTTGCTCATCTATAGTCAATCTTCTAATACTTCGACCATTCCTTGTGAAAATCTTTTGGTTCTGCACCAATCTAATGTAGATTCTGTAGTTTAAGCACTAATCAGCTGTGCTGTGGGCCCCATATTGTCACTTTAGCGGACAATAAAGAACTGACAATCAAATGTTAAAGTATTTAAAATTAAGGCCTTGGACACAAGCACCAATTTTAAATATTAAAAATACCAAAATATGTTGACATGAATTACCAACATAATCAAATGTGTTAAATTCCGAATAAAAAAACAAACTTTAACACCTTGTGTTTCTGAAACTGTTGAGTTTTCAATATAAGTTTATAAAGAAAATTAATATTATTTTAACTTCTTTTTATTGATTTATTAATTATTAAAGGTTCGTTTTGGGTCACCCTGTATAATTGGTAATTTTTTAATTTCCATTTTTCTGTTTTTTTTCGTCGCTTTAAAACGCTACATGCATGCAATTTGCATCCTTAAATCAAATTAAACTTTTTCCTCGTCCAATCCAGACAAATTCGCAGCTAGAAGCTAACTACAACAAATCGTTTGTAATTTCTTTTCAGGCGGTAATCGATGCAAACATATTTCCTGTCTTGATAGAAATTTTATGCAAGGCGGAGTTTAAGACGAGAAAAGAGGCGGCTTGGGCGATAACTAACGCCACCAGTGGCGGCACACCCGATCAAATCCGGTACTTGGTCAGTCAAAACTGCATCGGACCGATGTGCGATCTGTTGACCGTGATGGACACGAAAATCGTACAGGTCGCCCTGAACGGTCTGGAGAACATTTTGCGATTAGGCGAACAAGATGCTAAAACCAATAACGGCGTCAATCCATATGCCGTGCTTATCGAAGAATGCTATGGTAAGTTATTTAAAAAACTTTGCAACAGAACAAAATTGCTTGGTTTTGGATAATTCAGTTCGAATAATAATAACAAACCTAAACAATTTTTTCAATTGTATCAAAAAACTGTTTCCCACCTAAGTTGCAAACCCCTTGTTAAATAGTTTAATCATGAATTTTTTTTAAATAATTTTTGCGGTATTTGTTTATGAGTAGGTACCACAGACCACCAAAACAAATTTTGGTGGTCTGTGAGTTAACAGATGTCAGATTTGTTTATATATACAAGGGGCGACTATAATTATCTTTAAAATCGAGAAAAAGTGAGGTTATAATAAAAAAAATTACTTAATTGGAGTAGAAAAAGCATAGTAATACACTCGAAATAATGCGCATTATTTACTCGGATGAGTTGTGAATAATAGCCTGCTTTATCTCTCATATATACTATTTTTCTGTATAAGAACCCAAAATTTTCAGAAAATAAACCGAAACTAGCGATAAACTGACAAATAGATAACCTCAATTATTTGTACAGTTTTGGACACGGAACATCATAATTTGATCATCCTTATGTAACTCTGTAAATAGCAAAGATACAATAATGACCATTTTTGGTTTTGCTTTTAAAATAACAAGAATAGTAATAAACGAGAGTAATGTTAGGACTTTTGAATGTGAAGCAAAGTACATACATATCTACTAGAGGTGCAAATTTTAAATTTTTCTACTCCCACCTTTAAAACGCCCTTTATCGTACATGTTTCCATGACACTAAGTGACCTTTTAAATACACATTGACAAGTTGTGGCTTTATGGCGCTTTAGTCACGGGCTGAAGTTAGCAACAGGTTTTTAGTCACAGGCTGAAGTTAGTTTAAAGTTAGTTGACAGTTGTCAAATGTCATACAATCGTTAAAATAAATTGCCATAAGTAATACTAAATGTGAAACTTATTTTATTATCTCAATACAAAAATACAAAAGTATTAAATAGTTTCTCAACGCCAATATTTGAAAAGTTTATATGAACATTGTACTGACCTTTTAATTTCGCCGGCAGTAAACTATAACTTAAATTCGGGCATGGACTCCACTGTAAAGTGCTCATGAAACATTTTCTTTACTTTCAATGTGAAAAACTGTCAATTTTCAAGAAATACATTTCGATGTATTTCTGTATAATCTGAGTTTATAAAATACAAAAGTTTGACATTTGACGGTGACACACAGATTCCCCTATTGTTTCATAGATGGCGCTCTATACAAATTTTAGATTTAAATCATTTTAAGATAATAATAAGTATTTGTCGTAGAAAAAGTATAGTATGCATAGTATAGTATAGTATAAACTTTTCTATACACTCAATAAAATGGCGTTTATCAAAATTGATACATAATATACTATTAATTTTGCATATACTTCATTAGTAAGTTATAACAATATTATGGTGACGTCATGCACTCTCTCCAAACTCATCAAATGTGGTTAGAATCTCGCGTTTTTCAAAACGCTGTAACGTTCTCAAAAATTGATTGAGAGATTAAAAAAATTAAATAACAAACTTCTATGCGTATATCCAAAAATTTAATAATAAAACATTGCATGCCCCAACCTCATTATATTCAGAATTAGATTACATGTCAATCCATATTTTTGAAGGTATAAGTTATTTTTCTTAATCACATTAGTCTTAAATTGTGGAAAAAGTTGATCTCCACAGTACCTAGTATTTATCATTACTATGATGAATATAGGGTGGTTAATTATTTTCTTAAAAACTAATTAATACACGAGTCTGTGGTTATGGTAAGGGGCCGTCTATAAATGATGTCACACGTTTTTTTAATATTTTTGACCCTCCCTCCCCCACTTGTCACAAAGTGTCACAAATTATGGGACCCCCCCCTCCCCATTGGCGTCACGTCACACTGATTTAATTTTTATGTAAGGTCTACCCCACGAAATTTTTGCTTAAAATAAAATCTTAATATCCAGTTTATAACCATTATTAATTATTAAATTCCAAAATATTTTTATAATATTTTTATAATTTTGTGATGAACATTTCGTAATATTTTTGCACTGAATAATCCATTTTTAAGTTAATTTTATCAAGATTTTACAAAAAAAATATCAAACCTTCAACCCGCGCCATGTGGGTATTACAACCCTGCTGAAAATCCCGCATAAAAACTTATAAAAAAAAACTTATAAAAACTTATAAAAGTTGATGAGATTTTATAGGGCCTATGAAACAGCAATTTCTGATACAAACTTTTCAAATTCTATAGGTTTTTAAGAGAAACTACTTTTCAACTCTGGTCAATACTAATTAAACTTTATGAGTATTTACGCATCAAGGTATATAATATTTTATGAGTATTTATGAGTTTTTAAGAGAAATTACTTTTCAACTCTGGTCAAAACTTATTAAACTATCAGTATTTACGCATCAAGTTATATAATATTTTATGAGTATTTATGAGTTTTTAAGAGACATTACTTTTTAACTCTAGAATAGTAGTTATAATATTAAATATAATATACATATTTTATGAGTATGTATACGTTTTTAAGAGACACTACCCAGCTGACAGTATGACGTTCTTTTAACGTATTTATTTCGTCACCCATTACGTCGTTTTAACCTGTTGGATGACGTCGAATCGATCAAAATATTACGTGAAGTAGTAAATTGTGGGGGTTCGCGGCTTTGGCCTTGCAAAGCAGGCACTGTTTAAACAGAGGACCACGGAAATTCCATGACGATCTAGACGGAACAATCCTGGCTCCAACAAAGAATTTCAGTGAAAAAGCTAAATTGTCGTAGGCCACAATTCGTGACTCGTTTATTTGCCGAGGTTCGTATTCCTAAATCTTAAATTGCAATGCAGCCAGTGTCAACTTATATACTTAACAAATAGTGCCACATAAGCGAGATGTATTATGCAATAATGGTTGCCCATGATAAGTAGATTTCTACTATATTATAGTAGATGCCTACTTATCATAGGCAACCTTACTCTGGTCAATACTAATTAAACTTTATGAGTATTTACGCATCAAGGTATATAATATTTTATGAGTATTTATGAGTTTTTAAGAGAAATTACTTTTCAACTCTGGTCGAAACTTATTAAACTATCAGTATTTACGCATCAAGTTATATAATATTTTATGAGTATTTATGAGTTTTTAAGAGACATTACTTTTTAACTCTAGTCAGTAGAATAGTAGTTATAATATTAAATATAATATACATATTTTATGAGTATGTATACGTTTTTAAGAGACACTATATATGGTGTCTTACTTTTAAGCTCTAGTGAAAACTTATTAAACTTTATCAGTAGGTATTTACCGATCATGTTATATAATATTTTATGAGAATTAAAAAAGTTTTAATAAGACACTATATAATCATAAAACTTTATAATCACTTATCCGATAAATACTCGTACACAGCTGTTACGTGTAAGAGTGTTACACTGTAACTCCAATAGAATATTGATAACATAATGCGTAAATACGCATTATACGCGTATACGCATCATGTTATCAATATTTTATAGGTGTTACACGTAACAGCTGGGTATTATTATTTATTGGATAAGTGAATGAAGGGTATATATTATGTTTTATAAAAGTTAGATGTAAAAAACCAATAAAAACCGATAAAATTAATTTCTTATAAATACTTGTGGCTTCTTATAGACATATAATAGGTAAGGCCTTATACAAACCAATAAACTTACATCCCTTATAGAGTCTCATAAACACTCATAAACAATGATCAAATCGGGACCATACTGAAACTGATAAAAGCCATGTGCACATAAAATCTTATAAGTACTGTACCACATAAAGTCTTATAAAAACTTATATAGATGTAAAAAAACAATAAAATCCGATAAAATTATTTTCTTATAATTACTTATACCTTTTTATAGACATATAATAGGTAAGGCCTTATACAAACCAATAAACTTACATCCCTCATAGAGTCTCATAAACACTCATAAACAATGATCAAATAGGGACCATACTGAAACTGATAAAAGCCATGTGCACATAAAGTCTTATAAGTACTCTTTAACATTTTAGCTGGAATTCCTTATAGACATTTGCACCTACCATATAAAGTCTTATAAAAACTTATAAAAGTTAGATATAAAAAAACAATAAAATCCGATAAAATTCATTTCTCATATATGCTTATAGCTTCTTATAGACATTTAATAGTTAAGGCCTTATACAAACCAATAAACTTACATCCCTCATAGAGTCACATAAAATCTCATAAAAAATTATCAAATAGGAACCACATTAAAACTTGTGCACATAAAATCTTATAAATTCACTTCAACATTTTAGTTGGAATTTCTTATAGAAATTTGTACCTCGTAAAGTCTTATAAAAACTAATAAAAGTTTTATAAGTCACGGCTCATAAAACTATTTCTTATAAAAACTGATAGAATTCTGATAAAACCCTTATGAGCAATTAGACAAAACCTTATAGAAACTAAGAAACCGCATACATCCTTATTAAATATTATAGAACTTTTATAAGTTTTTATGCGGGTTTTTCAACAGGGAAATCACGTATTACTTTGTATTACCTGTTATTTCATTTTATTACATTGTTACATTGTGCACGCGGCAAACAATAATTTTCATTTTTTTCATTTGAATTTTAGACAATAGTCATATTTAAAATAACATTGGCAAGTGAAATACTTATGTAATATTCAATGAGTTAATTTAAACATTTTTTATTAACAAATCAAAAATCAATATTTTACCTTACAATGTAAGGCTTACATATGCATATATCACTAGCTATAAACAATGTTCATTGAACAGGTAGATTAGGTAATATTATCTTCAAATGTTCTATAATTTAAGCTTTATTATTGTGAACGCTCACTACCAAAGTATTCGATTATCTCCTAGGCTGTAAAAATAATTTAGACCAATCAGGTGAAGTTTTTTTTACATCCTAGTATGTAAAAAAAACCGTTAAGACCAATAAAAAAATTCGATAACTACTGACACCTCTAAGCTATCTAACCTCACTTTATACTTTTAATAATTGTTATTATAATCGAATCGCTGAAATTAAGAACAGTCCAAAAAATTTCTAAAATCAATTTATAAGTTTAAAATGCATTTTTGGGAAACACGGCACTGGATTCACCACCCCTCAAAACGACCCTAAACTAAATAATATTCAAAAATTTTAAGTAGGAACGATTTTGTAGGCAAATTAAAAATGCACAATGATTACTATTTACAAAAATTTATTCTGTCAAGTTATCCATAAAAAACATTGAAATAAAATTAAACTAATAGCAACATGGTATAAATATTCGTAAGCTTAGTTTTTAAAAATAATATCACAAATCACACTCATAGATATAGTATATCTGATATACTGCCCTACTATGGAGAAAGGCAGTAACTACAAAAAAATTCTAAATGCGTTTTCTTGTGCTATGATAAAGCTATTTTGTATCTTAATTCAACAAAGAAATGCAGTAAACTATCTTATAAGTTAAATAAATCGGTTAAATACCTACTGCTTTTTATAAAAATGTAGTTTATGCTAATTTCCCACAAATTTCTTGTTTAGCAGTTACTGCCTTTCTCCATAGTTGGGCAGTATAGTATATACTCTATATCTCTGGTCACACTGTATAAAAGAGATTTTATGAAATATTTTGTCAAAATTTTAACTTTTGGACTTGTACTGTTCTTAATCTCACCGATTCAATTGTAACCACGTTTTGTATATCGTTTAACAAATAAAACTGTATATTGAAGATAAATTTAACATATAAATGTTGTATGCCATTCGGCGATAAATTGTAGGCCTTCGCTAACGCGTCGTACTTCAAACTTTGAGCTTAGCACAAGAAGACTCACTTTTCAGCTTATGATAACTATTTTTTAGTTTGCCATATTTAAATTTGCACCAGTTACACTGCGTTCTGCAGAGCGTACATAAACTCAGCTTGTCTCGCGAGTGGACATTTTATATTATTTTTTGATAATAATTGTTTGTATTATACTAAAATATATGCCTAAGAACTTTCTCAAAAATAATATTATCTTTATACATATTATTATTACCTTTTTTTCCATCCAAAAAAAATTGCCAAAAAAGCTTTTTTTAGGTAAAATAGACTTAAAATGTTGTGTTAACAAATTTCTTTACAGGACTGGACAAGATCGAATTCCTTCAATCTCACGAAAACATGGACATATATAACAAGTCCTTTGAAATAATTGAACATTTCTTCGGCGGAGATGAAGAGGACTCAAACGTGGCCCCCTCGATAAATCCGGAGCAACAGCAGTACACGTTCAGTTCCGATCAGTCGGTCCCCATGGGCGGTTTCCAGTTTTAATTAGTTACCAGTTAAGTGCCCCCTCATAGCGAATTAAATAAAACTGCAAACTCAAGACAATTTTTAATTATTTTAGAAACAAGAAAGGGAATTTATTTCTTTGTGATTTAGTCCATTTGACATATTTGTATATAAAATCTGCCACCGACTACCTATGTAATTCTAAGTAAATATATGTTATGATTAAGAATTTTTAATATATACTCTTTAAAGTGTGTGTATATTTAGTCTTGAGTAGAGATTTAACGGCTCCGAAAAAAAACTTTTTTTAGTGATGCAGCGGTTACGATTACGAAAACGTTTACGATTCTACATCCAATATTTTTTTATTGTAGTTAGGGTTGCCAGCTTCACCTCACATGACCCGGAATATAGATTTCTCAGAAAATTTTATTCCTGATAAAAGTTTTTGCTTGATTTCAAACCCCCAGAATATGTGACACATCATTTATGGTTAATTTGCAATATTGATTTTACTGAACATTTTTAATTGAAAATTGTTGATAAAAATCATGTTTGGTCAGATGTAATTAATTTTTACATAAAATAAAACGGCGTTAAAACTATTTTTGTCGATAAATTTATATGTAAAAGCTTTGAACATGTCAATAGAATCGAGAATTTGAGAATGAAATATTATTTTTAACCTGGGGAACCCGAATATTTTATTTCCAAACCCGGAGCCCAGAGATTTTATTGTAAACCCGGACCAGACAAAAAACCGCAGACTTCGGGTCAAACCCGGAGATCTGGCAACCCTTATTGCGATTAATAATCGAAAGGTAAATATATAATACCTATAAATATAGTTAATATTGATGAAATCAATATTCAAAATCAACATAAATTATTTTTTTTTAAAAGCATGACATTTTTAAATTTAATTTAAAAAAATGTTTTTTTGTTTTCTTTTATTTTGCCTTTCTTGGATTACTTGCCTTAATATCTAACTCAAAAAATCGTTAATTAATCGCATCGATAATTGTTGCACTACCAGTTTCTACTACTACTATAAATTTAAAAAAAATTAAAAATTATCGCATCAAAACCGTAAACCTGAAAATATATTGTGTTATGTGATATATGATATGATATATACAAGGTGCACCAAGTATCCTATGTGTATAATTATATCTGTTTTTTATTTGAAGATCACAAGGTCGGTTAAATAAGAAAAAACTTGCTTAATTACCCTTAAGCCCATTAACATGAAATTTATAAATTGAAAAAAAAGACAGCGGTTTTAAAAATATTTAAAAAAACCAAAAACTTTTTTATTCCTGGGAATTTTTAAACAAAGTAAGTTTTACATGCAAAAGGCAAATTAATCTTCATTCTCATCCAATTTATTCGCTACTATGTTTTGAGTTACCTTCACCATCTTTTGTTTTTATAATGGCCGCAATAACTTATGTAGTTGGATACATTGTTGAATTTCTTGCTTTTTTTCTATCTAACCATGTAAAATTCCAATATAGCGGCAATAGGAAAAACATCGTTGTATTCCTTAAGTCGTTTTTTCGCGTAAATACTATGTAATACTACGGTTAAATAAGTCATGACGTCACAGTTAATTCATATAACCATGGTTAGGTTTCTAACATTTGACATTTGTTTACTTGTTCATAACCTATAATTTTTGAAATGTGTTTTTAAATATTTATATTTAATTTCTATGCTTTTACCGGTGTAAATAAATTTCTTTGCCTCTTTTTATACCTAGTATATTCTTTTTCTATAGGTACTAGTTTTTTTAATACACGTTATCCAATTCTCCTACATGTTTAATACAAAAGAAGGAAGAATATAAAAAAACCTGCATATAATTCCTCCACTTGTGGAGATTCACAATATGGAGCACCCTATCATTTATTTTTACTGACAACACCCCGTTTACCATTTTAATACAAAGTTTAAATTCGGTTTAAGAGCAATTGTACCTACTTAAAATATTTTAAATTTCAAATGTAAACAACTTCTTGACAGATCGAAACAGAGAAAAATATATATTAAAAAGAGAAAGACTATTAACCACGTTGAATAACTAGCTCAGCGATATAGTTTTATGGTCTGGTATTTGTGACGTCATAGTTAGGATTTTTGAACGCACTCTAAACGCAAAAATGCCTTAACTATTAACCACGGTTAAGTTTAATAACCATAGTATTTCATGGTATTTACGCGAAAAAACGACTTTAATTTTGTTTCTATCTAACCATGTAAAATTCCAATATGGCGGCCATAGGAAAAACAAATGATGGTGGTGGTATCTCAAAATCTAGCAGGCGAATCACAATTGGATAAATGTGTGTTTACATCTAAAACTTACTTTTTTCAAATTATTTACCGCTGTTTTTTTTCAATTTTTAAATGCCATCTTAATAGACTTGTAATTACGCAACTTTTGTCTAATTTAAATAAAAAAGATACCCCTACATAGAATAGATACTTGGTGCACCCTGTATATAAATAATATTTTTGCACTAGTATCGTTAAGTTAGTTTAAATAAACAACAATAACTAAATTGATTTTTTTGGGGATTTACCGAAATGCGCAGGAAATTCGCTAGTGATTTCATTGTCGCGCCAACGTCAGTGTCATAAAATGCATTTTCTTATGCTAAAATTTAATACTATAAAGCATGCCTAGCAATGAAAACAAGTTTTTCTACTTTTAACAAAATTTCCGTTAAATTTTTTTGGAAATCTCTAGTCTTGAGACATACAGGGTGACCCGAAAATAACTCCAACATAAAAGTTTAACAAATTTCGGCAACACTGTTTGAAATAAGGGCTCCAAATTAAAGACATGGTCATAGAGCCTACACAAGGAGTACAAACTCCATGTATACTAATGGCTTTCCAAAATAATAGGGCGCTAGTGTTTGTTGTTTGGGTTTTACAAAATGGAAAGCAGCCCCCTAGTGCTCACTAGAAAAAACGCAATTTGTACGATTTAGTAGGCAGGTTCCCAGACAGCACATATATCCATTGGACGTCCAGCGGACGACCATTGTACATCCAAACGTCCAATGTAAGTCCATTTGACGTCCAATGGACATCTTGTGCTGTATGGGTTCTTTTGTGTTCAAACTCCTTGTGTAGGATATATGGACATTGCCATGACCAAATAAAATAAAAAGAAGGTTATATTATATAACTTATCAGATGTATATATACATTTTACAAACTATAGTTTGTAAAATGTGGGGTGCCATTTTCGGGACACTTCATAATTTTACGTTTGTAACTAAAATGCCAGTCTTCTATCTATGCACCATTTTAAGTGGTCAATTTTAAATAACAAGAGCTGGCATGACAAAATGGCAAATTTCTTATGCTGTTGTCATGGAATGACTCATTTCTAAAATTGTATAACCTAGGTTAGATGGAATTTTATACATGTGTACCTCTTGATTTTGTGACCAAATTTAGTTTTTAATAATTAATTTTTCTACGTGTATAAAATTTATGTTATTTATTAGGATATAAGTTGTTACATAAAAATTATATTGACATAAATTATTTATAAAAATGTATATAAAACTTTGATGGTGAGTAAATTTGGATACTGAATTATGTCAGTATAATATTGTGTATAATATAATATATATATATATATATATATATATATATATATATATATATATATAATTTGATTTTGTTACTCACATAAAATAATAAATTTAAAATAAAAAAATCACTAGAACAATAAAAACTGCTTCAAAGTCTGGTCATCTAGACGCTTACAGCTTAAATAACCCAGACCTAGGTGTTAACAAATATATATATTTTTATAGTGTAGGTAATCAATTATAAATCAAAATGTATCTTTTATGTTAGTAAATCTGTTAGTAACATTATAATATTATAATATTTAATTTTTATTTATTATACATTTTCACAATATTTTATACTTCCTTCAGTACAAGGAACCTCTTTATTTCAAATTTATTTAAATAAAAACGCATAATTATTTTTAATTTGTTTTTTGTACATTTATACTACCTGCCAGTAAATATTATTTGTGATTAAGGCTATTCTTTATAAATGTGTACATATAGAAATTCCTTACAAGGGCATTACAGGTGCAATTTACTCAACCTTTTTAATTTTAATATAAATTTTTATTTGCCAGTTATCAACTTAGATTTAATTGTTAACTTTGATTAATGTAATTTTTGTATAGTTTGTATACATGTGTAAAATTCAATAATTATGTTTATAGTTTGTAATATAAAATAAATTAGATTTAATTTATTACCTTTATTTAATTTATTACCTTTATTCCCAAATAATCTTGTAATGTGTTATTAAATACTTTAAATTTAAAACAGCAGGTAATTTATGCATTAAATATCAATTTAAGAGGTAGGTATATTAAAATTTCTCAAATAGATCAATTTTATTAAATTTACACTACTTTCTTGTGCTCCTTGTGAAAGACATGTTTATTTTCTAACGGTAAAAGAATATACAAAAAACTGGTTCTGGCTTTTTTTGGGGAGTGTAGTGAAAAGTCGTTAAAGTGTTCCCGCCGCCCTTTTATATTGGCGCCAAAATTTGAACGTTCTCAGCTTTCTTTTTTACGTGTTGGCAGCACTACCGGATCTTCCTACGTCTCGAACTGCCATTTCTCAAATCATTTCTTTTGTAAAAGAATATGGCCACAGGTTAGTTCAGTTTATTTTAAAATTACACTTGTTATACATTGTATTTGTTAGTATTTATATTTTTAAAAGCGCTTGATCAGTAGCATCGTATCAGTAACGTAATTTTAAAATTAGCAATTTAGTTCTGTCAAGCGGTGTGTCCGCGTGTAGAAGGCATTTTGCAATATGCCTATTTTTAATTTTTTTTGTTTATTTAGGCAAAAAGGGAAAGAAAACGAAGGGTAAAACCTTTGCGTTGACCACTTTTTTGCAACAAGATGCCACTGGACCCATTCCAAGTGCACCAGTCAGGAAAAATTGGGCTGATGAAGTAGAAGACTCGTATGGTAACTAATTTAGTTTATTAATAGGTTAAAATGAACCATTTTATATCCTAATAATACTTGACTTTATACAAAGGAAGTATTTGTTGAATTTCTTGGTGACTCATTTATAGTTGATTTTTTATCTGTCACTTATTAACCATGGTTCTATATTTTCTGAATTTACAACCATATGGTAAAATTTACCAGATATTGTACTTAAAATGTATTTAGAGGTATTCAAAAGCCCTAAACTAAAATAAATAATATTTAACCATGAAATTTTATCATTTTTTATTGGCCATGTTATCTTAGTTTCTTAATTAATTTGTCAACATTATGTAGCCTAATCTTTTAACTACCTAAACTAAAAAGGATAGGTTTATTTGAGCAAGCAGTTCTCATTAGAGCTTGGACTATTTGCATGCACAAGAACAATTCTGTGTGATCAAGGTTTGAAATAGCAACTAGGAGTTCTAAAAGCTCCCAGTCAGCTATTTGATGTGATTTTTAAATAGTTCTGGAACTGCTCAAATCAGTTATGCTTAATAGTTCAAAAAATAAGTACATTTTTTTATAAGACTTCCTTTGGAACTGGTAGTAATAAGTAATGGGACTGTGTTACTTATTATTGCTAATAACAATCCCAAATGGGTTTAAAAAAATCAGAACTGATTATCTTTAATTCTAAAACCGTTCAATTTTGGCATGATCAAACGAACCTTATATTTATTGAATAAATCTAAGGTTTGTTTGATCATATTATTTAATGGTTAATATACAGGAGAAATTGCAAGAGCATATTTTGTGCAATTTATTATGGCTTATTTAATCAACTTTTTTCTAATTTGTTTAATATCAAATTATAATTTTGATACTGATCAAGGTGAAAACCCATTTTTTGATGGCCTGATTATAAAAGTTTTAAAATTGTCAAATCTAGAAGTTATGTAGATTTGACATATAGTTGGAATAAATGTTTTAATTTCAGCATGGGTATTCTTTTGCAATAAATTTTTACTTTCTTATCAGTGGTGAAAAAATCACTATCTGAGTAAAGTCACTTTTAAATGATATACCAATTAAATTATGGTAAAATTTCATTGTTGTACTCTATGCTCCACATCAAAAAGTCCCAGTGATATTTGAATAAGGAAGGCAGTCTAATGATTGAGGTTATGTTAGGTCAGTTTAACGCTGATTTTGTCTTATTTTCTAAAAATAATACATTATATGTATTTAAAAACTAAAAAAAAATAGTAATAAATACATTATATTTTATTATTTTCAAAAAATTAGACGAAATTGAAGTTAAATTGACAAATACATAATGTTACGGGGCTATTATTTGTAAAGCCCTTACAAACTTGTCAATCTAAAATTTAATAATGTGTGCTTTAAACATGATGATAATTTTGATGTAAGGTATTTTTTTGGTCTGCAACAATCTTGCATCTGGAGCTTACTTACAGTGTATTTATTACACAATTAGCTACGGGAAGGTCTGAGACAGGCAATTTCACTCTAGCCGGGTGCTTGCATTTTGCAAGACAAGGGAACCAGAAATAGTGCCGATAAATTTTCAAGCCTGTGATTATTTTTTAAATATAGGCGCAGAAATTTTGTTGGTTGGAAACTCTTGTCGCCAGCTGTTTGAGTTTAATTTGCAAGCTGGTTTTCAACCAGAACTCAATTCAGACTAATCTTTTGCAGACCTGTAACTACCTCATCAAACCTGATTGAATTACCTAGTAATTAATTTACTAAGCAATTATTTCGTTTTATGAAAAATAATGTTCTTTTTGCGTTACACTTTTAGATGGAAGCTATGAGTCCCGAAGTAGCAAATCGATGGCAAACGTTGTATTACCTACCGCCCCTAAAGCATCCCGTGACTATGAAGATATTAGCGACAAAGTTCCCATGGAGCCCCCCTACATGGCTTATCTATCTAACTTACCATATGACGTAGATGAGGAAGAAATATCCCAATTTTTTAAGAATATGAAGGTAGGAAGTTTATAAGTAGTGTTGTAGTGTAGTATTTTTTTAGCTTGAAAACAAAATTCTGGTTTAAAAGGTCCCTCTTAACATAAAAATTCTAAAAGTTTTTCTAAAACTTATTACTAATTGTTGTTTTAATAATTTAATGACCATATCAAAATTTAAATTAATATATTTGAATAAATATTGTAGGTACTTTGGACCAAACATTAATAAAAGTATTTAACAATAATTATTATTGTTATTAGGGTTATTTTTGTTGAAAAAATTATAGGTTGTTTTTTAATAAAAAAAACTGTGAAATATATTCTAGGAATCAGACAATATTATTTTCTTAACTTTATACAGGGTGTCCAAAAATTGGCGCGAATTTTCCTTTATAATTTTTTCGAATTCGCAAAATTGCCTGAGTTAAATAATTTTTAAAGCCTCCAATGAGAGCCTATTTTTGCTCTATTGGACGAGCTTTTAATATTTTTTGTGTTTACAAAACAAAAACTATGTTAAGAAGCCAACTTTAGGAATAAATACGGAAGAGTTTCAATACTCGATAAAAATGTAGCACCCATTACATTTTGAGACATTTTTAGAAAATAAGTATACAATTTTTGTGCATTTAAAAATACGTGCTTGTTTGGGGTTACTATTAAGTTCTACACAAAAAATTATTACTATATGCTTTGACCCAAAAAGATCATTTTTGGAAGCCAACTTGGTCGCATTTGCCGATTTTCTAATGTCGCCCCCGTTACGCGATTCATAACGTTATAAAAGGTTTTCTATACAAGTTTTTATTGACATTTTCTTTGTGTTAAATATCTAATTTTGTATATTAATGTATCTTGATATCTGAACAAACTTTATTATGAAAAAACGCAGTGTTAGTATCGCACCCGTTACAATGGAAATACCCTTTTGTAAAAAAATTATAGTTTGTTAAAATCTAAAAAAGACTTTTAATGCCTATTTTATAGCATTAAATTTTAGTTTTTTAAACATAAATTTGTATATAATAAGTTATTTTGATTTTCTAATTCACCAGCGAATTATTGTTTTTTATTTTAAATGATTTTCATTTAAACTTTACATTATTTTAATAAACAAGGATTCTTTGAAATGCCTGTACAAAATTATACCACATATTATTGATTGTTTTGACCTTTACTTAATGAAACCCCATATTAATTATGTAAATATAAAAACTATGTTTTGAAAGTTTCTCGTAATTTTACGTATACGTGAAACTTTCAAAACAGTTGTTTTTATATTTACATAGATACCACATATTTCTGAGACCGAATGCAATATAACTAAATTTACTTCTATACAAGAGTTGATAATAACCATAACAGGGTGTCAAAATTAAAAGCTCGTTTTCGATTTTATTAAATAACTTTGAAAAAAAATTGACGTTTTTGCACTACATTTAGTTTTTCAGGCCGAAAAAAATTAAATTTCTTAAAAATAATTAAGGTTGCCTGCAATCTTGTTTTGCGCGTTGGTGTATTTACGTTTTAATAAACTTTGCCACCTTGGTTATTATTAACTGTTGAATGGGGGTAAATTTAGTTCTATAGCATTATTTTGGTCTTAGGAATAGGTGGTAAGTATTATGTTGTACAGGCATTTCAGGGACACTTGTATTTTCAGTTTTCCGGTTTTGAATCAATTTCTTTCTTTTATTTTTTTTTTCAATTTAATCGTTTTTCCGATCTTGTAAATTTTTGTTCAATTATAGAGAAATTTCAGAGTTGGATTGTACATCTACAAGAATTCCTAAAGGATTCACTTTAAAAAATTTCATTCTGGTCAGGGTTGCCATAGAATATGTTTAAAGCAACGTGTTTTTTGTTCAAAACTGTTTTGTAATTATGTTTTTCTACTCCCACCTTTAAAACGCCCTTTATCGTACATGTTTCCATGCCACTAAGTGACCTTTTAAATACATATTGACAAGTTGTGGCTTTATGGCGCTTTAGTCACGGTCTGATGTTAGCAACAGGTTTTTACTCACAGGCTGAAGTTAGTTTTAAGTTAGTTGACAGTTGTCAAATGTCATACAATCGTTAAAATAAAGTGCCTTTCTTGTAAAATAATACTAAATGTGAAAATTATTTTATTATCTTAATACAAAAATACAAAAGTATTAACTAGTTTCTCAACGCCAATATTTGAAAAGTTTATTTGAACATTGTACTGACCTTTTAATTTCGCCGGCAGTAAAATATAACTTAAATTCGGGCACGGACTCCACTGTAAAGTGCCCATAAAACATTTTCTTTACTTTCACTGTGAAAAACTGTAAATTTTCAAGAAATACATTTCAATTTATAACCTTTGTAATCTGTGTTTATAAAATATAAAAATTTGACATTTGACGGTGACACACAGATTCCCCTATTGTTTCATAGATGGCGCTCTATACAAATTTTTGATTTAAATCATTTTAAGATAATAATAAGTATTTTTCGTAGAAAAAGTATAGTATGCACCTCGTTTATAAACTTTTCTATACACTAATTAAATTAAATTCGTGTATAAAATGGCGTTTATCAAACCTGATAAATAATATACTATTATATGGTTACAAAAGCATCTAATATTTTTAGTAAATGCAGTGGTTTAAACATTGGAAACGTTTATTTTTTTTTTTCAAGCACTTTGTTTTAAACAAAACTTTTGATTCAAAATAACACGAGCGAAAAAGATATCACACGTCGCACCAAGATATTATAATTTCTTTATTAATGAATTGATTAAATTGCAAAATTAATATGCAAAGCATTTAAAAAATAAAATTTTATAGATTTCGCATATGAATATACCTAAAGAAGACAGACCTGGAGAAATGCCAAAGCTAAAAGGTTTTGGTTACGTGGAATTCGAAGACCGCGACAGTTTAATCAATGCATTGGTTATACCTGACACTGTAAGTAATGAAAAAAATCTCAAAGCGCACAAACAAACAGTTAATTCTGTATTTTTTCTCTGTAGACAATTAAAAGCCGTAGAATAAGAATAGAAGTAGCTGCCAATTCAGAAAACGACAAGAGACGCGGCCGCATGAACATGAGCGGGATGGGCAGGGACCATTCCGATGGCGGCGACTGGAGATCGAACCCCAGATCAGATAATAACGATTCCGATAGGAAACCCTATTCTTCCAGAGACAACCGCGACAGCGGATTCAGCAGAGAAAGAGAACCTAGAGAAAGTAAGTTTTTTTTAATTTTAGATGTCCGCTGTTTTTGTTGAAATTTTTTTGTTGGCTTAGCGGCTTGTGCATAAGTCATATACTTTATATTACAAAAAATAGTAGGGAAGCCGTTTTTTTAATAAAAAAATGCCCAAGGGGAATTAAGAATATACCTAGTATTAAGTTTTAATTCGCAAAATTAGTGGCAGATAATTTCTCTCTAAAAGACGGGGTCAAAAATTTTGTTATTAAATTTCTGATGGCCGATTTTTTTGTTAAATTTTTTTTTGTTGGCTTGGAGGCTTGAGCGTTAGTCATATACTTTATATTTAAAAAAACAGTGGGGAATCCGTTTTTTTTTTATAAAAAAAAATGCCGAAGACGAATTTGAAATATTAAGTTCTTATTCCCAGAATTAGTGGCATATGGCAGTGGATAATTTCTCTTTAAAAGACAGGGCCAAAAATTTGTTGTTGTGTGTACTTTGCATGCCCTGCATAAATAAAAATGAAAATATTTGTACGCAGTAAATGCAAAATATGACATGTTGTTTTTTTTCACATTAAAAACTAGATTGGATACCAGGCTTTAAGGCAGTGGCTTTCAAACTTTTTGAAATTTTTACGCTCCCTGATAATTTAGGACCTAAATTGAAAATTGGAATATTGAGGGGTCTATTCTGTAACTTTTTAGTTATGTTTATCGGCTGGGTTATAAGTTTATTTATAACCAAATCGATATAATTTTAACTGTAATTCCCAAACCTTATGATTTAGATGAAATCTTATTAAGTAAATGTTAAATTAAAGAAAATAAATCCTTCCATTTTAAAGTTAGTGTGGCAACAATGCGTAGCCAACTTCGTGTTTATTATTGGCGGGATAACTGTCAAGTGTTGTCAGTGTAGTTTCTTTATAATCTGTGCAAAGGTGAAGTGTATAAAATGAATACAAAAAGAATAGATCGACAAAAAAACAATTACATGCCTTAGTAGCATATATAGAAGGAAACAAAGATATGGTTTATTCCAGCAAATTTGCAGTGGCAAAGGAGCTTAATAACATTGCAAAGGCCATAAGAAGGCAATAATAAAGACAATTTGTGGCTGCTGGAGCATTTTGGGTAAACTGATATCTCAGATATTAGACCCACACCAAACTTATATGAGTTTATACTGACATTAAATGAACAAGTTCTGCGCAAGAAGAATTTAAATTTAAAAGTTTGCGAAAAAAGTTAGTTTTTCAGCGTGCCCCCTAATTACGATTATTCAATCACTTTCATACGTTCACCAACGGTTATTGAAAAAATTTCAAAAATTTATTAATAAGTAGGTATTACAGATTTTATACCATTTTAAATTTTTATTAATTTAACTCTGATTTTAAAAAAATTAAAAATGGTATAAAATACTCTTGGATTTTCAAAATAAATTTTGACACAGTAGTCAATTATAAATTTCACCTCTTTAACCCTTTCACTCCGGGAGTCGCAAAAATGCGTAAATTACTGACCTCACAGATACGCGGGAGACGCATTTTTTCAATTAGGTGGAATCACCGTCGAAACACACGTTTGCGGCTACATCGATACAATTAGACGGTCTTTGTCTCTGCGCTGGCGGAACCGTTTCCCGCTCTAATAGCATTTAGGTTAGTTTGCCGCAAAACGATTTCGGGGTGGCATAAATGCAGTTTATTTGCAAAAATTTGTTATAAAATATATTAAATTAGCAACAATGAGTAAGAGATACCTTACTGAAAAAGAGCTGGAGCAGGCGCTATATAATAGTGACGAAGACGAAGTTGAGTTTGATCCTGAGAGCGGGAACCGCACGTTTGCGCAAGGCTTGGATTTGCCCGTATGGGGGGACCACATGGCGCGGGCGAGCCCCGTAGTGAAAGGGTTAATTTGAATAATCTTAAATAGGGGGTGCAAAACTAACTTTTTCAATTTAAATTCTGCTTGCGCAGAACCTGTCCATTCAATGTCATTATAAACTCATATAAGTTTGGTGTGGGTCCCATGTCTAATAACTCAGATATTGGTATACCCAAAATTATCCAGCTGCCAGACTCAAAAAGTTCCTAATTTTTTATGTGTACCTTTTATTTTTAAATGATTTTTAATTTTTATTAAAATATCTATTTTTTATGCTCTTGACGCTTGAAGTGTAAGCATATGCTCATCGATCTCTCTTAAGCAGCGTATACGATACAAATGTAGTAACGTGATAACTGGTTAACGCCGTAAAATAATAAAAAATCAATCGATTCTAAACGTGATAACTGTCCCAAGTGCAAAAGGGTGCAAATTGTGTGTGGTACCTCCCCCATTGATTAAATCCTCAAGTGTTGGACCTGGTTAAAAGGTGTGAGAGAGACGATCACTTCCACGAAATTTACTGGACTACCACACGTGCGAGCGGCATGCGAAATGGTTCAATTCCAGCACCAAATGGTCAAGCTAAGTTATTTTTTCCAATTAAAAAAGAATAAGAACATTTCCTTAAGTTTAAACAAACAACCTCATTTTCTCATAGCAGACAAATCATAAACAACCATCGAAAAAGGCGTAAGATAAATAAATAAATAAACTAAACATGCAAGAAGACAAAAAATAACATAAACAAGTTGAGTGTGAATAGCAGTATTGCCAGAAGTAAAAGTTGAAATTATCGAATTGGGTAAATAAATTATCGAATTTTCGGAAATTAAGTTACAATAATTGTAATAATTATGTAACAATAATTATTATAATTTAATCATAAAAAAAAAAAGTAAAAGAGAAAGAATCGAATTTTTGGAAAATTATAAAATTTGTAAAAGTAAAAAAAATACCCCCCACTGGGAACTGCCTTATCGCAGCGATTGCGGCCTTACGCTCGGCACGAGTGATGGGCTCCTCCGCGGGGGGGTGCAGCCTCCCGTGGCCTATACGGGGGATGGTCTACACGGCGGTAGTCGTAGTACGATTGCCGTTGTGTGGATTGTCTTCCGGGGGGGCCGCGGGGGGTTGTATTTCTTTGCGGGGGAGTTTATCATGTGTGCCGATTATCGTACCAATGGGAAAAACCATTACCAAAAGGGTAAGAGTAGCCCAATTAAACACTGGGCCCACGTCACTCGTAGACAACGCAACAACATACTACAAGCCACCCTTAAACTAGATCTTAAAGACAAAAAAATCGGTAGACCATGCTTCACATTTCATGACACGTAGCACAATACATGCACTTCTCACAAAGTAACAAGACCAGTTGGGAGCAACTAAACAACAATAAAAATAAAATAAAAAATAAAACAACCGACACACTTTACCAAGTTCAGGAACTATCCGACACGGATAATGAAAATAATGAACAAGACGAAGACCTCGACTAGGAAACTACACCCCTGCAGCGTAATAACAACTCCCCAACTCCAAATAGTAATCCCAAATGTTTGGAGTAATACTAACTGACTGGTCTAGGGGGATTCCGCGTCGTACTTAGTTTTAAGTCGGCGTAATTGTCCCCCAAAAACCAACTCCCGCCCGTCCCTCATCCATACCTCACTGAGCGTATAGCATAGGCCCGGCGAACCCGGGAACGGCTATTATAACTATTCGCCTCTCGCTCTCGAGCCCCAAATAGGGGACAGTACGGAACGCAATGGACATTCGCACCCAGCAAACACGGGTGAAGCCGTGCAGTTGCTGGGGAAGAACAAAAATCGGCGTAAGTAAACATAGGCCTGTACGGGGTTTAAGAGTCAAGAGGAAATGGGGCTGGTTATACGTCTCTTATACTCATACTCATATCTATTTTTTATGTTTTTTTTATTTAAAGTTTGAATATGTACCTATATTATTTTTTATTAAAATATATTATTTTAGTTAGAATACCTACTTATTATTTCACTTGTATCACGTAAATTGCAATTCATTATTCGTGCCGCATTACTAAATCAAAAAAAAAAAAATACTCAGGGTTCTAGGGAATGAAATAGTTTACCGTCTTCTCCTGTTTCTTTCATTTATGTAATTAATAGCATAAAAGTTTAGTACTGCAGCCATTTGTAATAATTTGTAAAGGAAATTATTCTAAGGTGACCAACTGTGTAAAGGGGAAAACCAGAACAGCGGTGGCCTGTAGGAATTTTTTTAGAAAAAGAGGTGTTGCCCTATTTTTGCCTGTTATTATTATTTACTCTCAATTGAGTTTAAAAACACAAATTTCATAATAGTTATTTTATATATGGGTCGTTCCACGCCAAATCGGCCACTTTTGAACCCGACCTCTTTCGATTTGGCTAAAATTATGTTATATTTTTTCACCCCACTAAAAATTTTTCTTAGAATTTTTTATTTTTTTTTCACCCGACCAAAAATATGTTAAACATTTTTCAAAAAAATGTCTTTTTTCCCAAACTTTTTTGTATTTTTTTCTGAAAAGTTCATTAAAAACCAAAAAAAAACCGCCCCATTTAGTCAAATTTAAGTGTATTTTAAAAGAAAATTGCCCATTTTTTTTTTAAATTCGTAATTTTTTTTTGGTTGGGTAAAAAAATTGTAAAAACTCTGAGAAACTTTTTTAGTGGGGTAGAAAAAAATTTACAAAGTTCAGTAAAATCGAAAGGGGTTGGGTCAAAAGTGGTCGATTTGGCGTGGAATTCCCCATATATATATATATGTATATATATATATATACATATATATATATGTATATAATTATTATGAAATTTGTGTTTTTAGCCTAGTTATTTTTGGTTATTAGGTATTTTTTGACAGAATCTGGTCACTTTAGGTATACCTAATAAATTAATAGGGATTTATCAAAATTGGAAGTTAATTTTATATGGTAAGCTAAATCAGAACAGACCAGAACCAAAATAGGAAAATCAGAACCTTTACTACCTTCGATTTCCTGTCAGAATGAAGACTTCAAAAACAGTATAGTTCTGATTAAATCAGAACAGTTGGTCACCTTAAATTATTCTTATAATGCACCTTTGAAAGTGTTTTTTATTTAAATCGAAATTATAACTCAAAAGTTATTTTTATCGCCTACTAATATACCTCACGATATACATTTCTGAATAACCAGCGTTATATCGGCATCGGGTAAAATTTTAAACCACATACGAAGTTACAGAATCGCTCTAGAGATTTTAACCAGTCGATATGATATAACCCAGGGTTATTTATAACTAAAAAGTTACAGAATAGACCCCTGAATACTTTATATTTATTAACTTTTTTAATTTAAATTTTTGATCTTGCCCTTCACACATTACTTCACTCTCCCAGTTTGGAAACCCCTTCGTTCAGTCAGACTGTAAAAAATGGATTTTCTAGATTAATTTATGTGTTAAGTGTTTTTTTTAATTCGGAATTTGACAACGTTTAAAATTTAGGGGTTTAGTTGCCAAATTCTTGGGACCCCAAATTTATAATTGGCTACATTGAGTAAAACAAACTAATTTAGTGGATTTATGCAGCACATCACATCAAAATGCTGTTTTGTTTTTAAAATTTCTTTTTATTTAGAATTTTCTGTTATCCTTGGTATTGTTTATTATAATTCTATTATAGGCATTGAACAGGAGTACCAATTTTAAATACTAAAAATACCCAAGTATATGATATACAGTATCGACAATTTCCGAATAAAAAAAAAATTATATTTAATGTAACTTTCACAAAAATTTCTGGACTAAGTTTAAACTCTCTTGTAAGTGGTTTATCTTGCATGATTTTTTTTCAAATTTCTGAATTTTTTTGACTTTCGTCTGACCTCCCTTTCCCCTAGAGCGTGACCTAATATTTGCACTAATCATTTTTCCTTTTAAACCATATTTTTTGTATGAAATAAATTAAACAAAATAGTTTTGTTTTATATTTTATGCACACATTAGAGCTTTATTACTGAATTCTAGGTTTTAAGGTGTCGAAGTGATGCTATAGAATAGTATTCTCTTAAAATTATCTACACACAATTATTACATGTGTGGGTTTTTTAAGATAATATGACATTTTTACCAATACATTTCTTAACTTCAACCATTGGGCGAAATAGCGAAAAAGCTTCAAGTAAAAATTAAAAAAAAGTGAGGTTAAAATTGCTTGGCCGTTGTTAGATGTCATAAAATATTGTTAGACGTTAAAACACATTTTTTTTGATAAAATTGCGATTGAAGAATTGGTAGTTATAAAATTAATATTGTTAAAAACGACTTATTGGACTTTAAAACTAATTTTTGCAATAAAAGTTTAATTACAAAAAGCTTAGGTACAAATCCCAAAAAGTAGTTCTTGTTAAAAATAATAATTTTACAACACATGAATTTTATGTAATTTTTTACCATTTCATTTTTAATTTCAATTTTATCATAAAAATGTGTTCTACAGGGTGTTATGTAATTAATGTTATATATTAAAATACTGAATACCTTTTGACATAAGGAATAAAGGAAAAATATTTTAAAAAGCATTTTTCCAAAGATAAAGATATGCATTAGAAGTTTTTTATATTTTTTGTGATACGCCACTGGTTACACACTTGTTTATCTCTGCACACCTGTATTTTGTGAGTACATAGATACCAACCAACAAAGTAGCTATGCGTTGCCAGATGTAAAAAATTGTTACTAAAAATTTTTCTTGCAAAAAATAAATAAAAACTCAATAAATAAAAAAGTTTTATGCCCTTAAAGCTCTAATACCTAATATTTATATTTCTAATATTTATTTACTGATCCAGCTATTAGCTTAAGCAATGATTAGAAAATTTAGTACCTTTGAAATTTGAAATCCATAACCACAAAATTAATTTTTTCATCAGTTTTTTTCTCTGTTTACTCAGATGAAATTGGGACCAGTTCACAGGTTAAACTTTAAACATTTAATTTGTGTAAATAAATCCAAAAGCATTTCCCTTAGTTAAGATATTTACAATTTGAAAACATAACCTAAAATTTAAAAGAAATGCACTAGATTCTGTCATAAAAGTTGGCAGATTTTGTTTGAATTTACCTTCAGTACAAAAATGAAATAACCAACAATTAATAAAAACGCCAAATTGACAATTTGCATTGTTAATTTTGTCATTTTTGCAATTGAGCTAAATTTAAACAATGTTTGTCAACTTTTTTGAGAGATTTTGGAAAAACTGTTGTTACCAACCATAACATAATAAATCCACCAGATTAACCTAAAGTTCCTAGTCGATCAGTGGCGTACTTTTTGGTAGGATAAAGGTTATTATAAATTATTTTTAGACTTTGGAATTTAGAAAAAAAAAGTTTCAGGTGCTTCTTTATGGACCCTAAGGAACAACCCATTTTAATATATAACATTAATTACATAACACCCTGTATAGATATATCGTCTATTCTTTTTTTTTTGTCAGAAGCTATTGACTATTTTACAAATGCCCAAAGTGAATAAATTTGTGGGTGTAAAAAATTGGCCAGGAACAGTATTCTAACATATCATTGTTATTGTTGCAGTTGATAATAAACCTGGTGCTTGGCGCGAAGGCGAAAGGCCGAACAGGGACAACGAGAGAAGCTTCTCTCGAAACTACGAGTCTTCGGACAGAGGCGGCCGTTTCGGCGATAGAGACCGTGACAGGGATGGCGGGGATAAAAGAGGTGGCGGCGGTGGCGGCTTCAGCAGAAATTTCGGTGACAGGGATAACAGGGACAGAGATGGCGGAGATAGAAGGGGTTACGGCAACAGAAGGTACGACGATGACCGAAACGGAGGATTCAACAGGAATCGCGACGATTTCAGGAGGCGCGACGATGACCGCGACGACTCTAGGAGGCGCGATGATGAACCACCAAGAGAAAGAGGAGGTGAGTTTCTTCTCAAACAGCTATTATTTGCATTTATTTAAGGTTTTAAAGGTGCAATTTTACCTTCACATTTTTTCGCATCCTATTTTTTAGAGATTACTATCAGATATTTTTTCGTATGAAATTTGCTAATTTCGTCTTGCATAAAAGTTAGTTTATAGTACAAAAAATATATATCGGGTATTCCACGCCAACCAAAACAGGTTATAAATATATTTTTCCGAAAACGTCAAAAAATGTCAACTTTGTTAACTTCAATTCATGATGTCAAAGTTTGATTTCACAGACGGCGGACAAAAAAGTGAAATTATATAAATTTAAAGTAAAAATTCATTGAACTAGGGATATACAAGGTGTCCCTAAACTTAGTGGCATAAATTTAGGAGCAGATTAAGCAAGTCAAAATATGACGAAAATCTAAATAAATATTTTTCCTAATTACGTATGTTTAAAAGATACAGGGTGAGTGTTACTTATCATATCAGTTTTTTTAATATAACTTCTACTATGGTAGACTTAAAAAGGTGATATTTTGTGAACAGTCACGTACTACCAAAACACATATTTACACATAATTATAATTGTTTGAGTGAACACAGGTCGTAGAAACGGGGGTTGCTTTAAGCTTATTGTCCCATACAAACTTTAAGGTTAGGTTTTAATACCATTTGATGCAATTTTTCGATTACTCAGTTCGGCTACTATTAAAAGGTGTACCTCTCAAACTTCGATAAAATAAACCGTTTCCGAGATATTCGAGATTACAATAATTGTTATATCGCATTAAAGGACTAAAAGGTATATGAAAACAAATTTTTTAATTGAAAAAACTACAATTTTTTTAATGTGACAGTCAGGGCAAAGAGTCCCGAGGCTCATGGAATGCCCTTTTTAGTTTTTTCAATTAAAAAATTTATTTATGAGCGCTTATGAGCATTTATGAGCACTTATGAGCGCTTTGCAAAGCGCTCGAGCATCTGCCTTCTATAATAAGAAATAATATGTAAATATAAAAGAAAAATTGTGATACTACTACTTATAAATATTTAATATCCTGATAAGGAATCTTGTAATCTTTTAAGGTGTAATAAATAAATAAAAAAAAAAATGGTGCTGTTTGGCAGCGTTACCAGATTCTGTAAAAAAAGTAATGGATTTTTTGTGAACTTTACGAGAAAAATTTTCACAGACAGAATCTGGTAACGCTACTGTTCGATATAAAATACAAAATCACGGTTCTACAGGAAAAGATGACTGCGGGCGAGTAAAATTTGTATAGTTTGGGGTTTTGAAAATACGTGAAGTTGCATTGACACCATAGATGGTGCACAATAAAGTTAAGGCGTCGAGTTTGAACTGTTGTCTAAACTGCGCACCACTCAATGTGTCGCGACCTAAAAGTTCTTTCTTTTTCAAAATGACATAACTTTTTTGTTTCTTGAACGATTTTATCCTTGAATAATTCTGAACAAGCGACAAGCAACAAACTTCCATTATTTTCAGAGGGGCCTAAGCAAAGACCACTTTTTGAAAATGACATTTTGGTGAACATTTGCGAAAACTAAACCTGAACCGATATTTACGTTCGTGACATGTTTTCTTTATAATTTTGACCTCCTGATTGTGATTCAGTTATCAAATTTAAGTTTCAGATAAAACCAAAATCACCAAGAATAAAAATTCGAAAACAATTCCCGGCTGTTAAATGCCTTAATAAAATCCTATTTTCATCATTTGATCCTTGACGTACTAAAGATGCAAAACAGTAAAAAACAGTAAACACCAGCAATAGGATTTTATTAAGACATTTAACAGCCGGAAATTGTTTTCGAATCTTGATTCTTGGTGATTTTGGTTTTATCTGAAACTTAAATTTGACAACTGAATCACAATAAAGAGGTCAAAATTATGAAGGAAACATGTTACAAACGTAAATATCGGTTTAGGTTTAGTTTTCGCAAATTTTCACAAAAATGTCATTTTCAAAAAGTGGTCTTTGCTTAGGCCCTCTGAAAAAAATTGAAGTTTGTTGCTTGTCGCTTGTTCAGAATTATTTAAGGAACAATTTTTCACCATCTTATATTCTTGTTCCTAAAAAGACTGAGTGTATTGCCTACAAAAAAGCCTTAAATGTACTCTTTTGGAAAAAAATTATATTTTCGTTGCTAAGATTCCAATTCGAAAAATTTGAAAAACGTTTCAAGGTAAGAAAAAAATTATTGTTTTACAAACGGTGCTTGGAAGTTATTGAAATTTTTCACCGTTTAACATATCACCCTTTAGGAAATTTACTTAAAGAACCGTGAGCTTCATATCTATAGTATAAATTGTCAGAGTGGTGCGCAGTTTAGTTTTGGCCAATTTTTGGCCTAAACCGAAACTTCTTGTCGGTCGCTAGTTTTAATTTGTTATTGTTGATTTTAAGGGGATCAACAGCCTCATCAAAGACAAAAACTGGTGCTAGCGCCGCGATCAAAGGCCGTAGAAGCGGCAACAGCCGAACCTACTGCGGTGCCTTCAGCCTCGATTTTCGGCAACGCCAAACCCGTAGATACTGCGACTAAAGAGAGACAGATCGAAGAGCGGCTGGCCAAGCAGCAGGACAAACCCAGGGAGAACAGTCGGGATAGAAGGAACGATACCGACAAAAAACCCGTAAGAAATTAAACTCATCTGGATGAAATTCCCTATTAATTTTTCCTTCTGTTCATTTTTTAGATAGAAAGAAGTCAAATAAACAGAAGGGACAATGACAGTCCTCCACATGATAGACCAAGTAGCCAGAATAAAAAACATGGTGAGTTCAAACTCACCTACAGTGTTTTAAATTTTTTGTATGCACACATTAGAGCTTTATTACTGATTTTTAAGTTTTAAGGTGTCGAAGTGATGCTAAAGGAAGGTATTTTCTTAATTTTATATGCATACATTTATTATGTGTATGTATTTTAGGAAGACACAACAAATTTATTAACACAGCAGCCAATTAATTTTCGACGTTTTGACTACTAATGAATTTGCAAGTTTTCAAACGTCAAAAGTTTAGATTTCATTTTTAATTGTGTATAAATTTTGTGTTTGTAGATGATGAAAGAAGACCTCCCTCTAGAGACAGTATTAGATCCCCTCCTGCTGAGGAGCAAAAAAGTGAAAAGCCGAAACGCGAAGAGAAAAAGTAGGTTTCAGAAAAGTTAAAATAAGAGTGTAAAAACTTATTTTAATTTTTTTTAGAGATAAGGTTGATAAAGAAATGCCAAAATTCAAAGAACCTGATGCTCCCGTTTTTGCCCAAAACAATAAATTTGCATTTTTGCAAGATGAAGAAAATTCCGATTAGCAATATGTGATGTTTTGTTTGAGTAGTGTATTATTGATTAAACTTAAAATATATTTAATATTTTTTAAACTTAAAATACAACAGTAAATTTTACATATTTATTATTTTAATTATAGAATATATTTTTTGTTAAATACAAATATGTTTGTATGTGTATAAATTTTGTTAAATTTTAATAATGTAATTTGTGAAAGGTCTTTAATAAATTGCATATTTATTTCGTACTTTTTACACTTTTTTTTTCATTTAATAAATACTCAAACATCGGAAAGAATAATTTTATTTTTAAAATAAGAATCAAAGTTGTCCATTCTGTTGAACTTAGTGTCTTACATCCGCATCTTCGTAAAAACGAGGATCTGTAATTCGAAATGCAGCCCTTTTGTAACAATAATAATACAGAGCGGATACTAAAAAAGGTAAGTATTAAAATTTGTTTTAATGTATAAGTATAATTAAAAGAAAAAAGAGTCGTAAAGACATTTATTACTACACAATTTTGTTCGTTACAATCAGATTCTTGCTTTAAGGCCCTTTTTTAATTTCAATTGACATAACTTACCCAGTCTATGAATTATCAAGAAAATTATAAATTTTGTTGGCCACTGAATAGATTTGTCACCCCATACCAAATTTAACGACCATAGGTGCAAAATAGTTGTTAATATGAAGTAAACCATACAAACAATTATAGTAAGTCTGAACCTAATATATAATGAATCTAATAGCCCATTCTAAAAGAAATATAAAAATAAATGTTTGAATTAATAATGTATATTTACCTGGAAGACATATGTTGAAAAAAATGTTAATAGCATAGTTGATAAAGCAAATATTAAACATGCATCTTGGATTCTAAAAAATACAATTTAATTATATAAAAATAACGTTTTCCACTTTAAGTACACTGACATAAACAAAACAAGCATAATAGCATTTTGTGGCCGATTGAAAATCCAGAAAGTATTAATAGAAAAGTCGATTATAAACAAAATAGTTTGTAATCCTAAAACTGCTGTATACCGCACTGTTGTTAGCTTCATTTTTTAATTTCTTATTTACACCCACATAGTTTTTGTTTTTATTCGGGATATTGATTTTCTCAAAGCGCAAGTGCGCACGGCGTGCTGCTCTTTAATTTCAATACAAACACCATGGAAAATTAAAAATATCGGTTTCTGTAAAAATTTACTTTATAATACAATATAAATAACAACACCAAGGGAAATATAATCATATTTTGTTAACAAAGAACAATAATAATTACTTTTGGTTAATAACAATTCAAAAATTCTTTACATTCTGTTGAATGAAGACATGTTATTCGAAATATAAAATTTTGCAACAATACGTATTGTACCAAAGATTAAATATACAACCTATATATAATATAAAGAGTATATTGTTTTAATAATTTGAATCAAAGAGTCTTTATTAAAGACATTTATTATTATATTTTTTAAAAATGATTTTTACCTTATCTTACCAATTCCATACCAAAATTTTTTAAAAATTCCACTCCAACTTCCACCAAAATATTAAATGAATATTTTTGCTAAATAACTTAAATATTTTTAAAATATACCTAGTCATTATTTTCTTCGTGAATGGTGCCAAAAAAGACTTTAAATCAGGACAAATGTTCGGTTATTGTCTTTTCGATAAATCATAATTATCAAAATTCCTACTATCTGAATGACTACAAATTAAAACCTGTTGAGATGGATAAGCTTATCCTTATCCTTAAGGATCTTGGTGTTATTTTGGCACCAAACTACAAGTTCACAGCATTATTTTATTTGTTCACAGCCATTTTGATAAAATATTTTATCAAAATGGCTGTGAAAACATAACATAATGCTGTGAAATTGTAGTTGTAGGACAATTCTGCCCTACTATGGAGAAAGGCAGTAACTGCTAAACAAGAAATTTGTGGAAAATTACCATAAACTACATTTTTATAAAACTGATTATATATTTGACTGCATTTCTGTGTTGAATTCGGTTACAAAATGTCCATAGCTTTACCATAGCACAAGAAAACGCATTTTGCATTTTTTTGCAGTTACTGCCTTTCTTCATAGTAGGGCAGAATTGTGCACTTTTAAACACCATTGCAATTGAATCAGATATATGATATTTATATTGATGTATTTATTTTATTTATGGTTTTTCCTATTTTGCTATTTTGCGTTAAAAAAAAAATTAAAAAAATTAAATTATTATTTAAATGCCTCTACAATATTTTTACAACATTTACCTACATATATGTCCCACTTTTTATTTTTATACAATATTTTTTCACTACATTTTTAAAACATTTTTGTAAAGTACCTTATATTTTATTAATGTTTCTTCAACATCACAAAAATATTTACAGCTGTTCATTGCATATATTTTAAAAATGTACATTTTTAAATATATGCAATGAACAACAACGTTGTAAATGTTGATAAAATGTTGCTTTTATATTTATAAAAGTAGTGCATCACGTGTAAATAGTTTTTGTGTACCTACTGAATTTTATTGTTATGTAGAGCAAAAAGTAGTTGTGGTATTAATAAAAAATACTTTATTTTAAAAATAATCGATATAAATAAAAGTGAAATATGTAAAACAAAAATTCTTTGGAAAAGGGTACTAAAATAAAAGAATGTTTTTTTTACAGTCTTGTTTTTTTTTACTTTTATTTAGCTTGAGCCAGCCATTGTCGTAACTCCGGTAAAATGTAATTTTCCGTCGAAGTTTCGGTTTTTGGATTTTTCCGCATGGAGGCTAAAAAGAATTTAATTTAAATTAAAGACTTTGGTCCAATCCCACTCAGGTAAATTATTTTTTTTTGTTTTTAAAAATTAAAAAACAATATTTTTGGTTTTATTAGGTTTATGTTTGTTTTTTGTTCATAAGAAATTTAACGACAGAATAATCGTCTTCAATAGGGTGGCAATAAAATTTTAAGGTACCGCCGCGGTTCCTTTTTCTATGCCGAACACTGCCATTCAAAAATGGCAATAATAATTATTATATTTATTTTTGTTTTGATTAATCAAAACAAAAATAAATATAATGCATACCTCTAGCAGGAAGAATTATCTGGATAATTACCCTCTTATATATGCCTACAAGACAATTATCGCTTGATTACAGCGATAATTGTCTACTAGGAATCGATAATTCCATTGTATCCACGTATCCCTGGCAATTAATAAAAATAAAGTAAGTTATTATTTTAATGTGACAGTTATTTAAAATGTCATTTTATTTTAAACACAACCCACATAATAGAATATATTTTAAAAATGTTGTGAGGCCGTATGGAGGCAAACATTTATAAATTTTACTCCTTCACTCAACGCATAAACGAATTAATAACAACAGCCAACTAAAGAATTAATAAAAAATGTCGATTAAAAACAAAAAGTTTGTAATCCTAAAACTGTGCAGAGCCGCTCTTTTGCAAGCTCCATTTCTCCATTTCGTATTTACACCCACATAGTTTGTTTTTATTTAGGAATAATGATTTTCTCAAAACGCAGGTACGCACGACGTGCTGCCCTTTGTATTTGAAAACACCATGGAAAAATAAAAAAATATCGGTTTCTGTAAAAATTTACTTTATAGTACAAAATAAATAACATTGGGGGGAATATAACAAAGAACTATAATAATTACTCTTGGTTAATAAAAATTTAAAAATTCTTTACATATTTTACAATTCTAAAATATCAGTTTTGCCCATGCAACTTATTCAGGAAAATATCTACATCCAAGGTTTTTAGAATGTTCTCACAAGTTTTGCTTTTCTTTTCAACTTGAAGATTCTCTTGAACCTTTATTTTCCTTTTTCTTGATCTGTAAAAAATAAAACATTTATTTTTAGCTATCGACGGCTTTAATGCAGTACCTCGTAAGTGACATTTTTATAGAAATTTATTTTTTTACAGATATCTAAACTTTTTTACATGTTCATAAAACTAAAGTAAATAGTTAATAATAATAAATTATTATTAATAATAATAATGGAGTAAATTTTACAGGAAGTGAAAAAAGCTCTGACGATCATAATTTGAGTAGAGTAGACCTTTTTTTCATATAGTTTCACATTTAGTTATTTTATTTCCACCTTCTTAGTAAATGATATTTTATAGATTAATTTTGTTGTTTTTGTATCCAACAGACCTGTAATACTTTATGGGCTTGTATAAAAGACCTGTAAGGTTTTATAGGCTTGTAGAATAGTATATTCTGTAACAAGTTTGGAATACAGCATATTCCGCTCGAGTGAAGAGTTTGTCACACGAGCCAAAGGCGAGTTTGACGGTTTCACGAGAGCGGAATATGCAATTCCAAACGTGTTTCAGATTATACTTTTTCTACGTTTCCAAAAAATACCATAGAAAATAATTTAATTGGAAGAAAGTGAGGTTGGATCGGTCTAAAATTTGTTAGATATAAAAAATAGAGATGTCGCCACGAGTGTTTATTCTGTCATCCGATGATAAAATATTTCATTCTGTAACACTTATGGAATATATGTCATTCCATAGATAAAAGTGATATTAGAACGGTCATATTCCGTAATAGGAGTAGGAAAAATCAATTTATGAAATGAAATGTCACATTTGACATATGAATTAAAATTTAAAAATCGTTATCTAAAGGTGAAAATAAAAGTTTGTATGTGTCACGCTTTGCAATTAATCTATACTAGGCCCACTGGATTATTTAAAAAAATCCAACTGCCCACTCTTATATGTTAAATAACACACCTAAATAAACGAAATTTTGAAAAAAAAACAGGTTTGTAAATTGAGTTTTTGTTTTTACTTTTTCTTCTTTAAATGTACAAGAATTTTTAAAATGACCCATATGCTGTAAATTGTGTGATCAACAAATGTTATTATTATTTTTATTATAAAATTAATATTAAAGTTGTTTTTAAATACAGTGTGTCGCACTTAAGATGAAGACACCCCCATATTTTCGCTATTTGAAGGAATAAAGGTTTGAATTTTTTCACATTCATACATGTTGATGGGTCACATTTTTTAAGCTACTCAACTGAAATATGAACTTTAATCTTGGCCTACTACAAATTCACAAACAGGGACATTTCTCGATATTTTGCTTCGCGTTAGAGATATCGAAAAAAGTTATTGGAAAAAGTTGTTCAGAATATTATTCTAACCCCATATACCAATTTTTATAACAAAACATTTTTAATTTTTTATTTTGGTACACACATTATTACAAGTTCATTTTTTAGTTTGATAATAATTATCCCTTAAGGGAGCCATGGAAAGTAAAAATTTGAAACTAACTAGTGTTTATGACCGTTAAATAAATAATTAAAACAATTTTTGGAAATTATAAATCAATTAAGGAAATGGTATGAAACAATAATAAAACTAATAAAAATAAATAAATTAGAAATGCGAATTTTGCTATAAAAATCGGTATACGGGGTTAGAATAATATTCTGAACAACTTTTTCTAATAATTTTTTTCGATATCTCTAACGCGAAGCAAAATATCGACAACTGGCCCCGTTTGTGAATTCGTAGTAGGCCAAGTTTAAAGTTCAGATTTCAGTTGAGTATCTTAAAAAATGTGACCCACCAACATGTATGAATGTGAAAAAATTCAAATCTCTATTCCTTGAAATAGCGAAAATATGGGGGTGTCTTCATCTTAAATGCGACACACTGTATATATTAAAAATGAACAAAAATATACAGGGCGTCCCGAAAATGCACGTGATGAAGGTTAATAAAAAATCACAAAAAAAATAAAATTAATTTGGTAATTACCACAACGCATTGTACCACAACACAAATGTTGCTATGTGGATGATGTAATATTTCAGATTATAAATAACTAAAAAAAATATTTCTTTATGCTTGAAAATTTTAACTTTCTAGCATAATATTTCATATTTTAAAAAATTAATACGCATCCTATTGATGAAGTATTTTTAATTAAAATTACAAGTTTGTACTAGCATGTAAAAATTAACTCACCACCCCAAATTTTCCAAACCCCGACTAAACTTACCCTTTAGGCGACATATTGGAGTCATCTGTAGACGGTTCGCCCGATCCAACTAAGGCATAATTCATGAGGTCATCGTCAATTTTTGACGATTTAGACAAATCATCAATTGCAATTTCATCTGTCACTTTGCCATTCTTCTCGTCATCATTACTTACGACCGAATCAGTAACGTCTTTCTTATCAAGGCGGCTTTTATTCAGCTCCTTGAACTTCTTCGGTATCAAAACGTTTACCGTAGACGGTATGTCAAGAATTTGTTCTAAAGGAGATACCGATATTTTTACCGGTAAATCTAAATCCATATCGTCAAAGAATACCTTGGCCTTCATATCTCTAAGAACGCTTAAATCGTACGTTTTAAGCAAGGGTGGCGCTGATTCGTCAAACTTAAAACAAATGTCATCCTCGAATGTAGCTGTGCTGAATTCTTCCAAAAATCGGTAAATTCTTTCAGGTGATTTAACATTTTTTGGTGGCGTTTTAATGTCCTTTTGAGGAGTTCTTTCATCCTTTTCGTCTTTTAAAGATTTTTCTTCTTTTATGGATGTTTTTACGTCTTTTGGAGTAGATTTTTCAAATTTTGGGGATGTATTCTCGTTTTTTGAAGATTTACCAACTTTTGTGGATATTTTTTCATCTTCTGGGGATGTTTTCAATACCTTTTTTGATTTATCATTTTTATCAACAAGGCTCTTTTTGGATTTGTCATCGGCTGATTTTGAAATTTTTTCCTCCTTTTTAGTTTCTTTTAATATTTTCTCCGTTTCATTCTTTAGTAAAGTCTCAATTGTCTTATCAACATCACTTGATTTATTAGTTTTACAAACCTGATTATTACTTTTCGGCGTTTTATTGTACATCAAATGTATTCCTCGTTGCTTTAAACCAGTAACCAGCTTCTCAGCTTCAACGTCCGAAGCTGTTTCGTGCTTATCGATTTTGGAAACTTTATTTTTGGAATTTGCAATTTGCGACTTTTTACTTCTAGTTTCCATTTTTACGGGTTTTTCCTCCTCATCATCGGAAGTCAATAAAAAATCGTTCGTAAAACTTTTATCACTCGATTTATTTTTGGAAGTGTTTTTCTCCGAACTGGAACTTCGCGCTCTCAGCACTGCTTTTTTGGGCGTCTCAGGTTTTCTACGATTTTTTCGTGCATATGCCGCTTTTAGGTTGGGTTGAGGTTTGATTCGTTGACGAGATTTAGGTTTAGGTTTATCGACGACAGATTCTGACGGTTTGGGTTCGTTACCTTTGAACTTTAATATAACGCGTTCCCTCTTAGCTTTCAACTCCTGAAGGATTTTCTCTTGTGCTAACAAAATTTTTATAGGGCTTTTCTTTTCCAAAGTTGTCAATTGTTCGACTGTATTTAATATGATGTTGATCTCCGTGGTTTTTTCGGCCATTGTAGCGTCTTTTTTTGTCGGGGCTTTTTTAGGTGGACAAGGTGTTTCAACTGGTACTTCAGGGGTTTCAACTGCAGTGCTCTTAGAGCGCGTTCTGAGTGAGTAAGGCCTTACAGGTGCTGGTTTTGGGGAAGGTTCGTTATTTTTGCATATTATAGTTTGGTTTGTGTTTTCTGTCCAAGGGTGGCCTTGCTCTTCTTCATCTTCACTACTCGATGAAGATGATGAATCGGAACTCGATTCCTGTTTCATACTCTTCTTTACAAGATTCAAATTCTTTTTCCCAATAACGTTCCTATTAAAAATACTGACATGTTCTTGCATACTCGGCGGTGATTCTTTCACATTATTGGTTTTTAAAACGACATCGTGTAATATTTTTATTTGCGTTTTAGACACCTCATCTTTCTTGGGTTTATTATATTCCTCCAGCAGATGCTCTATAGATCTGTTTTGTTCGTTATCCGACGGCTGATAGTAGGAACTCGAACCCGAATAATCCGTGGGGCGATTGGCGTAGGGCGTCATCAAATCGGCAGACGGAGTGAAAGGCGGAAAGTTGGGCGTTATCGGCAAATTGGGCGTTTCGATGGAATTGATATCGATACCTTGCAACTGGTCGTCTAAAACCTTATTGAACGGCGTAAAGCCTGTAACGGGCGTTCTTAAACCTGGCGTTTTATGTATGAAATCGATTTTTAACGGCGTCTCCAACATTGGGGTTATGTTCCGGTTTGCTTTCATCGCGTAACAAACCGGGAGTTTTGACGTTTCCGGTGTTATCAGCGTACCGGGATCTTCTACTTTAAGAGCGGTCGGAACAGTTGAGGTGGTTACATCGTTTAATTTAACCAGGTTTCTTTTATTCGCATTTAGTTTAGATGGAGATAGGATTGTCTTAACGGTTGGGTCTTCAACCGTTTCGATTTTTATTGCCGGTTTTACATTTAGGCACTTCTTTGTTTCTATCTCTACTTTTTCCACTTTGACAGCACTTTCATCCTGCTTATCTTCCGTTTGTTTTTCAGGTACTTGAGCATTAACATCCTAAAACATTATTTTGTTTCATGAATAACACTGGGCAAAATGAAATTTGTTGTTTTGCCACAGCGTTACCCTAATATAGCAAGGTTGTATGTTAAAAAAATGAAAAATTTAAGTCCATGTTTCTACAGGATTATACGTGGCCTACGCTTCACATACCACTTAAACATAATTCTATAGAATGTATATTCTATATAGAGCTATTTTCAAGTTGTATGTCAAGGGTGGATTACATAAAACCTTGTAGAAGCATAAACTCAATATTTTCGGTTTTTTAACATACAACCTTGTATTAGGGTGACGACAGGGTCAAAATGAAATTTGTTGTTTGCCACAGCGTCACCCTAATATAACAAGTTGTATGTTAAAAAAAACGAAAAATTTATTTCTATGTTTCTACAGGATTATACGTGGCCTACGCTTCACATACCACCTAAAAATAATTCTATAGAATATACATATATATAGAGTTATTTTCAAGTTGTATCTCAAGGGTGGATTACATAAAACCTTGTAGAAGCATAAACTCAAATTTTTCGGTTTTTTGACATACAACCTTGTTATATTAGGGTGACGACAGGGTGCAAAATGAAATGTGTTGTTTGCCACAGCGTCACCTTAATATAACAAGGTTGTATGTAAAAAAAAACGAAAAATTTAAGTCTATGTTTCTACAGGATTATACGTGGCCTACGCTTCACATACCACTTAAAAATAATTCTATAAACTCAAATTTTTCGGTTTTTTAACATACAACCTTGTTATATTAGGGTGACGACAGGGTGGCCTTCAACTTTTTAGGGTAATTTTGGTGCGCTGACTCCAAAAATGACCAGAATTTTGCCAGCGTTTTTTTCGATGTGTACAGATTAAAAATTTAATATAAATTTTTTAATCCAATACTTTAACTGAGTACAGTCGCATGCAAATAAAAAGCGTACACGTATTAATATGAGAGGTACTTCATTTGTAATTATACGAGTTTTTTCAAATTCAGATAACTGACGAGGCATTATTCAATTAGCTGTCAAACTGACGACTGGTTTACATCTACGGCACTGTATTTTTTATAACCTAACACGCCATATTTGACAAGTGCAGTACCTCTCATTCTTAAAAAAGCTTAATTTTCATGTATCCGTTTGTTCGTTATACGTTTGTACGTTTTTCAATAAAATCGTCCGATAAGAAATGTTCTAATTTTCATGCATCCGTTTTTTAATGACGTTCAACGGATTGATTTGGCGACAAATAAAAATTAAGGGTCAGTATATTCACTTTACTAAATTTACCTAATGATTAATTGTCATAGTTATATAAAAAGAATATACTAGCCTTAATTTACATTAATATGTATAGTTTTAAAAAAGCAGGTCCTTTAATATTTTATTATCTTTTTTTCTGTTATTATTATTAAATAAGAACATAAAAGTAAAACATTATTCACATAACGAACGTTATATTTCCGTTTTACAATCTTATTAAAAGAACGATGTGGCTCCCGTCCCGAGGCGGGACTTAACTTCGATCCCGACAGACGTCACACACTGTAAATCCGTTTTTATTCCCCGAGCTTTTATAATTGGTGTCAAGCTGGATGGCTTAGATGGTAGGGCGTTCGCTTGGCATGCAAGAGGTATCGGGTTCGAATCTACTAGAACTTGTCAAACTTTTTTTATTTTTTTTATTTTATAAATTTATGTTTCTTTGTTAAAAAGTGTTTAATTTTTATCGTAACATAAATTTGCCCATTTTAGTTGGGTTTTTTGCTCAATGGGGCGGGGGGGGGCCCAATGGGGCGGGGTCGGTTGGGTTGTGTTGTTGAGTTTGGGTTGGTTTGGTTTTATGACGTAACTAACGTGCCCTTAACATGTATACAGGTACAATTTATTATTATTATTTTATTATAACATATCAAATCTTAAAATTATGACGTCAATCGGGACTGAACTTAAGTCCCGCCTCGGGACGGGAGCCACAGCGTTAAAAGAATATTAAAAGATTTGAAAATAAAGTATCTTAAAATAACGTTAGGCGTCAAAAACAGATGTGTAGTGACAGATTATTTAAAATTATTTTAAATTTCTCCGTCAGACGTACGAAGTTAAAACTTGACGGACGGAAAAAATGTCATAATTTTCGATGTAGATCAAGTTCAGTCGAAGCTTTTTAACTATTTGTATTGACAAAACTTTATGTAGGTACACTTTAAGCTGGAAAAGAAAAACTACCACATTTTTAAATACCATATTATACAGTCTTTTAAATAATCCAAAATACTTATTTATTTTGGTAAAAATAAATTTTTCTTACCTTAAAATTACAAAATTAGATGATATTTTTGTTATTCGCTGTGACTAGAGGCACGCTAACGTGCCGCGATTCGAAATGTTAAAGGCACGTTAGTTACGTCATAAACCCAAACCATCCCAAACTCAACAACACAACCCAACCGACCCCGCCCCATTGTTATTGTAATGTTATAAAGATTTTAGGGATAGAACGATATCACTTTTTTTTGCCGATACGATATATCGGCCGATACCGATATTTACGTGCCGATATACCGATATACCGATATATCGTATCGGCAAACATAATGCCATCTATTTATACACGACCGAAGCAAAAATAATATTAAGTAATATTTACGAGCCTAAAAGAAATAGACTAAATGCATATAGGGCTGAAATGTTGGTGTTTTTGCATCATTATATCAAGAAATTAAATTTTAAGTATTAAGTATATACTGTATTTAGTACCTGCTACATTAGGTATATTTGTTGTAAGTGGTGTTAGGATTTGTTTTACTTTTTTAGTAAAAATGTTACCTTTAGAATAAAACATTTTATTTTGTTTAATAAAGTATTTCATTTATGCACTGAAGAGTGAAAAGCGCAATTATCTTGCCGATACGATACCGATAATCGGAAACAATTGCCGATGCCGATATACCGATATCAATATCGGTATCGTTCTATCCCTAAAAGATTTATACATTTTTAACGCCTAAACATAATATTATTTCTTTCGTTGACTATACTTTGACAGATACATAACCTGAAAAGCCTTAAATGCCAAATTTTCAAAAGACTGCGTTCCGTACGTGGTCACGTGGTGGGACTTTGAGGTGTGGAGCATAGTACATTAAGGCTAGTATATTGTTTTTATAAGGTATATTTACCTACCTTTAAATTTATAAGACAGCTAACTGTTAAAGTTACAATTGTTGACATAATTGTAACTATGACAATTAAGCATTAGGTAAATTTAGTAAAGTGAATATACTGACACTTAATTTCTATTTGTCGCCAAATCAATCCGTTAAACGTCATTAAAAAACGTATGCATGAAAATTAGAACATTTCTTATCGGACGATTTTATTGAATAACGGACAAACGGATGACGGAAAAACGGATACATGAAAATTAAGCTTAAGGCTGTACGCTTTTTATTTGCATACGACTGTACCTAATGTAACGTAGCTTTGGGTCCTAATTAAACTGAAAAAAATCGAATTATACACATTTATAGAAACATAAAATCCCGATTTTAGCAAAGTAAAATAGTTTTTTAGCCAAAATTACAAAATATTTACATGATTAATTTGCTTCCGATTTGAATTAAATTTGCAAAATTTGTATCTTGTTTTATACCAGGTGTATCTGAGAATGGGCGCACCCCTGTAACTTTTTTATTTATAAAGGTAGACACATGAAATTTACCATTTACACTTTACATTTTACACAATTAAGATATAAAATGCCACTTATAAGAGTACAAAATGAATTTTTTGAACTTCCGGTTTCGCCGGATATGATACCGACTTTCGATTTTTAAATGGAATGCCCTATACAGTCAGACAGCATCCTCAAATTGACCTTTTGACGTTTCGTCATCAGAAAATGCGTCATCATAAAGATCAATCTAGAGTGCTTTGAACTATCTTAATTTCTTCTAATGGATTCACACAATGCCTGAAAAATGGAACTTGCCTTAGAAAATTGTTAGTCTAAACCTGTCAACATTCGTTTTTCTTAAATATGTATATAGTTCAAAGCACTCTAGATTGATCTTTATGATGATGCATTTTCTGATGACGAAACCTCAAAAGGTCAATTTGAGGACTCTGACTCAGAATTTTCTCAGGATTCCAAATATTTAAAATATATAGGGCATTCCATTTAAAAATCGAAAGTTGGTATCATTTACGGCGAAACCGGAAGTTTAAAAAATTCATTTTGTACTCTTATAAGTGGCATTTTATATCCTAATTAACCATGGTACATTTTATGTGTCTATCTTGATAAATAAAAAAGTTACAGGGGTGCGCCTATTCTCAGATACACCCGGTATAATTGATTGTGTTAAAATAAAATTGACAAAGTGAGAATTTATATTTTCGCTCCCGGCGCTTGTGGGACTCTTCAATACATTCTGTGAAATGAAAAAAATAAACTATTTATTTATACAAGTTTTAAAACAAAAAAATGGCACTGTTTTAAAAAATTAATACAAATCGTTCTTGCATGAGTAACTACTAAAATAAATGGCAAACTTCATTTTTTTTAACAAATGTTACATTTATTAATTGCTGTTATTCGCAGTATTTTTTTAAGGAGTCGTACACGCGCCAGTAGCAAAAAAGACCATAACTACCAAGGTGGACACGCGCGGTTGATTTAAGTGTCATTGTGACAATATTTAATACAATAAAGTAGATAAATGAAGACACAAATTTTGTAAATATTAAAATTGGACAAAAATTGTTCGCGTAAGGGGGCATCCATTATTTACGTGAGGTATTTAGGGGGGAGGGGGTCGAGCCAAACCTCACCCAATCTCACGTGGGGGGAGGGTGGTCTCGGCAAATATCACGTAATTTTTTCTTTACGAATGAAACAGTGTAAAATTGCGAGAAAATTGGGTTAAATTAAGTAAAAAATTATAAGCAAATTGTTTTTTTTTTAAATAAATCAAATGGAATCAAGCACAGATTAGC